GATTTTCTCGATCACAACCTTCTAATTAAAAAAAAACTCGAAATATATGGTTGTCGGGGTCAGGTTTCGCTTCTTATTCAATCATATTAGTCTTTTCGTCAACAGTATGTCAACATCACTGGTCTATTGTCCGATGTAATGCCAATTAAATCAGATGTTCCTCAAGGAAGCATTTTGGGTTCTTTTTTATTTAATATTTATATAGATGATATCGTAAATATAAGCAATTCAGCGAAGTTTATTGTCTAGGCAGACGACACGAGCATGCTGTTTAATGGAGATAGCCCAACAAAATTCATTTAAAACGCAAACGTCACGCTAGAAAAGCTAAATACATGGAGTAGGTATAATGTGTAAAAAATAAATATGAATAAAATCAAGGTTGTTTTGTTTCGTCCAAAGGGTAAAAGGGTGAACATAGACGAAGATATTATGTTTATTTGTTCTAAGACTGAAATGATACCGACATTCAAAACTTTAGGTGCCCTTTTTCAGAGAACATGTCATGGGATGCTCATGTAAATTATGTTACACCAAAACTGTCTAGCATGGTTAACCTGGCATATCGTCACAAACATTGTTTTGCCTTTTAGAATAAAATTGCTATTATATAACTCACTCTTTTATTCACAAAATAATTACGGCCATTTAATTTGGGGAGCAACCACTAATACAAATCTACAAAAGATATTTTTGTTACGAAAAAAAGATATTACGAACCATTTGCAATGTTTCGCCGGAGTTTCGAATGGGAAAATTATTTAGCCATCTAGATGAAGTAAATTTTTTTCACTTGCATCGATATAACCTGTGTGTTAAATATAAAGCTTAAATGAGTATGATTGTACGGCATAATGTGAGATTAGCTGACTTAAAAGGAAAAGTCTATGCTAATCCAACGAGAGCCACAGAACCTTGGGAAGTCCAATTTTTTTATAACTAATTACGGCCTTCAAACTGCGGCGTTCACTCCCCAGACCAGCCTCAGCTATTTTTGTGCGCAACACATAGAGCTTGAAAATATGTCGGCCAGGTAACCTAAGGAACATAATAATTCTTAGCCAAACCTATCAAATTTGAGTGGCATGTTCATATGTTAATTTTTCGTTATTTCTAAACTATCCCTACTGTGACTTTCCTGTTTTGAACATCTTGTTCAAAACAGGGAACTTTTTCCGCTAATGATACACTTCTGGAGGCTCGGGAGCAGTCAAGCTGTTTTAACAGCTTTTTTCCCCAAGCTTCCACCAACGCTGTACCTCACTGTTGGAAATAAAGCTATTCTTATTATTCTCATTCATTTTACTATTTTTAATATTATTATATACCGAGAGATAGCCCACCTAAAATCGATAGCAAATCGGATGAAACTAAGGGATGAACCAATTTTCTGTGTTCCATAAAAACAAAAGTTGAAAGAATGCTAGTTTGAGATTTTGTGAACCTCGAAAACTTGCGATCGCAGGAGTTGATGAACCATGGAAGACTGTCCTTCCCAGTCAGCAATGTTCGCTTTATCTCCCACCGTGGTTAAGTAACACCGTTTTTGTTGAGGTCACTGTTGGACAGGGTCCTGCAATTACTAAAACTAAGCAATCTTTCGCTGTTAAAAAACCAACAACAACAACAACAACAACAACAAATTTTCATGCAAAAGAAATAGGGGTGGGCTATCTTTCGGGGGATCGGGCATCTCTTGGGATATTACGATAGTTTTTCTGAATCCTCAGTCTTCACCGTTTCCGATATCGCGAAAGTCAGAATACTTATTGTGAAAGAGGCAAATAAAGGGGCCGCCTAAACCATCATTCAAATATACCCGCACTTTTCAGTGCCGTGACGTCACTAACAGGCAGGCTTACAGGCCGAGCAGGCATTCGAAAAAAAAAAAACAAGCACGCCGAGTATTAAACACGAGGAAGATACACAGAAAGGGGGGACGGACAACAATGACTCTGTTCCGTGTTGCTGCGCGAGTGCTAGAGCGAGCTTCCAGAGCATTCTTTCGACACCGTGAAACTTCTTGTAATTAGTTGGGAACAAAGTTGGGAACAAAAAAACTGCCGCAGTCGTCAGTTTTTTTTTTTTAATTTTTGGCAGTGAACGTTTTCAGCATAAAAAAAAAAAAAGCCGTTATAACTAAAATTGTACATTCCTCAATCCCCCCCCCCCTTTCACACACACACACACAAAAGTTTTTTTTTAAATATTTGGGTTATTAAGTTTAGTGATGTTTGTTGGTGTGGTTGGTCAATTTTGAGGCAAATTAGGACCACGAAGAAAATGCTGCAGTACGCATTGAATCTCTCGCCAAGCTCCGGTGAATGGAGAATCCAACGTTCCACATTCGTGACGCTACATCTGTCCGTGGTGTTACTTACATCCTACTGTGATGTAGGTTCATCTTTGTTCAGAATCACAGCCTCAGTCAACAAATGAATTCCGTTAAAACTACATCAGCGTATAATTCTAACTATACTGTCAGAAGCTCTTGCACGAATGGTATCCAATGACGCTCTCGCAGCACTAATAATCTGTCTTGTCTAAATAAGTTGAGCCAAAAAGAAGTTAAATCGCTATCATACCTCAATTTCCATGCAGACAAAGTAAAAAAAAAAAAAACATTAAAAAAACTACTTTTGGCGATAATACCGCATTGACATCGAAGCATGGCATTGGCCGTCCCCCTCAAAAATACAATTGGAAAAAAAAAAGCAATAGCCAGTGAAACCGAGTAAGTCGCGGTGTTATATTCATCCCAAAACTTCCGACGGTGATGCATTAGGTTCCCACACGGCGTGAGTATCGTTCTCCCTGGTTCCTGCATGATCGACTTTACTTTACAGGCTTACAGCTTCCTTTCGTAAGAAAATATAAAGTAAGGATCTAATACTGCCCGTATATAGAAAAACTAGAATTACGTACCCGTCGCGGACCCAGCATCCTGTTCTACGGCGATCATCCAGGTGACAACCATTTCGATAGGCGCCAGTGCGCTCCCTATAGGTCGTGAAAGTTGCGAATGCAGCCGCGGATCTTATATTCAGACTGATCAAAAGGCGCGCGAAAAACTCTGAATTGGAGCACTCGAAATATTCCACAAATGTTCGCCTAACGCGTTTGCATTCGCCATTAGTTTCGCGAGGTGGAGGTGCGTCCCTACATGACAAGCGTTTCGTTTGAACGAAAAAAACTCAGCGAAACATCGCGCTTACGACGCGTGATTGGATCACATGACTCGAAGCAGATGCCGAGATCTCTGCATCATCCCGGATACATCACGCGAAAAGTACGGCATACATTATTCAGCGGACCCCCAAACCTCATCGGCCGGCCCTCGCCGAAATCTTCACAGTGTGTGCGGCGACACGCGAACGGTTCGTTATCGACGCTGGCATACATTCTCGTCGACGGTTATATCCCTTCAGTGTTTCCCTTCTCTGGACAGAGTTTGCTCTAGGGAATTGAAGGACCGAATCGCTGCCGCAAGGAACCTGCACAGTGTCAACAAAGACGTGCCAACCCTGTTTGTCCGTCCTCGCCGTTTTTCCAGTCGCCTCTTCGGAGACCGCCGGTCACGATCGCGTGTTGCAACAAGAAACGCTCGTTCGCTCGGTGATTGTGGCCGTTAGGGAAGATCTTGCTCGAAGCAGCGGCGTTGACCATATTCATACGTCGTGGATTTAAACGCGGTTTCCTCTCCCGGATATCCCAAATTAATTTTATTCATTCCTTAGTTTTGCGTTTCATAACGACTAGGTCTGGAATGTAAGTATATTGGCTGCGTACACAGCAGCGATTCCAGACAACGCGGGTCGCCGTGGCAACCGAGTGCTTCTGAACGAATTCGATAGGGGGCATTGTTCAGAAAATGTTTCCGCTCATGAAGTTTCAGTGATAGGAGTGGAGTAGCGACGCTGCATTTACTAGAACTCCTCATTTTCTTACGCATGAACGGGTGCAAATGAATCAAGAACAACGTTTCCTCTCTCTTTCTCTTTCTCTCTCTCTCTCTCTCGTTAATAAAAAAAGATTGTTTTCATCTTGTAGTTTTTATTAACGTCATTGTAAAGCTGGCGATGATGCCGTAGGTTTTTGTGGCTCCGTTGTTTTTATCGTTGGTTGGCCGTGAAATTTAAAACAATAAGCAAGCTATACGAAAGATATGAGCATAGAGTGCTTGGAAGTTGCCCCAATTGCTTTTAATTACTTGCCTAAACTAAAAAAAAAAAAAGAAGTGAAGTCCCATTTTTTTTTTGTCGTAGTCACATACTCTGTGCCGAGGCTGCATCGAAGATGGCTCAATATTGCGGCTGCCTCCGTAGCAGCTCTAGAGAATTCAATAAACCTATCTACACAGACATCCAATGTTTCGATACTGTTTCCTACTACAGTCACTTACGTTTAGGAGATGATAAAAATGTGTTTACGCTTTTTGCTAAGTATTCAATCCTCAGCGTTCGTAATGCCGTAAACTCATAACCTGCGGAGCAATAATAAGATGCCCCAACCTACGTTTCTTAGGCTCTTGGAAATTAGGGAAGTGTCACCATGCCTTAATGTGCATTTGTGCAGCTGTTGAAATAATTGAGAGCATTATTTCCATTATTTCTTTCGTCATCATTACGATTATCTCATCGTACTCTCTCGTCGCTATATTTCTTTGCCCCCTCTCTTAACTCCCCGAGAAGGGTAACTGGCTAAGTCAAAGGTCATCATTGGTCATCACCGATCAATCGATCAGAGTATTCCCTACTCCCATTGAGACCAACACCCCTGTCTTCGCAGCGCCGGTCCTGGTGGAGTGGCCGCAGCGGGTGCCTTCCGTGCGGACGGTGGACGTCCTGTCGGACCAGCCGGCGGGGCTGCCCTTCTTCGAGGCCCACGCCGCGGTCGTGTTCCTCGGTCCTCCCCAAGTCCACGGTGACCCGAAGGGTCACACGCCCGAACTTCCGGTCCTGAGCTACGCCCTCGACACGACCGGGGCCTCAGATGCTCAATCGGAGGGCATTTTCACCATCGACTCCCGCTCTGGACAGCTGAGCTTGACCAGGCCCTTTCCAATTTCCAGAGGTTCGTACGTTTCATTTGTTCCGATCAGTTTCATCCGAGGACGTGAGCGGACTTGACAGTGACGATTCGTCGTAAATTGATTTACGGTGCTCCCCAAGCTCGACCAACGTCACGTATAGAGAAGGCCGTAGTGTTACACTCCGTTTTTACATTAGGTTCCACCGCAGCCAACGCTGCAATTGGATAGAGCCAATCAAGAGTCAAGATATGTATGACATCATGTCGCTTAGTCGTCTTTGTGCGCTTGCTATCACTGCCTATCACATAGTGAATTCTCCTTTATCCTAGGTTTCTTTTTTAATTTTTTTTCTATGCTTGAAAAGTAGAGCTGATGGTAGCAGACGCTAAAAGACGCCTAGCTCCGTGACAATGTACTTTTAGCACTGCTTGATCGGTTCGATTGGATCGGATGCTGTTGGCTCCGGTCGGATTTAATGCGAAACGAACTAGAAGAGGGCTGGATCTAATGCGTCATCTACTGTGGTTCAGCACGGAGGAACACACACTATACACGAGTGTTACGTCAGCATTAAACTTGGAATCGCTTCCAATCAGCCAGAACACCAGTTCCAGCCAAACGCTGACAAAGCATTCGTTTTCGCGCTTTGGACTGCCCGTCACGGGATGTTAAGTATACCCAACCCGTGAGGCAGGATGAGAAGAAATCGGAGAAATCACACGGCCTGCCGTTTGCCGAAAGTTTTTCTGATTTGTTTGTTTGTTTGTTTGTGTGTGTGTGTGTGTGCGCGTGCGTGCGTGCGTGCGTGCGTGCGTGTGTGTGCGTGTGCGTATGCGTGTGCGTGTGCGTGCGTGTGTAAGTGTGCGTGTGTGTGTGCGTGTGTGTGTGTGTGCGTGCGTGCGTGCGTGCCTGTGTGTGTGTGTGGGGGGGGGGGGGCTTTAGTCTGGCGCCCTACTCTGGACACTTGGCGAAAATGTCGGCGAGGAATTCGACCGCCGCGTCTGAGCGTTCTAACTAGCTTGTCTGTCTGTCCTCATACTTCTCTGGAGATTTGACATGTCACGTGACGGGCAATTGAAAGGATCCCCTTCACGGTAGCGCCTCTCCGGCAAAGTTGGGCGCTCGCGCGGATGCTTTGAAGTTGGGATGGCACTGCACCATTCGGTTTGAAATGTAGACAATATAGAGACAAGAAATTGAGTTTGGGAATCAATATAATTTGAGCCGTAATTTTACGCGTTGCCTCTAAACATGAAATAGGGTGTTTTAAAATTGATAAAAAAATTGGCGTGCCACGGGATGGCTCAGTCAATAGCGTGTGAGTGCCTGCCTCTACTTGTTCACGAAGGTTCAACATAATTACACTAAAATGTTTTCTGCATTCTAATATTTTTGGGCGGCGTACACAGTCATATACTGCCTTTCAAGTAAAATAAAAAAGGTGCCTCTGCTTTCCGTTGTATTAAAATTAGTCGATTGCGTCCCAACGGTCCTGAACCCCCCCCCCCCCCCCCCCCCCCTGGTATTACATACCCCGGTCCAACTCCGCGGTTATTATTCACTGAAGAATTATCAAACGCTGACATCTTTATGAGAGTCTTAATTGACAGTTAAGTTCTCGTAAACACCGATATTGGTGCCAGAAGAGAGGTGGTTTCACGCATACGCCAAATTTTCTGTAAAGCATGACTTGCAGTTTTATATCGGGGTCGCGGCGCTAACTCCAATCCTGCCATAGGCGATGAGTTAGAAACCGTGGAAACCGCTCCCGAACGTGGCCTTTTCGACCGAAGGTAACTAACTCGCTCAGGGTTGGAACTGAAATGCGGGTTTCACGACACGTATTTTACCTAGCATAAGACACGCCGATGAGCAGTAGTTGTGTCCAGGCGCTGTCTACCTGCGTGAGGAGGCTGGTTCACGCATTTGCATTTGGGTGCGAACAGCGGCGTTGCAAGCACTTCTCGCTCTTGTAAGCGCTCGTAATTACATATAGAATACAGTAGCGTAATCTGTCGAGCATCCCTGGAACGATTTCGATCTGCGTGTAACTAGACTAAATGCTTTACAGTATTGGTGAGATCAAATTTACGCACTGTCTTTGAGAAATGGTCCCTTATAATATAAGTCAGGATCATTTTTTGCACTTGTCTTTCCGACAAGACGTTGACCACTTCTTGTCGGAAGCTGCTACAAGCGGTTAGGACGCAGTCTACCACACTCAAACGCTGATGTGTCAACCGTCACCCGCAATCGCAGAATAACGTCACCTCCTCTACGCTGAAACATATGTCCAAAAAAGAGAAGAAAAGGCAGTGGGATGAAAAATTGAACAATTCCAAAAAAATTTTCAGCCCCATTTTTTCGAAAACCTAAACAGCGGGCGCGGATTTGTTGAAAGGAGATCGAAACTAGGGTTTTAACTTTTAGCGCAATCTTATATGTGACTTCCATATGGTAAAATGGGTCATGTTGCTCTTGCCTCGAAATACTTGGATGATTTGGCAAGCTCAACTCTTGGTACCGGTTGGTGTACATAAGAAAATAAAAGGAAAAAGAAAAGCGTCTACATAGCATCTCTTTCACGAACCGCAAATAAAAGAGTCGCAGATGCCGTTATTTATCTTTTTTATCCCCCATTCTGATTTGCGCGAGTTTCGATTCCTGTTCAATTTCTGGCTTGTTTGGCTTTTTGGTACATCTGTTCCAGCCACTCCGCTAAAATAATCTGCCTGATTTAAGAAAGTATGGCATATGTAGCATTCAACGCAGAATGAGAAACTTGAAAGCGCGAATTTCTTAAAAGCTGCATATTTAAACGGGCGTATATGCTTTGTAGGAAAGCGGTGGAAAACAAAAGCTTGCAACCTGCAGATCTATACATCGCTGCTTGAACACTTCTAATTAATCTTCAAAAAGGGTTTCAGAGTAATATTGAAATTTTGTCGAAAGTATCAGTCTCTACTTTGGTCTACAGTTGCAGAAACGTGTTCCTCATTTCTTTACGTAAACTTATGAAAGGGTCGTGACTAAACAGAGTTCACTTGCTCACGCCTAAATGGCGACATTGGTGACGATATTATGCAACACAAACGACGCAAGAACAAGCATATGTAACAAGACAGGCGCCACGAGGACGCTTATTGCATTCCACCAGTCTTTCCCTCTGGTTCAGAGGGGCCATATATTAAATGCGGAAAAAAAATAAAAAAAGCGGCAAAAGGTGAGACCGTTACGAGATCCCTAGCTCCTCGAGAGTCCGGTATTGGAACCGTTTCGTCCGCCATTAAAATGCAAACGCTCTCCAAGGTTCGAGTGGCTCCCTCTATTAAATCTAGGCTCTCTAGGGACGAGATTCAGCCGTCGCGACTCTAGTGGCTAAGTCGAGAACTAAATTTCCCACGGAGACCAACTTGACCCCCGGGAACGTCACAAATGCGCGCACGCCGAGGCGGAGACGGCGGCGGCGGTTCAGAAATTTGCTCGCTTACGGCCCCTTGATAAATCGCCGTCAATGCTTCTGCTCGGTCTACTGTCACGAGTCGTCTTATCTGAAACAACGAGCGCGAAAGGGTCATAGTCGTCTCCTGCGTGCGGAAGAGTGGGACGTTTAAATAGGCCAATCAGGGCCCTGGATTTGCTCCATGGTTTTACTCCGTGAGGAAGCAGCAGTACGCGACCAGGCCATCACCGGCGTCTTCCTGATGGGAGGTCGCCTTTCAGAGTCGGAGGCGCCGCGACTCCGCACGGATCGCGGTATTTAATTGTGGCTGCTGGGCAGCGTCACCGAGCTCAATGCCACTCACTGCGGCCGCTCTGAACGTTTTTTGCAGTGCGAGATGCCACTTGACATGCCATTCCTGCACCAGGGTCAAAATCGAGTGACCATGCAGCGTGGTGCACTTCAAGGGCCAAAAACTATACGGCAGAGGCACAAAATTTCATTTCAGCCGTACAGCATTTTTAAATCACGCGGTTTAAATTAAACAATTACGAAAATTGAGCTGTTGTCTTCACGCTTTCATTGGCATAATGACTGGATTTACATATTTTGAAACTCTTTGATCCTCTCGTACATTTGTAGAATTACCGCATTATCTTGAGAAATAAGGGTGCCGGAAATATTCCCCTTTATGTGTCATGAATATGCAATACAAATAAACTTTATTTAGCAATCTGTGCATGTGGCATTCGGACATTCTAATTGGCATAAATGTATCAACCCAGGTATTTACACAATCTCCCTCAGCTTAATGACGCTCGAAAACTGCGTTAATTTACATAATGCAATATACGTGCCTCGCTGACGAGAATAAAAATGCAGCAAAGTATCTAGCAAAGGTTTCTAACCTGTGTCGTCCCTGTTTTTATTTTTCTTCGTTCTTTTTTTACGCTTTCATAATTTCGAGCAAACTAGGTGCAGATTGACCGCCTGACAGGCGCGCGCGCCCGTAATCGGTAAGAGAAATCGACATAAAAAAAACAAAAGGTTGAACAATATTTCAGGCTTGGAGTTCTTAAGAAATAGGCAAAGGCTGCACGAGTTTTCCATCTACATTATTTACTCGCGTGGAAATTTTAAAACAGGCTTTTTTTTACATTATTTTATCCTCTCGGCATATTTTGGAACGCCACATCCTGAGTGAGAAGCAGACGACGCTGTTGTTCGCTATGATTGGAGGGAGACAGTGAGTATAGAGGCAAAGGCAGCTAGCCTTTTCCTCCTCCCACTAATCCTTCCAATCAAAGCTCGGTGATCTGATGACACCGCACGCTCTCAGGTCCTGCTCTCCCTCCGTTTATCTCCGAATCGAAGCACGATCGGGCCCCATTAGCTCCGTTCTGTACAACTGCCGCATCCCAGACGTTCTCCACGCAGGTAACAAGCAGCAGAATCTGCCCACATGGAACCTGGTACTGGAGGCTCGAGTCCAATGGAATTGCAGAAACTGCAGCAGCAAATTCCCAGTCCGGGTCCGGCAGATTAAAAGCTCGTCTCGGTCGGCCCTGTGCGAAAACTCCCGCCGTGTCTGCTTCCCGCCCGGACTTCGGAACCCGGAGTACGCGTACTCCGAGGGCGTGTCTTCTGGGACGGTGGTGGACGTCCTGCGGCCACAGGCCATGGCTGTCCTGTGCCCGACGCTCAAGCCGCGCTACACCCTCATACAAGGTGTGATCGTGGCTACCCAAAAGGTTCAAATAATCTCTAAGGCGCCCAGGAGGTTTCTTAGATCGCCATGGCGATAACTCACCCTGCGGCCTCTAGGCATCCTAGAAATCCATAAATCATAACGATGCGTGGTAGATTTCCCGATTAAAAAATCAATCAAAGATCTCACACACCGAGGTCATCTCCGACGTTGAGAGGAGCATCGTTCCGGCAGCCAGGACGACATGTGACCAATGAAAACGCGACATTTCGGTGAGATTGCAAACACTGCTATTGCCAAAGTGTGTATGATTTTGTAGATGATAAAAGCAAACAAGAGTAATAGAAAATATTGATATTTCCGCGGAGAGGGAACATACTACTGCAATAATCGTTTAAAAAAAATTGGGTTGTGTGGTATGTTTATACAGCCTAGAACCTGGTCTGCCTCACACGGGCGACGAGTCTCCCAGCTGTAGATGAGCAATTTAGCCAGTGCAGTACAACCGCTAGCCTGGGGTCTTTAACGTGCACCACGCAGTAGTGATACACGACCGCACGCCGGTACGATGCTCATCCAGATCGAAACGGGCAGGGGTGGGGACTGAACCCAGGATCCCTGGGTTCTGCAGCGCGAGCTTAATGAAGCTCGAAACACCACACACCTGCTCGGACGTGCTCCGAGCTGGTGTGCGCTAGCCCACTCGGCCACCGATCCCCCCTGATAAAAACAACGCACAATTCCCCCCTAAAAAAAACAACGCACAATGATTTTTTTTTTTTTTTTAGTTTGCGGGAGTGATGTGTCTGGTCGTCAGCTCTCGAGCGGGCGCTCGCTCGGTTAAATGGTAGTCTGGACAGTATGGGTATGCGAGCCGCGCGCATTCAAGATATCACTCCGAGGTTCCACCGGTCAGACGCACGAGGATCCTTCGCTTGCTGTTGGCTGACAGTGGTCCTGGTTTCGGAACATGCTCCTTCCATCGCCGGAGTTATAAATAGACGCTTTGCAGCCGCTCTGCATGTGCGCCGCCATAACCAACCATCAGTTTTTGTTTCCGCTTATTCCGTTCACGTCACTTCATCATTACCATAGGAGGCCAGGTTATTTCCGTTTTAGATTCTACTTTGTCCTTCTCCCCGGCATTAGCGTTTCTGGAGGTTTGTCAACGACCGTTTCAGTGGTTCGGTATCTCGATAAGACAAGAACCGGTCAGCAATGGCGGCTGTAATCTTGCACGTGTGTAAAGCGTCTATAGATGACCTCGGTGTGTTGCGATTTCTGATTGCTGTTTTAATAAGAAAAGCGGCCGCGTATCGCCATGATTTAGGGATTTCTAGAATGCTTTGAGCCGGCAAAGTGAGTCATCGCCCTATTTAGAAGATCTCGGAAACATCTTCAGGGCACCGTTAAAGTCACTGCGCATACAACACACCAGGCACGTAGCAAGGATTTTGTTTCGGGGAAAGGGGGGGGGGGGGGGGGGTGCACATGACAGAATGCTGTATGAGGGGGAAGAGGGAGAGGAGGTCCCAACAAAATGGCAGATTTTGGGGGGGGGGGGGGAAGGCCCGGCCCTATGCCCCCCCCTCCCCTCCACCCCCTGGCTACGTGCCTGCATCACACAAATACAGTGTGTTCGCTTCAGACTTGATGACCAAACTAACTGCGGACTTGCCTGGTGCATGTTTGAAGCACGTTCACCTCATACATGTGTAACACTTCTAACACGTCTGTAGACAGTTTTTGTACGACCAATTTTACAGGAGCGTAGGAAACACGCCTCAGAGAGTGGAGCGTTTTAGGGAACCGTTTTTGCACGTCCAGATACGGTACAATGGGGCCTCTGGTACGAACTGCGCTTGTGCGAGTCTTCCGCGGCAGCGCATGCGCAGTGCGTACCGGAGTGCCCATCGTACCGTTTCGGATATGCAAAAACGGTTCCCTAAAACTCTCTACTCTCTGCAGACTGCCTTTTGTACGATGTATTAGCGGTGCGACCGCGGCTTGAGGCAAGGCTCGTATTTAGTATGTAATAGCTAGCATTTAAATGAATAGAGTAGTACTCTGAGAATTGCGATACCGGCATCAAAATCCAGATCACCTTTCAGAGTAATATCTCCCACGCTAATATGTTGTGCTGCCCATTATTAGTTTTCTTTGTGTGTGTGTATGTGTGTCAAAGTTTAACGATATAATTTTTTTTTTTTTATTAGCTCACCCGCATAGTTTCGCTGCTCGCAGTTTATATTGTTTTGCGTACTGCGTAGTTCAAGGATTGTCGCGCAGCCCATTGTCGCCTCGGAGACCCAATTCCCGATGCGTCAACTTTACAATCGTCATTCAGTCTATTCGCATTTCTTCCGTTATTCTTGGTTCGTAAAGTGAACGGCCATATGAAATCAAGGTTCAGGTATGTTTTGATACTCGTGGCGGAAGATTGGATGTGAGACGATGTCGAGAGGTTAGCCATAATGTCAACGCGGTTTTTGCTCGTACGAAAATAAAGTACCGAACAATTCTAAGGAACAGGAATGATAAGCTTAAAACGTCCACGATGGCGCTGCTAGAAAGCGAATAAAAACAATGTCAATCAAAACATCAAACTCACTATACGCTTTCTTTTTTATGTTAGCTCTCAAAATGTAAACAATTAAAAAAAAAAACGGAAATGGGTTTTTGAGTATAGAAAAGAAGTTTCTTGTCCAGCGTTTCCTTAAATCGAAGCATGAATCTTCGCGCTGCTCGGTTCTTAGCATTCTTTCATGCCCAGATGATAGCACCTCAAACAAAGGCCTTTGCCCCTCAAACGTCATCACGAATGTATCCACGCAGCGCCACCTAGCCCGCGTACCAGGCGCTGCCAGCGCGTCTTACAGCGCCTCACAGCGACACTTACAATAGGCAGCTTTCGTAGATCGTTTCCGCTGTCCCGCAACGCTCTCCGCAACCCGCTACGATACCCGGAACCAGGGGCGGCTCCAGAATTTTTTTCTAGGCAGGGGGGGGGGGGGGGGGGGGGGGGCGCTGCATGAATATACTGAATTCGGGGAGTGGGGGGGGGGGGGGGGGTCTTGTTTTCGTTAGTTATGTTTACCTTCATAAATAATCTTTCTGCTGACGAGCAGAAATCTCACCTAAAGTATACTTACGCAATCGTGGAGGGCTTAGCGCTGAATATAGGCATCATCCAATAGAACTTAGATCAGACGTTTTCATTAGGTATCATTTAATCCATATTCTCTCTCTTGTGTACTTAAAATGCCCCTCTTTTGTTTCTTCTGTAATTAATCCCATTGAGTATAATAGGAACCTCATTATTTTTATGACATTTAGTTTGTCGCAGTGAATATCCAGATTATTTTAAAAACATTGCAAATTCTAAACGAATGTGTCATTAAAAAAAAAAATGTTATCTCGGACGTGCGCAAGTTCGTCAGCGGAAAAACCACGAGGAGGGTCGCACTGCATTTTCAAAACTCAAACTTGTTCGCTTCACTCGCCTGGTCCTCTCGACTTCATTTCTATGTAGGAAACCCACGAATCTTGACATGACTTATGCGTGACTGAGGTTTCGTGCTTTCTAAAGCCAGATTCTTTGTCCAGCCACAGCTGCCAAACGTGGATTTCTCATTCGCTTTGGTAGAGAACATTCTACTGGGATATCAAAAAACGGAATCAACTTGGGTGATGTATTCTAGCCAAGAAAATAACCTATACCAGTCAGACTGAAAGCTTACAGTCTTTTTTTCTTTACTTTTTTCGGTGGGAAAGAGTTCACTATGGGCTGCCGCGGCGACTTTGTCTTATACTTGGAAATGTCCAACTAACCTGAAAGATCGTCGTTTCCCTCCGATACGGTGCAAGTTCGTCTCGTCTCACGCACGAAGAAGAAAACTTGTCGCTTTCACTGTTCCTTGTTCCGACGAAGGATGATGGACGTCGCTAGAAGCGCTGGGAAGGCCATCAGGAAGACTGTACGGCTGGGGATGATCCTTCCGCTGCTGCTCGATCCCCAGGTTTTCTGAACCTGAAGAGGGCGGTTTGGAAGGGTCGCCGTCCTGCTTCTTGACGCGCTTGTTGGAAGACGAAAAAAGTCTGCGGTTGATCTCTTTTGCGATTTTGTGTCTCTTTCGGAGTCTTGAAATCGGGCTCAGCTGCACATGTTCGGTTCAGCAGCATAATTGTTGGGGCACTTTTTCGTGTCCGTCATCCTGGTAACATTTGGCACCGAGGCTAAAAGCGTAGCAGAGCGGAATGGCCCTTGAGAATGGCTTGTTATGTTGAGACCGGCAGGGCCAGTTTGGTCCAGGTGATAGTTTATGGCCCCGCCCCTGGGACTGTCTTTGTATCCTTCTGAATACTCTCCAAAGATTCTACTGGGGAATCCCAACAGGCAAATAGACAAACCGGCGTTGTTTCCTACGCCCTCGCTTAGAGTCCCGCTCACCTCCTTTCCCCTTGCTTTTGTCCTTTCGTGTTTTGAGCAGCAGTGCACTCGATGCCGCCGCAGGCCAAGCGGTGCGTTCCGCGAGCACTATGGCCGCCGTGTCGCCTCCGATAGGTCGCGCGGCAATGGCACACATCCAAAAGAGGAAGAACCTTCACGTTTCCTAGAACAGATTACATTCCCCAGGAAGTGAGCAGAAAAATCGAGGGCCCACTTACACCAAGACAATCCAATTGAAGGAAGGAAATTACGCTGGGCGGTAAGATGATACCTACAAGGTTGAACTCGTGGATCTCGCAGCCGCGTTATTGAGTGTGGATCAGCCAAGGCATTAGTAAAATCCTTCCAGACGAACAGCCGAACCGGCATCGTCTACCAAGCGAGGTCTCTCTTACCTTTTTCCACCTTTCTTTCGGCTCAGTCCTGCACATGGGGCCGCCGCGGGGCGGTGTAATCCGCGAGCAACATCAGCGCCGTGCCGCTGCTGAAGATCAAGCGGCTATGGCACGCACCCAGAAGAGAGAGACGCGTCCGGATTTCGGGAATTGTTCACAAAAACCAGGAAGCTTATTCTCGACGAAGTGGTCCTGAAGGGCCCGCTTCCACCGAAAGAAGTCAATCAAAGTAAGAAAAGTACGCTAGACGGGAGTGGTATGTCTCTTGTAAAGCTGTTTCTTCTAAAAATAGTGTCGCGCTTCTCTATTCTTATATTTTATTTGCCTGCTTTGGCTTCCAAGGACGGATGGCTGGCTTGAAAGGACGGATGCTTCTCGTCCATTGCTAGTGCCCGTAATGTGCGACGTTAACTTTCCTTTTAGGAAACCACAACCTTTGCTTTGCGGACTGAACCCCCCCCCCCCCCCCCCGACAGCATTTTTGGGGGGGGCAGGCAGGAATTTAAGGGGGGCGGCTGCCCACCCTTGCCCCCCTGTAGAGCCGCCCCTGCCCGGAACTCTACAGTCAAGGCCGTCGGCGCGCAGGCGCAGTAGCGGCTTCTTCGTTGCGGAGGGCTTAGCGGGGTAGGAAACGTGGTCTACGAAAACTCCCTTATAGCATGCAGCGTAACTGTGGTGCCTTAATCGCGTCTTCGACTGGTGTGTTTAGCGTCGTATCCCACCCATACATCAAAAGTGGTCCCAGAGTGGCAACGAATGACGTCACAGAAGCCGAAGTGTCATGCTGTTGCATGTCACGATACTGGCGGCTGGTCGTAGGAATGCTAAGGAGAAGGCTGCGAGTAGCGCAACCGAACACGAGTGTCGCTGTCGTCATGGCGTCCCAACTTCCGGCTGCCGAAACTTCCGTGGTCCGCCACAATTAAGAGCGACTTGGAGCACCTCAGGCATCTCCTACAAACACCACCGCTGTTGGAACACCGCCAGGATCGCGACCGGCGACAGCATGACACTTGTGTGACGTCACCCGGCGGAAATCGAGTGACCACTTTTTTGGGCGCGCTAAATACACCAGTCGGAGACGCGTTCCAGGCACCATACCATAGCGTAACGCACACCGGCCGTGGTTCTCGTTGAACTTCGGCGTGTTGCCGCTAGAGGCGGGGACGTCGCGCACGAGCTTTGTCTGCTAGGTGGTGTTGCCCCGACCCACCTGTTCGACACAACTCGGCCATAGACATAATCTATATGTACGCCACGGCAACATTCATTTGCACGCTCGACACGGGCGAACGCTTCCTTTGTACATATCTCATATCTTGGCTGACTCAACACGTTGTCTCTTTTCACGCTCTCGGTACACCTCACACGGTGCAGAACGCAGCAGTCCTCTCTCCGTCGACTCGGCATCCGGTCTGCTCTCACTGTCCAAGGGACTGCACTGGAACGACCCGCCCGTGTTGGCCAGGGTGCGCTGCTTTACAGGAGAGGGACCTGCTGCGGAGACCGACGTCAGCGTCTTTGTCTGGGATTTGGACGATCACCCACCGAGGCTTCCCGCCAAGGCCAGCCTTGAGTGTAGGATCACGCTGGACAAGCTAGAAGCTGTGAGTGTTTTTGTAGCATGAGCTACACTGGCCGAGGTTGAGCAGTTTCGCGTGGCTCGCATAATGAGCCGTACTCTGTGCTGCGTATGCGCGAGGAGCAGTGACGTCACACGGCGCACAGCTGGCGCGCCGGAGCCGCCGCCGCCGCGCGCCTCGCCGGTCTGCGCATTCCAGAGGAGCGACGTCATAGCCGCGGCAGACGCTCTGGCGCCGCCGCGTGCCCAGCTGTGCGCCTCCGTAGCGCAGTAGCCAAGTCTGACGCTGCACCGGAGCCGCTTGATAGCGCCTCTCATTTTGTGAGCATAAGCTCACGCTACGTACATCCTGGCATAGCCAAGCTAAGCCACCGCAATTTTTTCCTCCGCGCATGAAGCCTTCTGGAGCGCGGTGATTGCGAACAAATTTACGAGATATATGTGCATAAGGCTCCCAAGCGAACTGGCAAGTAGCCAATCGTGTTTAGTTTAACCAAACAGCTCTGCCAGTGATGAGGTGAAATTAACAGTTCCTTCCAAAATTCTAATATTTTTATGCCGCAGTACCCGTGGTAGTACCCAAGGAGAGAATACAATGCACGATGCAGAACCCTGCACCTGCGTCACTGATATTTGAACATTATGCGTCTTGAACGATTTCTCTAAGCTGCATGTAAGCAGTTCAGAGACGCGCTTAGAAAATTAATTATTGTGGTTTTTGCCTAGACAGTTAGGACGACGACGGACATCGTGCTCTAAAGGCTGGTCCACTCATACAGGGCCGCGCCGAATCGGCGTTAGAAAACGGCGCTGATTCAGCTCTGCCTTGCACGTGACTTATCGCCAATGTGGTTCCACAGTGGTGCACGTTACTTATTGCCCACGTGCTATTCCGCAGTGGGGAGTGGTGATATAGCACCGATGCATTGCTGCTAAACCGACAACTCGGTAAAGCATGGGCGCCGGGTCGGCGTCTTTTTCAGCGCGCGCTGTGCTGTGTGCGTGGACAGGCCTTAATACGTCATCATCCAGTTTCCACAAAAAAAAAAAAAAAAAAAAAAAGATGCAGGCCTTTTTAGCAATGAGGCGTAAGGGGCGTACCATATTGATTTACACGTTTTTTTTACTACAAATACTTGTCACTTGAAGTAGACACATATGTTTACCGTCTCGACAAGCTCTCCGGGAGTCGAATGCCTCTGCACCTCCTGTGTGGCAGCGTCCACATGCCCCGCTGTAACTACTTTTTGGGAGTGGCTCACACCCACGGCTGTACAGCTGCTTCCATTTTATAAATGACCACAAAATAATGTTCCTCAAATGTTTTTTTTTTTAATGCCACGTTAGAGATGATTAACACTGGGAGACAGGTCGTATAAAACCCAAGCACGACCAAACATCCGACTGATACTACAACATGTCAGAATCACAGCCGAACCCCATCATCTGCAGCTCTCTTACTGCATCGTGTGCATTCACGTGAGGACGTGATGGCCGGTGTCTGATCGGGTTCAGCCGTCTTTCTGGCACGTCGTAAGAAAAGTCGTCTGGTCGTATGGCCCGGCCAGGCCTCCAGAGGTTATCATATGATCGGTGCATGAAACAACCCCTGCGAGGACATCATTTAATGGTCATTAATACGCTGAAACCAGTTTTTCAGGTGTGTATGTAAGGCACTCCCCAAAAAATGGTTCCAGTAGAACACACAGAGACTGTCACAATGGTGGTGCAAGAGCATTTGGCTCCAGAGGGAGCCTGTTGAGAAGGTGGACATATGTGCCGACGTTTAAATGACTGATATCTGCAGCAAAACTAATAGTGATTGTAAATCAATATGGTACGCCTCTCGTGTATTGGTATTGCGTGAACTATAGATCCCAAGCGAGCCAAAGTGTTCCCTTCAGATGTAGGGAAAGAAGTGATTAACACTACCCTCATTTTGTAAGCTCAAAAAACTTTCATTGAGTTTGGCCTTTGGTATGTCTTGTGTTCACCTACCATGCCTACTTTGTATAAATAAATTTTAAAAAAAAAGACAAGGGACTCATTTATGCGTTTGAGTATCACAAATATCTAGGACAAGTGGTTGTGCTACTGCTTCTACTTGTCCTTGTCATTTGGATCATTCGCGTTATCTTTCATTTGGTCAAAGCAGACTTAGTGCCCGGAAGGTGACCCCCTAGTGCCACTGTGAAGGTGAGGTCATTGGAGCATGGTACCGAACATTTTTCTCAACTTTTCAGCTAATTAAAAACGTCGAACGACCAGAGTTTAGAGTAAAACGATACTTACTATACTCTCGGGTGCTCCAAGAGTGTACTTCTAGGTCTTCTCCTTTGGACTGTCACGTTTTCAATGACTACCTAACTAGCCCATCGAAGCATGTTGACAATGTCCGCGGACGCTTCTCCTTCGACAGCACACCAAGCTGGACTGCCCGCTGTCAATCCTGGACGGAGACTCGCTGGACGCTAACAAGTTCCGAGTGCGCCTCGAGGGAGACGAACTTGAGCTGTTCAGGGCAAAGACACCACTCGACGAGTACTTCCTCGGGGAACGGAAGGAGACCTTCGTGAATGTCGGTTAGTTCCCGAACCCCTTTTTTCTGTTTGATAAACTACCTGAATATGCGATTGGTGGCGGCTAAGTTTCTTATTATATTCCGCATGCCACCCAGAGATATTGTATTAATCAAATAACGCGAGTTTAGGCACGAGTTTTACTTTCTTGACTCGTCTCACATAACCAGCCCAAGGCAAAATAGATCAGAAGCGGAAGAGAGATGATAGAGGCTAATTCAGTCACTTGAGATAAGTTGTGCACTGCAGATGTGTCACCATTTTTTACACCATCAAAGGGATCTAAAGAAATATCGTACACAGGTTTGGTTCGCCAAGTTTTTTGATGCAATGCACTGCCAACAGTTTGTTTGCAATGCTTATGCACAAGTTACTTAGCAAAGCTACCCTTTCTACTCGGGGATATATGCATTTCCATTTTCCCGGGGGGGGGGGGGGGGGGGGGGGGGGGGAGGCAGGCTGAGTTCTCCCGATGGGGTGGGGGAGGGGGGGTGCTGCGCGCTACCTTCTCGACAGAACTGGAGATTGAAGGTAACGAAAACACGCTGGTATTCCATTTCCCATGTATTGTGCCAATAAAGGCAACGTGGGCGTTATTTTGTTTACATGCCGCTACTAGGAAGCTCGTACCATGTCACGTAAACAGCGTCTCGGTAAGGATCATGGCCCAAGGGGGAGGGGGGGGGGGGTTCTGCCCCCCCTGGATTTCACCAGGGGAAAGGGCACGAGCCCCGATGCCCCCCCCCCCCCCCCTTCCCCTTATAGTCTACGCCTATGGATATATGCACCCTTGAAATGTTTACAAATCCAAAGCCAATGCTCCATCTGCAGACCGCTTCGCGCGTGTTCGTCTTCCAAAAGTGAGCCACACTATACGAAAAAAGAAAAAAAAAAACTCCGAAAATGGTGTTTGACGGAGGCACTTCATTGTCGTCATGACCATGTGAACTATTTTCCTTTCCACTTTTCAACGAGAAAAGTTTCCTCTAAAAGGTAAACCTTTCTGATTTTTCACCGGAAAGGGTCACCTTTCCACTGAAAAGGCTTACTCTGGCACCTTTTCTAGTGGTTCTTTAATGTAATTCCGAAAGAGGATTTTCAATTAAAATACGATCGTTGTTGTAGCCGTGAAGGGAAAGGGGAAGGTCAGGAGAGGTGTGGGCCTCCAGAAAGAAGCAAGCGGGTAACACGCGGTGTAGTTGGCACCGCAACTCACAGAGGGCAGCACTAGTCCCGTGGAATCGATTAACAAACAGCATCACCCGAATCAGCCCGAACTTCGAAATTGACTTTGGCGGCACAATTTACAATAAACGGCTTGTATCGACGTTCGGCGTCCCATTAGCCGGCATTGTTGCGATCGTGCTGCTAGGCGCGTACCTTCCGTAGCGTGGGTTTAATATCGCAAATTTTTTTTCTCGATCGGACAAGTAGAAATACCAGCAGTGCGATGGCGTCATGTGCGAGCCATGTATTGAAGGGTGTCTTATCTTTTTTTTTTTTTCATATATACACCGATAAGCCAACACATTATGACCACCTATCGAATACCGTGTTATGACCACCTACCTAATATTTCGGCATGCCTAACACTTGCAAGTGTTGTCTGCTGAAGAGTCCTATATCTTACCAAGTCCAATGAACTGTGTGCTCAGAAACAACTTGTACCTTAACCTGCATTGTATCTAGCTGCCACTTGAGCCACAGAAAGCTTCCTGTTTTGCTTCACCAGGCGGAAAATCCTCCATCGTCCACATTCTCTGATGACGTGTGGACGTGCAACGCCTCGGCGTCTAAGTGGAGAGCAAGTCGTCTGCTTCTAGCGCAGGGGTTGTGGTGACGTCAGAACGACGACGCCGAGCTCTGATTCGTTTTGATTGAACGGATAGTGCGTAGACCTAAATGCCTTGAGGTCTACCCACTATTTTTTTGTTTTCAATCAGCCAATAAGAGCTCGGCGTTCTGACATCATCGCAACCCCTGTGCAAGAAGCAGACGAACTTACTGACGACGGCATCTCGCGAACGTCCGGCCAGCTTTTCAGCTTCCGAGATACTTGTTCCGAACCGTGGGGACATCACAATCTTCCCTACGTTATAGTCGACAAAATCAGCAGCCTTTCCCAATATGTGCACACGTAGTCGACAAAATGACCCCTCTGTATTCCTGGCGGCCGTTAACTATATATGGGCAGGAGATCAAACTATTCACTAGGCGCCATACTTGAGGGCAATCTATAGAGCGCATGCCCGGAACGAGCTCAGATTAATAGGCTGCTAAGAACGGCATTCTTGACGGTGCGGAATGCCCGTTGCAAAAGAACTGTGGAAGCTCGCCGTCAGCACGCGCTCAGCAGTAGCGCACGCAGCTATGAGTGCCGGTGAATACTCCCTATAGACATTTTGCAGCAGCTGTGCATGGGTGCCGCCATAACTGGCTTTCATTTTGTGTTTCGTCTTATTTTGATCACTTTGCTTCATCATTACCACCGCCGGACAGGTTATTGCCATTTTAGATTCGACTGTGTCCTTCTCCCCAACATTGACCTTTCTGGAGGCTCGTCAAGGTCCACTTCAGTGGCTTGGTATCTCGATAAGACAAGTGAAGGTCAGGAATGGCGGCTTTAATCTGTCGCAAGTGTAAAGCGTCCATAAGGGGCGCTTTATCGGTCATTTTGTCCCCTCAGCCCGGTGTTGACTAAAGGCTCGTTCACAAAGACCCGTTTTTTATGTTACGTTACGAAAAGTCACCTGGAAGTCTCTGGTTTGTATCAAGCGTGGCTAACAATTGCTAACAATTCAAGAAGATAGCGTGGCACGCGACATGCGAGACACGAATGTTTGAGTGACGACGAGCTAGGGCGATGAGTTACCTTGCAACCAAGGACACAAGGCTCGTCGTAACGTAACGTAAGGAGTTGAGCTCGGTTCAACTTTTCACACAGCTCCGTTTTCTTGCGTTACCTTTAAGTCACCGAAACATTCGTGTCTCGAATGTCGCGTGCCAGGCTATCTCCTTTAATTAGTAGCCACGCTTAATACGAAGCACAGATTTCCCGATGACTTTTCGTAACGTAACGTAAGAAAACGGGTCTCTGTGAACGAGCCTTTACACAGCATAACAGAGAAATTGAACCTCGCCTAGCACGGCCTGGGCGTAAGCGCTTTGTTCTGTCCAGTGCCTTGGTCGCACGAGGATCTGCCTTCGAATCGTCATCTTTGATTTCTCTGCTCAAAACGAACCACTAAAATTTGGTTTGTTGTCCCCATATCTGAAGCGTATTGCTAGAGGCGTGACTGTTCGATGTCCTCCCTCAGTACTAGAGCTACAGTGTGCTAGAAATGGGGGGTAGTGTTAGGACCTGCTTGGCTCCCGTGAGGCGCATCGAATCCATCTTTACAGATCACGCGTGGTGCGCCCGTGCGCTGCGATACGCGGAGAATGCGAAATATTGGTGTCACTTTGGTAGTGTTTACACAAGCTAAAAGCTGCAGCATTACTTGGCGCGGCTTACATAATTTTTTGTCCAGACTTCTCTTGCGGCTTTGTCCTTTGGAGTGACAAAGATTGACGCTTTCCGCTCACCTTTCACACGAGAGTAGCCTGTTCTGCAGCCTGGCCCTCAGCAGCACTTCCACCGCTGCCGGCATTTCAACGCTAAATTTAAACGTGTACAATCCGCAGTGTACGCTAAATTGTAGGCGCCTCAAAAATCTCACAAGGGAAGAACATGCCCGCACAACAATACAATGTACCTTCTCGCTTTGTGATCTGTGGCAGTGAGTCGAGCTATATTGACATAATATTAAAACAGCGCACATGACTCAAGTCGCAATTATCGCCATGTGGCGATAATTTGAGGGTCGGGACTTGTCACGGCTTGCGTTTTTCTAAGCTGTCGGTTAGCATAGTTCGTCAGAGACGTAGCTTGTAAAAGATAGTTGTTTGTTTTATGCAGCGCTGTACCCTCGCAAGTCGGGCCTCTCATTCCCTGGACAGGAGTACACGTTCAAAGTCATCGTTGAAGACGTCGACCTTGTGCGTGCCGACCTGAGCAACAAGGTATATGTGTTCTCTTTCCCATGCGCATTTTGCCATCTTGCTTCGGGTCGTTGGTCGCAAACACAGGCCAGCTAGAAGGAGACGATCTGCCCTTCTATAGTCACTGTATAAGATGAAATCGGGAGGGCGTCTTCCTTACATGAACGAATAAATGTTTAATATAGAAAGTTGCACAGACCCCCTTTGACCTCAGTCGTCTGGGTTGGGAGATGGTGGGATGGGGTAGGGCAGGGAGGGCTAGATGAAGGGGGCGAGACCTTCCGATTTCATGAAGTCTGGTCGAAGATTTCCTTGAGGTGCTCCGCTTCCCCAGTTGGCGTCACATTGGTCGTCTGGCGGATGTCTCAGTCTTTGTGTTTGTTATATCTTCTTCTACTTGCCGCAAGGGTCACGGCCGTGAGGTTGCGGAATTTGTGCATACAGACCCTGCCCCACCGGCGCAACGGTACAGCGAGAAGAACAACTATTCCGATTAAAAATGCAGTGCTGAAAGGGTGTGAAACGTCCAACACTGTGAAATATGTATTTAGATGACCTAATCCGCCTGATAATTTTTTTTTTTTCACAAGTTATTGCGCTGTAATTTGAGGTCCACCAAACAAGTTAGCGCATAATTTTAGAATTAATTCATTATCAAGCAAGCGACAACTTTTAAGAATGATTCCTGCTTCTTCTCATGTTGCTCCGATTTAAGCTTCGTCACCTTTGACTACTCGCTAAGCCAGAAGAATCTCTAAAAATGCCCTGCCAGGTCCCTTCAACAAAGAAGAAACGACAGAACAGGGGGAAGAGAACTTAATTCGAATAATTGTCCCGGTTGGCTACTCTGTTGGCATGCCGGCCTGGGGGAGAGGAGAGTACCAGTCTGATGTCACTGAATTTAGTTTCAACTATTGTCGGTGACGGCAGGTTAAACCTCATAGAGTATTTTGGTTAGGAGTGTAGGACAAGCTACAAACGCAAAGCCCTTTACTCTTTCCACTAGCAAACACGGAAGAGGAGGCGAGGAGGGAAAAAATTTGGGGGTTTTACGTGCCAAACCTACGACGGGCATCTGGCACGCCCCAGCGGAGGACTGAGGATTAATTTGGACCACCTGGGGATCTTTTGACGTGCAACCGAAAGCTCGGTTACACGGCGCCTTTTCCGCAATAAGCCTCCGTCAGATTGCGGGCACCTCGGTCGGGATTCGAACCCGCCATCTGGGGATCCGTAGGCCGGCGCTCTCGCCTCGGAGCCACCGAGGCGGCTGAGGCGAGGAGCGACTCTCCTCCTCTCCAGTGTTCACTCTGTTAGAGTGAAAAGAGAGGAGGGCCTTGCAGAAGGAGCTCGTTCTGCCCACTTAACCTGCACCATGTAGACGATTGCGTGCAGGGCACCTGGCGGCCGCCATGTCTTTGCTCGTGCGGGCATATACGTGCAATTGCAAGCTTGCCAAAGCTACGTTGACGCGCAGGCTGCAAGTACTCGCAGGCTGTAAGACGAATTATCGTTCACAAATTTCTTTATTTTTTGCGCTATCTCTCTGCTTTCTAAGCCACATGCTTTGGCGTTGCGTGAACTTAATACTCATAATGTACTTCTCTGGATGTTTTAGCACTGTCGTCACATTCGTGCTGGATGTAAGTTATATAAAAAAGACTGCCCTTCTGCCAATTTGCTGTTCCTTTCCAACCTTCTGCAGACAACTATGTTGGTGCACAAAACATTTGAAAATTAAGCAAATAGAATCCAAAGAAACAAGAGTGTTTTGATACCATACCTACGTCAAACCATAAGTTGTTTAAATTTAAAAACTTGTTTCTAGATTGTTTGGCGCTGAAGACTAAGAGTCTTCACATGAGAACACCAATACCAATCTCTCTGTCGTCTCCTCTCATAAATTCGATTTATATGTTTGTCTTGTGGGGAATTTCGCTGGTCGTTTTGGCGCTCTCAGCCACCTAACCAACACTTCGATCTTTGAGAAAGTATTGTATTCCACTACTAGATTGGGGACGCACTGGTTCCACCAAGATTATATGCTCCATTGCGGATTTCGGACATTGCTCTACAACGACCAGAGGAATCTCTATTGTAGTAGAAATATGCGTCAATGCTCGAGGCACGTACCCCAGGCGGCCTTTGAAAACAAATGGTGGCGTAGCATTTAAATAAGCAGCTCTTAGAAGCAGATGGCGGCGTAGCACTCGCTCGGGGCAAATGTCTTACACGTTCACACAACAATCGTTGTCGGTACTTCTAAGAAAACTCGGAGTGCGAATTTTATGAAATGCTTCTAGCTCGAGCCCGACTCCTTTTGTGTAGCGTCTTTACTATGGTTTTGTACGCTCACGGCTCAAGCGACGCGAAATCATTATTGAACGATAATTCACTCGAAGAAGTTGGAAGGGAAACAGGAAAACTCAAAGACGTATCCTGCACAGCTGGATATAGCACCTCAAAATAGCGTTTTCTTTTAGCAGTTTAGAATTGCTGCCAGCTGCTCTGCTTTGCGCTGCTTTATTTGACTATTTATATTCAGAAGTTGTTTCAGTCGTTAGCGCATTTAATACATGCTTTACTCACCTTCTTGAATTTGTGAACTCGCTCTTGTTGGTCCGCAATGTTTGTATCTATATTGTCTTTTTTTGCATTTGAATATTTTCTGCATAATCGACGGGTGTATCTCTCTTTCCCCACAATCTGTAAATGTCAAGGAATGAGCTATGACGGGACAAATCAGTTCGTAATTTATTTCCGGAGAAAGAGAATTCTGTTGAAGAGAAAACAGTTGGGTGTTATTGCTGCGCGTGGCCAAGTGTCAATACCTTGGGTTCCAGGTCATATTCACAGTGATCATCGCCAATAGCAGCGTCCAGAGGGTGCCTCTGCAACTCCAGGAAATCTACAATATATCCATGTCCCGAAGTGCCGCTGCTCTAGCCAGGGTAAGTGTTTAACATCCGACCCGCCTTCGTAACGAATGCTTTGCTTATCACGTTGTATCCAAAAGCCCGAAAAAAACATTCTTTTTACAAAGTCAGTGTTAAATTAATACCGAGTCAGGAGTGACAAACCACTGACTTTCTAGCGGATCGTCAGCCCTGACTCGTTAATTACAAACTAGGTGAAAAAGAAAACTCAGTTTTGAGAGAATGAACAAAGGGAGAATACTTTCGATGGCGGCTTCTCAAGTTTCTTACATCGATCGTTAGAGTCCATTATGGTCCGTCTGATATCTCATTCGAGAAAATTAGTTTTAATTAGGTTGTCAAAAATAATGTCGAAGCTCCATATTCGGTCTTTGAACTGTAAGCGTTTTTGATTTGAGGAGAGAGCAATTACATAATTTTGGGCTGGGCAGCCTGCATGGTGTATCATAAAATATCATCTAGCTTTAAAAAGATTTCTAGTTCTTATGCGAGAGGAGGAACTACAGCGCAGATACCAGAGACCGTGGAAGTAATTTAAGTTCTATCGGAACGGAATGGTACTCCACTTTGAGGGCGACTTTTTGTTGTCTTTCAGAAGAAATAAAGGGTGCGCGTTAATACATATTGCTTAACGAACCATGGGATGTTTTTTTAGCTCACAAAAGAACCTCGTATCATTTATAAATAATAATGACCATACACTTTTGCCATTCGCAAAATTCGTGACACCTCGTCATAATAAACAATTTAGCAAAAAAAAAAACCTCGTACAATCCTTATGTACAGTGGGGGCAAAAGTCCCCAGGACGCGCGAGCTGCGACTGAAACGCATTGCTCTGCCATCTGCCGGCGGGTCGCCTGGTTTCGAGATCACACAAATGCGCATGCGCGTCCTACACTGCCTGCGAACATGTGTGTTTTCCCGCTCTTCTGCACGGGGCGCCCAACTATGAATCGGGCGGGTGGTACCACCTCGGAGATAGCGCTTACTGACATGGCAGCTATAAAGCAAGGAGTACACGGCAGCTCAACTGAGCGATAAGCGGATGCGCTGACACGGCGAAATGCGGCGCAATGCCGCAGGCAATATCTCCAGTTTCGGAATGTGTAGCAGAAGCTCGTCAGCCGCAAGCGCTATCACCGAGGCGGTACTACGCGCCCGATTCCGAGTTAGGCGCCGCGCAGCAGAAAAGCGGAAAAACACACATGCTTGCAGTCACAGTAGGACGTGCATGCGCTTTTGTGTGATCTCAAAACCAGGTGACCCGCCAGCAGATGGCAGAGCAATGCATTTCAGTGGCAGTTCGCGCGTCGCGGGGACTTTTGTCCCCGACTGTACCTGTAGATTGTCCGCTCCAGGTAAAACGATTTAAACTTTTCCAACATTTACAGCTCGCTGACTATTTAGTCGGGACAATACGAAGGCTACACAGACGCGTTTGACGTCTCCGGTCCTATTTTAGGTGTGGCCTCCCCTGGCGAATCGCAGCTGGGGACACTCTTTCCGGCTGCTCACTCCAGGCGCGGACAAAGACAACGGTTCTAGAACAGCCGCTGACTCGGCCGCGGATTCTTGGCTGGCCGTAACTCCACGCACGGGCATCTTGTACGTGGGAGACGCGCGGAGGCTGCGCCACCAAGGAGCGACCCCGCACTACAACGTCGTCCTCGAAGCGACCTGGAACGACAGCGGCCGAATACACAGTCAGAAGTGCGCCATCCACGTGTATCTGACAGACCACGAAGGTAATTCCCTTGCTTTTGGCGTGGAAGCGTAATTTGTGTGGCGGTGAGTGTACAAAGTGCCCCCCTCCCCTCCCTCTGAAGCCCCCCAAAATTACCAAGTTATTTTTATGCGTTAGCATTATAACGCTTGTTTTGACGAACACCCGGGGGTGTCTGTCAGTTTGTCAGCACCGGGGAGAGAGAGGAAGAGAGTGACGCGAGCGACGCTCCCATTGGTACGAAGGGCTGGCGTCAGGACGCGTCACCCTTTCCCTCTTTCCCCGGTTCTGACAAACCAACATACACCGTCGGGTTTTCGTTAAAACGAGCGTTTTCGTTTTCGTCAATAGAGCTTCGCACAGCTGGCGCGGAGCCAGAAAGGGCGACGCGCCGCGGAGTCAATGAGGGGGAGGCGCTGCGGCGCGGTGAAATGCGGGCCTGCTTCAGTTGCCGCTCTGGCGTTGCCGGATGTTCTTCGCTCTGGGTTTCCGTAGTCACGGTGCGTGGGCTGAGATGTATGTGTGTGGTCAAAACGATGGATGCGGTTCCCTCCACGAGTGATATAGATGCGGTTCCTTTCACTAGTGATACGGTTGTGGTTCTTTTTCACGAGTGAAATGGATGACCGTATCCAAGGTCGTCGACGTGCTCAGGCAAGCAGAGCAGAGAAAAGGGGTGAGAAAAGTATAGGAAGATCCATTGTTTTTTTTTTTTTTTAGGGAATGGGTTTGCATGACCCCTGGCAGACGCTACACAAGTCCCCCTTTGGGAAACGCAAACACTGACCCTGTAACGAGACCAAATTAGGCAGCAAAGAACAGAGGAGGCGAAAGAGAAAGCCAGGAGAGAAAAGTGAAGGGGTCAGCGCTGGCGTTTACCGCAAAAACGAAGTGCTTACCGCCGATCGCTCATTCTTCGTCCAAATGTAGCCTAGCGGTCCGAACCACATACAAACTTTCAGAACTAACCGCCATCTTATTGAACAGTTGTAAATGATTTTCTAAACATTTCAATTGGAAAATGGCGGCCGATGGAGCTCTCAATTACATGGAGCGGAATGGCGTCAGTTACCGAAAACGGGCATAAATAAGCCTCATGTTACAATTAAAACTAGAAAAAAAGTAATATATTTTACATGGGATAACGCTTGCTTCTGAAACGTTTTCATCTGGTTCGAACCGCTAGCGCTAGATTTAGGCAAAAAATGAGTGTTCGGTGATGCGAAGTTTATTTTTTGCGTTAAAAATACACACTGTAATTTGTATTTTTTTTTTTGGGGGGGGGGGGGGGGGGAGGGGGTGTTGTGCATCTTATAATGAACTGCTCGAGTTTCTCGTGGAGACAATAGCCAACTGTTTTTTTTCTACTTGTAATTTTAATGCGTGTTCATTTCGCTTCCAGATGCTGTTCCTCTGGAAGAATGTGGTAAGTCTGGACAAAATATTTGTTTATCATAACAGGTCAGGCTCGAATATAGGTGAGGAAAACTAACGGAAAATAGCACAAAAATTGTAAAACATACAAATAGTTCCACGTCATTCTTTTTTTCTTTTTAACGCGCCACGCGTAGGGTTTTGTTGCACGGAAGTAGTAGGCACGCTTTTAACTCAACCATATTTGTGATTTACACGTAGTCTTCAAATTCAACATCTGTCATTTCTGGACGATAAGTAGACATCAGGATTCTTCTAAACGATATAACGAGATGGATGAGGTAGTACAGGTATAAAGAAGATATAGAACAGAAAAACCAGGCAAGAAACGAATCGTAAACCTAGCACCCCTTTCGTTTTATTTGATATTTATTTACCGTTATTATACAAACTACCAGGTTTGTAAAAGTTACTTCAAAAATGTATTTAAAATACAGTTACCATACGAAAAGGTACCTAGGTACGTACCTAGGTGCTCACTTAAAATTATACCTAGGTACAGGTACAGTTACTTCAAGGATACTTTATTTATTTTCCCAAATTTTGTCAGAATATATTGGAAGTAAAGCTTTTTATACTAAGGATAAGCACAAAAACGAATTCAATAAATGTGCTTTATTGGTGTCGACCCGAGAAATAAGGAAGACCGCATTCACATAAACATTTCAAAAGACGTTATCTTTTTCAGTTTCGGGTTTGAGATGAAAGAAGCAGGTCGCTATTTTCCCTAAACGTAGTTCCGAAGCGATTCGATAAATTAGTGTCGTTAGAACGGCATCGCTATTCCACCGTTCGCTGAAATGAACACCGCCTTTCGCTAAAGTGTCCTTCGATGAAACATCATGGGAGTAATAAAACATAATCTACATAATAAAACAGCACTGAAATAAACAAACTACACGGCAATCCTGACCACTATACCATTCTTGAACTTTTTAAAAGGTATAAAAAAGTCCACGTGAAGGTTAAAAAACTTATTGTACACGAGCATCATCCATGTCAGTGGAGGACCGGACTCTAGATAAGATGGGTGAAAAATGGAGTAGACGTATTTTGTCGCTCGGGGGCATGAATTGAGATTCTACTCGATAACATTGTAGAATAAAAAAAAAAAAACTTCTATAAAAACACCATGTCGCCTAGTCGAAAGAGGCGAAAGTCCAATTTGGCGATCGTAGACGATTCTCACAATTCTTCTCTGTATGCACTCCAACCTGAGCGCCTGACACCCAAAGAGTTCCATACCGTAGAACAAGAGTCCAACCGTGATAGAACCAAAGCCCGAAAAAGGTTCAGTATACAGGTGTAATTCCGGAAGTCACGGTTATTGCGTGCAATTATGCCCAGGATGCGCAAGGAAACATTAATAACCTTTGAAACATGATAGTTAAAGTTCAGGCGTGAATCGACCAAAATACCAAGGTCACGCGCAACAGAAGCTCTTGAAATTTCAGAGCCGTCTAATGTGTAAGGATTAGAGCACTGCACGGGCTCGGGCCGGGTAGCACGTATTTTCTCGGGCCCGGGCCGGGCTCGGGCTTGAACAAAAAAGTTCTCGGGCCGCGCCGGCCCGGGTCGGCCCGGGCCGTGCCTGGGCAATCTTGTGCCGTAAATCATAAATTGTTGTTGATAGCAAGAAGTTTGCTCATTAATCTTTTAGGTTCATTAAATACAAAAAAAAAGCGAAGTGCAAATTCACTACAGCGTCGTTAAAAATAATAACTAAAAGACGTCTTCAAGCTAGAAAGCCTTCAAGCTTTTTCCGTGTGAGCGAGGGTTCAGTGTTATAAATTGTAAACAAAATAAAGTCCCAGTCATACGCTTGTCAACCTGTCTGATTCATCGCTCTCAAAAATATCTAGTTCACTATTAGGGAGGTTTAGAAAAACGTACGCAAGCGCTTTGGGTACCGTAAAAATAGCGTTGCGATGTAAAACCTATGGCGGTGCTAATTTTAGCTTGCCCAAAGTGTTTGAGTACGTTATTCTAAAACTCCCTTATTGCACAAAGCACGACATTATATATTAGCGCGAACAAGCGATCGTCGTGTTTTTATGTTTATCTCATAGAATCAAAACGCTGTTTTCAAAACTATTAGTGTCTTTAGAAGTGTTCATCTGGGCCACAGACCTAAGCGGTATACTTTGGTGCCTACTAACACCATTTCGAAGTGAAATTCGAAAAAAAGAGCCAACGTCGTGTTCGCGGTATCAGTGTCGCGCAGTGTACATAGTCCGTTCCGCGCTTGCACGTTTTGGGAACCATCTTGAAAAAAAAAAAAAAACGTTTTAAGGGGTTAAGTAGGAATATATTAAACAAGCTTGCCTGAAAGGGTTGTATATTTTAAGAACGCGTTGACATGTAGAGCTACTTCAGAACATATTCTTAAACAAAAAAGGTGCGCAGACCAGGCTTAGAACGATGGAGACTTTTTGCGAAGAGGTTGCGATGTGCAGGGCCTTATAAAAGTAGGTTGAAACGGGACGCGTTGAAACGCAAAGGGTGTTTCGGAAACTGGTTCAAATAAGAAGGACGTTTAGGGAATGGGTCGAAACAGGACAAATTCAAACGAGAAGGGCGTTTAGGGAACTGGTCGAAACGGGACGGGTTCATATGGGAAGGGCGTATAAAGAATGGGTCGAAACAGGACGAGGTTCAAATGGGGAGCTCGTTTCGGGAACGGGTCGAAACGGGACGGGTTCAAACGGGAATGGGTTGTTTCGGGCTACAGCCATCGGGCCGGGTCGGGCGGGGCCTAGAAATTAAAAATTCTGTCGGGCTCGGGCCGGGCCCGGGCCGTGTCTCTTCCGGGCCGGGTCGGGCCGGGCCTAGAAATTTAAAATTCTGTCGGGCTCGGGCCGGGCCCGGGTCGTGTCTCTACCGGGCCGGGTCGGGCCGGGCCTAGAAATTCCGGCCCGTGCAGTGCTCTAGTAAGGATGAACAACAGCATTTAACTTAGGGGGAAAAGAAACAAGCTTAGTTTTGGTGGGGTATAAAACCAGCGACTTCGCAGAGCACCACAAATGAATTGCATCAATATCTTTTTGTAACAATTCACGGTCCACAGTCACGTGGATACTACGATAAATTTTCACGTCATCAGCATACTGAAGCGTCATTCAGGAGACCATATTTGAGCGTTCACCATGATAACTAGCAAACCAGTCGCAGAAACCCGAAAAAAGACCCATACGTAACAGCTTCGACAGAAATAAATTGTGATCTACGAGGTCAATCACCTTCGAACAGTCAAAATAAATAACATTAACTTCACCGCGGGACCGAACTATAGGTTTCGCGAACTCCAAAAAGGTTAAAAGATTTGTTTCAACAGATCGTCCACGACAAAAACCGTGCTGATTTGGACTGAGCGTCTGCTTTAAATGAAACTCACACGCTTAAAAATGTATTTTTCAAGAACCTTTGAAAATGTAGAAAGCAACGCAATTGGTCTGTAGTTATCGATACACGTGGAGCTTCCAGATTTGTGTAGTCGCACAACCAAAGCAGTTTTCCAGGCTGAAAGAAATTCACTTGTTATTAAGGACATGCTAAAAACGTGATGGAGTACAGGAGCCAAGATATCAGAGCACCCTTTAACAATAAAGGCCAGCATTCTCTCTTCCCCAAAGGACGCTTTGGGGGCAAGTTCTTTTATGGCCGAGTCCATGTCATCAATTTTGAATACAAGAATTGACATCAAAAGGGGATTTTCAGAACACAGGATTGCGTTGTTGGACTGGGGACATTAAGGTTTCCTATTGATGAGAAGTGTTTTGCAAAGAGATTGCACACACTGAATGAGTCAGAAACCTGACCTGTCTGAGTCTTCAGAGTTATAGCATCAGCTCTACTGGATGACTAAAACGTCGTTCGATCAAGTCAGTGTCTCCCAGGTCGTACCCAACTCAACGGTAATCACGGCACATGGTAGTGTGTTAATTCTTCAAGATGTATAGTTTCTTCCATTTCGACGAAGTGAATAGAAAAGTATCTGTAAAAAGTAACTTCACTGAGTTACAAGTTACTGGAAAATGTACCTAAGATACAGATACAGATACCGAGGAATGAAAGTGCCTAAGTCTGTACCTTAGGTAGACAAAAGTACTTCGATACCGATTTTCAGTTACTTGTACCTAGGTACTTTACAACCCTGCAAACTACCTATATTGATTTAAATATGCGCAGAATGCAAGGTGCCCGCACTTTTAAGGCGGAACATGCGAAGCCTGATATATTATGTAGGACCGGCATCCTATCGCCAGCCCAAGAACTGTTCAATGGTCATATCACTCGATGGAGCAACCCTTAGCATGCAAACAGAGGTCGATCGCTGAAGGTTTAGATCGCGGCTGGACCACAGGTGCTGCAGCAATTTAGCTGGACGGACAATTTCACTCACATGAAGGTGCATGGGTACAGCCACCTTCAATTTAAGAAACACGGAGCTTGGTCACTCTCGAGCATCTTACACTCGCGGACAACTTTCTGTGATGTTTCAGAACTGAACAGTGCGCGCGTGAACAGCTTTATGGATGCTCAAGGAGTCAAAATACGCAAACGCAGGTGTGCTCATAGCTTTGGCTTTATATCCGCAGAAAAATGAACACAAGTGGTGTGTCCCTCCACAGTTACCGCTTTACTGCAGCAATGACCCATAAGAAGATCGAAGAATAAACCACGAAGCCAGAAACAAGACCATAATAAACCAAGTCACGCTTTTTTAAGCGCTCAGTGACACTAAACTGAATAAATTACCAGTGCTTGGATGGCTCGGAAGTATATTTCGTGTTTATATTGAATGAGCCACCCAATAAGTTACGAATTTGGCAGTACTTATATGCACAGTGGTGCCATCAGATGGTGAAAAGAAAGGTCCGAGGACACCTAAGCACAGCTCATGAGTTGTGAATGCGGAAGCATTCCGGCCGCCTTCGACGTATTGGTTCCGCCTCGCGTTGTCGAAGGGCCTCGTCTTTTTGCCGCCTGAGGCGCTTTGAATCGCAACTTGCTTGAGCGTCACGCTTTCGAAAGGCGCTGTTCTGTCTCCTGGCGCGTTGCGCCGCTGCTCGTTCCGCCCGCCGTGTATTCGAAGATTTGACAATGATGGTAGATTTCGCTGCCTGCCTTCTTGCTCGTTGTGCTGCGTTCGTAATCGTAATCGTGATCGTTTTTGGCTCAGGAGAGCCACAGTACCGCGGAAAGGAGACAGCCCGTACCATGGAGGCCCGCGGTGCCATGTCTAGTGATGATGTTTATGAGAGGATCATGATATGTACAAGGGAAGGACGACGACGCATAGATGATAGAGAGGCGCCGACGATGCTGAAATGGAGCCCGCGGGCGAGGGTGCGGGCCGATGTTGAGGGCGATCAGGGCCCAGTGCCCTTCAGTGGGCTGCTCGCAGGGCCGGTTCTACGTCCAGCTGGCAGAAGCGTCTTGGCAAGCTCTCAAGGGCGGTGTTCGTAGGCTTCACCGTGCGCTGGGGTTGGGAAAGCCCCGGCGGCCCGGTGGTGATGAAGACGACATTCCTGATGAGGACGACCTGCTCTTCTGAACCGCCGCGCGAGTCTTGAAGGTTCGGTGGCGGATCAGGCAAGCAGGCCAACGAGCCGAGGCGACCCTCGGCGGGCCATTCGATGCACGTTCTCAATGGCAAAGCCCTGGCGGTTGACGACGCGGCCGCTCGCTTCAGTGAAGGCAGCGACTCCAGGGGGCGGGCCACTGTGGGCAGACCCCCGATGCCACACCCGACGCATTCATGTCCAAGGCCCAAAAGTAGTGCCGCGGCCACCCGATACAACCGCAGACAACTAAGGGAGCGTTTTTCCGCTCCATTAGTTTGTCTGTGGTGTACTTGCGTGGACGGGCAGGTTTCGCTAGTGCTGAGGTTGCGGCCTTCGATGATGCAGTTGATGCACTTCAAAAGCTGATAACGCCGGTTCGCTCCATGGGACAGTTAATGCTTTCGCATTAAAAGTTTGTTTTGTTCTGTTTTCATTTTGAGTGACCCAGCAACGGCTTAACACCTCCTTAGTGGTCCACTAGTTCGCCCGACAGGCATAATTGCTGCGTTGTTCCCGGTCCGGCCAGAGTTTCAGCCTTCAACGAGTGACCTCCTCTGCTCGGGCTATTTCAATGAGCGCCATGTGATGGAACAGTCGTACGGCTGCCGCTAGAATAACACTGCATTTAGACAAGATGCCGCTCGCGCGGTCCGTATACGTTTAGGAAGCACTGCACCTGAATAGAGCATCAACGATCTGACATTCGACTCTACGTCATTTTCAGAGGGCCGCTTGTGCGTCCAGCAGCTGAGCAAGAGCCAGTGTCTGTCCTCTTGCGGTCCTGGGGCCCCCGATGGCCGCTGCCGTTGGCGGGAGGGACCCGAGGGGCGCTACCTGTCGTCTGGCTACAGCACTTGCACAGGAGACCGGGCCACATGCCCAGACGGCACGTGCGACGAACTCGAGACACTGCGGCCGGAGCTCTGCCCACAGGACTGCACACGTGAGGATCCCCCTGCGATCACTACGCAGTGTATACTGGTGGACACCAGGGGCCCCATGTTGCACGGTTTGGGCTCCCACGGCAACTACCGGGAAGGAAGTGACGTCAACAACGCAGCAAATGTAGATTGGATGTTGATTGATGAGAGATCAGTCAACATTCAATCTGCATTTGCTGCGTTGTTGACGTCACTTCCTTCTCCGTAGTCGCCGTGGGAGTCCAAAACGTGCAACATAGGGCCCCAGGAGAGAGGAGGACACGAGAGCGCACCGGGACCTTAACACACCGAGCTCTGGCTGCGATGATTAGTGGGTAAACGCTAAGCTTGCTGCCTTGTCTCCATTCAGTGTTCGAACGCGTTCTCACGCGAACATGTAACTCTGGACGCCATCGTTCGGCATTCGAACGGGGTGGAACAGTGAGCGGAGTCAAAAGCAGCTTTGCATCTAGCCACTAATCCTTCCAACTAGAGTGCCTACATTTGCGCTTCGCTTGGGGTGATGACATCGCGCCATTTTTTTTCCGAACGCCTATTTTTCTTGTTTTGCTCTGGAGCTCGTGAAAGAGCGTCTTCCTGCACGCGCTCTTGGCGTTGACTGTACTACGGTGGCATTTTGTTTTCTGCAATATCCTCGTATTTTTCCTGTGAGCGCGTGCTCTTGGCATCGGGTACTACAAAGGATGTCATCCTTCTAAACACTTAAAGCCCCTTGATAAAAGCGTTTTTTACAAGTACCGCCAACCATTGTTGTGGAAGCGCGCGAGACACGTGCCATGAGCGGGTGCTCCGCCGCCATTCGCTTCCAAGGACCGCTCATTTCAGTGCTGTGCCGCCATTTCCTTCCAAGGGCCGCTCGAGACATGGGCCTCGTGCAGTCGCGCATTTGACGCTACTTGCAAGACAAACGCTAACACATCGAGGGGCTTTATAAACACTAAGCATCGCGTCCCGCCTGGTGCCCCAAGAGTGCAAGCAGGTGCAGCTTGCGCGTCCACATAACTTTGGTGAGCTTGAAATTGCTCGGGCTTGTCCGTACCAGCAAAGTCATGGCGGCGGTCAGTGACCTTGCTTGCAATAGTCTATAAGGAGTATTCACTAGGCGCCATATTTGTGGGTGCTGTCTACAGCGCACGCTCAGAACGAGCCCACATTAATAGGCTGCTAAGACCGACGACACGGCACGAGCCCTCCCAAGCACGGCCGTCTGCTTTCTGTGAACTAAAGTTATGGCGGCGTCACGCGTGCACCGAACGCTTAGTGAGATCGGTGTATTCCAAAGCAGAGCTCTACGCTCTGACGTCCCCGCACGCTCTCGGCTCATCCTCTCCCTCAGTTTCTGCCCGTATAGGAGAGCGCGTTTCCAGCTTTGATTGGCACCTAAGCCAACACCACCTAGAATAAGCAAAGCCTCCGGATCGCCTCCTCTCTCTTCATGAAACGTCATCAGAGACGGATCGCGCTAACTCGGCTATTGGACCCAAGTCCGACCTTCGACGCGCTGATTGAACACGAGCCCCGGCCGAACACTGACGCAGCAGTCGTGCCTAATCTCAGGCCTCGATCGATCTGAGTGCGATGACGGTAAGGAGGCCTTCTGCTTATCCAGGTAATGTTGCCTAAGCACGCGCTTCCGCACCTTTGATTGCATAGACACAAAAAGTTGTCCTCGAGTAAAGCATAATAGTGATAACTCGGAACGCGAATATTTAGCAAAAAGGAGGACTTTACGCAAATACATAATCACTAATTTATAACTACAGTTTATTCAATATTTCGCTTCATTGACATTGTGGTTTTAAATATCTTAGTTACTTTTAGTTTTACTTTTGTGTGGACTTATTGTTATTAGTTTCATTTTTTTTACGATTGGGTTGATAGCGACTGCTGTTTTTCTTGTATGATTTACAACTCTTGCCAAGTGCGACACCACGCTCGCATTGTTTTGCACCATTTTTGTTTACATACGTAGTAAACTAGCATCGTTCTTGAACTGACCAAGGAAGTTACTCGTTTTCTAGCCGTCGTTCTGACACCCTCTAACGACGATGTGAAGCACTCAGCAGCTGTTCCTGCTGTTGAGTGCTTCGATGTGGTATAACATAGTCCCTGACTCGAAATTTTCTACTCGAAATCTCGAAGTCAACAGGAGTTTCAAACTTGTAGCTTGGCATAAATGCTGAAGTAAGTACATTGGATCCACGATGCACTCAACGCAAGGTTTTGTATATTGAGTTTTGTACATTCGTAGCCTGTCTTGACATTTGTAGAGCACGTGGTGGGCGAGGCACTGCTTCGTCAGCCTGGCCGGGGCATCAAGGCTGCGCAGGGCATCTGCTCGTGCGCCTCGGCCGACAGCTGCACCTGCACCAAACTGGTGTCGAGGCCGGAGTCGAGAGACAGCGTCGTCGGCGGGCACGAAGAGCCCAAGAATCCGGGGACGCTCCACTCGGCGGGCCCGGACACCGCCGAGGCCGCAGGTACCATACGTAAAGCTTCTCAAACCGTTCGTGAAAGAAAGCCAAGGACACCATATTTCTGTCCAGCTCAACGTTACTGTCCAGACGTTTGCTTTGTAGAAAGCATAAACGCACGAGAATTTAAGAAAGGAGAAATCGAGAAGGAAAAAAGTGAAAGCCGCTTACAACTCCCTGTAACGCCGAATTAGAGCGCAGCTCTTGAGGAGGAAGGAAGGGCACTGGGGGGGGGGGGGGGTTAAACTAACCAGGGGGGTCACGTGACCTTGGGAGGTCACGTGACCCCAATGCCGATGATGTCATCACTGACGTCACTGATGACGTCATCAGTGACGATGACGATGCGGGTACCGATGACGTCATTAGTGACGTCACTGATGACTTCACCAGTGATGATGACGATGACGATGCGAATGTCGGTGACGTCATCAGTGACGTCGCTGATGACGTCATCAGTGATGATGACGATGACGATGCGGATGCCGGTGACGACATCAGTGACGTCACTGATGACGTCATCACTGATGACGCCATCAGTGATGATGACGATGTGGATGTCGGTAACGTCATCAGTGATGGTGACGATGCGGATGCCGGTGACGTCATCAGTGATGATGACGATGACGATGTGGATGCCGATGACGTCATCAGTGATGATGACGATGACGATGTGGATGCCGGTGACGTCATCAGTGATGATGACGATGACTATGTGGATGCCGGTGACGTCATCAGTGATGATGACGATGACGATGTGGATGCCGGTGACGACATCAGTGACGACACTGATGACGTCATCAGTGATGATGACGATGCGGATGCCGGTGACGTCATCAGTGATGACGATGACGATGTGGATGCCGGTGACGTCATCAGTGATGATGACGATGTGGATGCCGGTGACGTCATCAGTGATGATGACGTCATCAGTGATGATGACGATGACGATGCCGGTGACGTCATCAGTGACGATGACGTCATCGGGAGGTCACGCGACATCGGCGGGGGTCACGTGACCTCGAGGAGGGGGTCACGTGACCTCGAGGAGGGGGTCACGTGACCTCAGGGGAGTCACGTGACCTGGGGGGTCACGTGACCTCGGGGGGGGTCACGTGACCTGGGGGGGGTCACGTGACCTCGGGGGGGTCACGTGCCATCCACGAGGTCACGTGACCCCGGTGGGGCGCTCGCGCGGTGCATTATGGGACATTTCCCATGATGCACCGCGCGGTTACGCCGACGGCGACGGCGACGGCGACGCCGCTCCAGCCGGAAACGCGCCCCTAAGAGCTGCGCTCTAAAAGGGAAAGGAAGAAGGATAGGGGGTATCTACCGGACACCATATTTCAGTGGGCTCTTTATAACGCATGGTCAAAACGAGCACCTAATCATAGGCTGCTAAAACCACCAAACTTAATGCTGTATATGGTATCCTGAAAAAAAAAATGAAGCTTGTAGTCATTACGAGCTCAACAGTCGCACAAACAACATCTATGGCCGCCACTGAATACTGCGTCCTACTGAAGAGCAGAATATACTAGGCTCGTTTGATATACCTGCACCCTCTGCACCGGTGCAGAAAAGTGTAGAGCGGTGTAACTCCGGTTGTATCTCAATACATATTCCGGAAGTACACCGCCCGACTTTTTTCTGCACAGGTTCATCGGACGAGCCTATAGGCGCTTTGCAGCAGCTGTGCATGGACGCCGCCATAACTGACCTTCAGTTTTTGTTTCCTCTTATTTCGTTTATTTCACTTCATCATTACCATAGCAGGCCAGGTTATTGCCATATTAGACTCAACTGTGTCCTTTTCTAAAGCATCGGCCTTTGTAGAGGATCGTTAACTACTGTTTCAGTTGCTCGGCATCTCGGTAAGACAAGAGAAGGTCAGCAATGGCGGCTGTAATTTGGCGCGTGTGTAAAGCGTGTATTGATTTAGAACGAAGGACGGAATAGACCGATCTTACTGAGCGGCTCACGCATGCGCCATAACGTTAAAACAGCGCAGAGAGCACGGAGGAAGAGAAAGGACAGGTTGAACGAAAAAGAGCTGACTCCCGACTGATTTATTTTGAAAGATGCGAAAAAGAAAGCGTCAGAAATTAACCCCGCGTAAAAGCAAAGGAGGAGAGAAAAACGAAAAACAAGACAATAAAGGCTGGTGACGTAACTAGAACTATGGCAGTTGGGAAACTGCCATAGCAGCCTGCTTTCAAAAAGTGGCTCCGATCCGTACTCGAGCACCGAACTAATGGCGATCGCAACGCCGCCATTTCTCCCGCAGCGGCCACTCCGGGAACTGCACGACTGCAGGTATTGGTTCAGGTCGAGTCGCGCAAGGGCCGGTGGGACCATCTCGGATGGCTAGCTCGCAGGGTCATCTCGCAGTAGCTATATAATGCTATTTTCATGTTTTCACTCGTCTCTAATGGGTGGCGCTGTTATCGTATTTAGTTTGGTCTCGGTGGATGCCAGCGGTCCAGGTTTCAAGGGCGACTTTCCCAAATGAGTGTTTTAGTAACGTTGTAGGCTGGGTATGTTTGATTTGAGCGAGAAAAGAAAAGGAACTGGCTGTTGAGATCGGTCTATTCGCCACATGGTAAATGAATTGATTATTTTCTCTGATTTAGTTAAAAGTGTACAGATGCGTGTGACCGCTGCGTTTCTGTGTGGATATTTCAAGTTTAGATTGTATGAGTCAGAGTGTATAAAATAAATACTACAATATGTTTTATCCCGTCGTATTTTGGGAGCATACGTCAGCAGATGGTATAGGGCGTTTGTATTGACGTGATTATGACTGGCTGTATAACACTAGAGCGCACCACACTAGAGCGCACGACACTAGAGCGCATGACACAAGAGCGCCGACAGTAGAGCGCCGCGACGTTAGAGCGCGCGCCACTAGAGCGCCGCGACGTTAGAGCGCGCGCCACTAGAGCGCCGCGACGTTAGAGCGCACGAGACTAGAGCGCCGCGACGTTAGAGCGCGCGACTCGAGAGCGCGGCGACGTTAGCGCGCGCGACTCAAGAGCGCTGCGACGTTAGCGCGCGCGACTCTAGTGCGTAGCGACATTAGGGAGTTTTAGTAGACCGTGTTTCCACCTCCGCTACGAAGAAACCGCCACTGCGCCTGCATGCCGATGGCTTTCGCTGTAGAGTTCGGGGTGGCGGAGGGCCTTAGCGGAGGGGAGCGCCCGTCACGATAGCGCACAGCCAGTCCAGCGCGAGTGGCCCCACCGGACCGACCACTTGTTCTGGCATCGAGTGTTTTATGTAAAATTGGCAGGGATTTATGCCGCGGAATTCAGCAATGACACTGCAAAATGAGTCGACGAAATTTTTGCGTGTGACAAACCAAGAAGTGTTACAAAAGCTGAGAGAAGAAAAAAAAAGCATATCTGTAGCGTGCATTTTCGCAGAAAAAAACCATGCAGCTGACCTAGCTTCATTAGTTCTTTGAGTTTGTATATCACAGATTTGCAGGGGAGGTTTTCCTGTATCCGTCAAAAGACGAAAGATCTGCATCCGATAAAATTGCGCTGAGCTTTCCTTCGACGAGTGTTTTACTGATACATTTTTAGCGGTGAGCTTTCTTCTTTAGGGACATGGACGTCAGAATACCATTTAAACTTATGCAAGGGACGTCTAAATAGCCACCAAATAGATCGGAGCCGAAATGTCTGTCAAGAATCGACCAAATATAGCAAAAAGTAAACTATTTATAGACAATTGCAAGCATGGCGCCACAAGTGGTGCCCCATGCGTGCAAGCGCGTGCAACGCGCGGGTGAACGTAGCTTTGGCAAGCTCGTAATCGCACGGGCGTGCCTGCTCGAGCAGAGACTTGGCGGCGGCCAGTCGCCCAGCTTGCAATCGTCTATAGTATATCCGAGAGGCGCACCGCAGCACTCTGAAGAAATCTTAGTGTCGCTGCTCCCCTCAACTGCAAACTTTGCCGGTACCTATATGCCCCAGCCCACTCCCCTGCCCCCTTTTCTCTCCGATCTCAGTAAACAATTGGTTAGAAATTTTTGAGTCATACCCGTTTTATTTTTATTATTTATTAAAGGCACATTCAATCAATCAAAAATCACCAATGCTTCAATCCGATGAGTCGCACAATTTTGTTTTGTCTGTGGAGCCGCGGGTACATCACACATTTTGCGGTGTTCGCTCAACTGGGGTGCGCCCTCGCGTCGCGCGCTCACTGGTTGTGCGCTCTCGTGTCGCGCGCTCAACTGGTCGTGCGCTCTCGTGTCGCGCGCTCAACTGGTCATGCGCTCTCGTGACGTGCGCTCTAATGTCAAGCGCGCTACTGTCGCAGCGCCCTCGTGTCGCGCGCTCTAAAGGCGCCCTCCCATTATGGCTAGACTTTTGTTGTTATAAGCTGTCTGGCGCGTGACGGAGGCAAGCAATCCAAGGATTCATCTGACACCATTTCTTATGTAGTGCACAGAGGCTCATGGGTTTTATTATAGTGTACTAGAATACTTGGGTAGTGTTGGGACCGAAGGGGCTCGCCTGAAGCGCGTGGTATTGATCGCGACAGGTGTCGCGTCCGGCGCCTTATCCGGAATGTGTGCGCATGCGCGGCTGCACGCGCGAAAACATGAATCTTTGGTGCCGCTTTGGTGGAGTGCACGTAGGATTTCTGATACAGCTACGACCTGCCAGCGGTCGTACCGCGGCATCAATTACGCTGCGGCACGATCGTTAGCAACATGATGCTTCAATGTATTGGACGGTACAAGCTACATTACCCTTCCTTCACATAAAAACAATTGCGACTTTAAAGAAGCGGTTTCGGTTTGTCGGATGGTGAGCATTTTAAATTAAATGCCCATTTCCTTGGTCGTAAATGCCGAACATTAGATATTTGAAAGGGATATCTAAAACTCGGAAGCGTTTTTTTTTTTTTTTTTTTCCCATCTTATTTTATAACGGAACGAAACGGCACATACTAAAGTTCGAGATTGCTTTAGTATGTTTTTAATACCCCAGGTTAACTTCTCTGTCTTCTTTTCTGCCCGTCTTCTTTTTCTTGACCTTAATCAGCTCGCTTCACTTGTCACTCATTCTTGTGTCCATTTATGCGACGAACCACTTAAGCGACGGTCGCAAAGGGGTGAGAATCTTATATTTTTTCATGGCTGCCACGACCATCCGAGAATCACCCGACGTTCACTTGTAAGAAATGGCTTATAAGCCGTGACAATTTTTATCACGCCTTTTAACATTTAACTTAAGTCCGAAAACTGAGACAATGTGGGTTGAACAAGTAATGCTTTATAAGATTCAAAGAAAACAAGAAACTATTTCACATCATTTTGAGCAGAAACATGAGCACACGTAGATCAGGCAAGGAAAAAGTTGTAATAGTTTACAGCACGGCATTGAAATAATGGCTGCAATGTGCAGCGCATACATGGTTACAATATGCAGCGCATTATCCTCTCGAAGGTAAACCATCTGAAACCTACACGCTCACAACAATACATTTAACCGACAGCTGCTTTCTGACAACCAGGTAAGTCTCGCCTGAGCTGGGTATTCGAAGGGGAACACTGATGGTTCCACAGGGGGCGTATCTGGTTCTCGCAGACATTCAGGGTTTTTTTGTTTTATTCTTGACAGAACTTAACATATTTTACAAATAGAAAAACGATGTGGCAGATATGTGGATGCCGTCTTTCGTTATATCTGTAGGGCTAGGTGGACAATGAATGGGCGAATAACCGTTGCAATGTTTAATAATGAACCAAGATCTGTTAGTTAACTTGTTTATTAACGGCTTAATTGGCCATGGTGCAATTGCAGTTTTAAAAGGAGTCATTATTAAAGGCAAATACAATTTCGACAATTCGCGAAAAGGCAACGACGTTCGCGAAGTTAATCGTAAACGTTTGCCTTTCTTCGCTTGATTCAGAAACCGCGTTATGAAAATAATACGTAGAATAGTAACTTAGTCGTCTTGATGTGTGGCGCCGGCGAGTCCACCGAAGAAACGCTGTCGAGTTAGTGACGAGGGGACAGAAACAACCTGCGTCATTCTACGCGTCAATATCAGCACAACCTCATTCGCGCTTTCAGCGCGCAGTTTTTTTAATTAAGTGAAGAAAGGCAAAAGTCTAGCGATGAATATCTCAGGACAGAACGAGCGGGTTGGTAGAGATAATTAAGCTTGAGGAAGAAACGAAAATGGACGGACAAACACAACAAAAACGAACGCCTTGTTACTTTCGCTCAAAGCTCGTTGTTTGTTCGCGAACTTTTTAAATTAAGTTGGCATTTAATGATGGCTCCCTTTAAAGCTGTAATTGCAACATGGCCCATCAAACATTTCACTAAACCTTTGCCTACCGCAAAAATTAAAAAAAAAAAAAAAGATTTGAAAATACCGATTTTTTTACGTGCCCTATACTCTGTTTCACCTTGTGTTGTACCGCAGGAAAGGCTACAAGCGCGAGCTCCTTGCTCTAGGGCACATCTCGGCGGCACGAGCTCCCGTGCACCAAGGGCAGCTGCCAACGCTATGAGCTCGCGCTCCTAGCTTTCGCTACATGCACCGCTCAAAGAGAAAAAAGAAAAAAAAAGGCGGGCTGCGCGAGCCGGATAACTCGACTACAGCGCCGCCACGAACTGTCAATACACGCGTCCTCACGAGCTCCCGTTGCCGAGCCGCTCCGGTCCCAACACTACCCAAGTATTCTAGTACACTGTAGTTTTATAGCGCTGACAACAAAATACAAAATGGCGGATCGACGTCACGTGCATTCACTGGAGGCCAGAGCTATGTGCGCGACTGCTGAGAGCGAGCTTTCGGCGAGCTTCAGCAGTTTTTTTGCAACATGCATCCCGCACAATCAAGATCGCCGATCTTAGCAGGCTATTAATGGGAGCTCTTTCTGAGCATGCGCTCTAAACATCGCCCTCAAATATGGCGTCCAGTGCATACCCCCAATAGCCATCTGCTGATTATACTTGATGCATTGCCGCGAGTTGGCTCATGTCCACACTTACATTGGGTGCGTACCAGTTTTTCATCCCTTTCTGCTTCGCCAAACGGAATATTTTTAATATGACACTTCTGAGTTATGGAACTAAAGTAAGGTAAATTGAAGTATAGGGATTTTTTGAGCAACGATAATTGTGTTTTTAAAAACAGCCATGGTTAATAAACTACGCATCACGAAATGCTTAAACTACATGAGAATGTGACGCTAACGGTTGGGAAAGAACGGAAAAGGTTGAGTACATGACGTTGCCTGGATCAAAAGATAATTGCGAAAAAACAAAATTTCTCCATAAGCGGACTTCCACCTAAGCCTAATATCGTCGAAACAGAACTCGGCATTGCGGACGCTTGTGTGATTGATATCTGTGGAAAACACTTGTCAGCAAGAAAGTGGACATTGATTTCTTTCTCGCCGACAAATGTTTTCACTGAAATAGGCTACTGGCACCCACAGTGTCATTTCTTGTTTTGGCGATATTAGGCTTAGGTTGACGTCGGCTCATTGAGAAATTTTATTTTTCCCAATTATCTTTTAATCTAGGTAACGTCATGTTCTTAAACTATTGCGTTGTCTCCCAACCGGTAGCGTCACATTCTCACGGAGTTTGAGCATTCTGTGATGCAAAGTTTATTTACCCTGGCTTAAAAACACGGTTATCGTCCCTCAGAAACTCCCTATTGTCTCCCTGACGCTTTATGAATAATCACTGTCACACAATTATTCCTGCTGCCAAAGGACGAAAATGAAAAGAAAAAAATACAATTAGCAGTGTCTGTAGTGTACATGGTAAGTAAAGTTTGAAATTGAGACAGGTTATGTTATAAAAGGCACGTTCACCGCGAACTATTGCGTTTCCAGACACAAATATATTATCGGTTCAACGATTGTGAAAAACCTGGCTGGTTTCAGCGCATCTGTTACCTCTTATGAAAATGTTTAAAACGTGGACGCACAAGGCGCCACCGAGCCGTACAGCAGTGGTGTTTGACCAAGGTTGTTCAAAACCCCGTGTCGGCGCAGAACGGTGTATTCGTTTTTCAGGGAAGGAACGAGCCAGTCTTTTTACTTATAAGAGCAAAGCTTCGCGGCGGTTTCACGAGGTAGCTATAATGCGTGCGTTTTCACGCTAAAAAAAACAAAAAAAAAAACACTTGGTGTGGTTCGAGCGACCAGTGTCACTGAGCTCTCTCTCGGACGCGATGTGCCCGCAGAGGCGTCGTCGAGCGCTGTGTCGTCTCCATCCTGCGGGGTGGTCTGCCTGGCGTCGCTCTGTCTGTGCGGGCTGGCCCTGTTCGGCGCCACACTGGCGGGACTCCTGTTCGCCCGGAGAAGACGCGCCGCCGCCAAGCACAAGTACCTGGGCTCGAGGGCCTCGCTGTCCGTTCCGTCGGACTACGTGGACGGCCGGAGACACCCGCAACACCCCCAGCAGGAATCCGCCGACGCCGGCACGCAGGCGTCGGCGCCGCTGGTCTCGGCGTCTCCGCTAGCCAAGCTCGTGGTGAGATTGCATTCGAAGATCTCACGCGGCCTATGCGGATAACACCGACACGAGAGTACGCGGCCCTAACGTCAGGCGTTGCCGCTTCTATTGGCAGGGCACATGAGAATCTAGTTCCCATGCGCGCGAATTCACGCGCATCTGGTTCCTGCAGGTGCGCAGTGCCAACATTTTATGTGGGAACTGCGCGTTTGCCCACACCTCGTTTGGGCTAGGGTGCCTTCATACGTGCTTTGCGGGGTGATGACATTCGGCAATTTTGTTCCAAACGCTCATTCGTCTTTTTTTTTTAAGCACTTGGAAGAGCGTTTTTTTTTTTTTTTTTAACGCGCTCTTGGCGTGAAATCTGCTGGGACGACATTTCTTTTGTATTTTCCGTGTGCGCGCGTGCTGTTGGCATTAGATGCTAACAAAAGATGTCATCACCCTAATCAGAAACATGCATCGAGGCACCCTATTCTTGGTTTCAGCTTAGGTCCGTGCGTGGCCGTTGTTATGAGCCGAAGGTCCAATCAAACAGCGCAAAAAGCGCAACGTCATAGCGTTCTTCGCACTTGATAGGACGAGCCGGTGGAGGAGCACGCCCTGAAAGACGGCGAACACCGCTGGTCCTATCACCTGCGGAGAGCACGCCATGACGGTGTGCCTTTTTCGCCGCTAGATTGGCCCTTCGGCTCATAACGTTGGCCACGCTCGAACCTAAGGTGAAACAAAGTATAGTGTGGGCTTGTTTGGAAAGAGCGCGTTGGTCTATAGTCGATAACAGAGCGAAAACGGCGGGGCGTGTCTCCAGCACGTACTTAACGCCTTCCGTCGTGCTTGGGCTACGCGCGCCCGCTCGGGGTGCACGAGGCGCCGAAGCACTGTCGAATGTAAGAAGCTAGCGCTAGAGGCGGGACAACTTAAGCTTTTCCGTGCCATTCTCACATTGTCAGCGATCATTGAAGAAAAGGCATGCGTTTTCTCTCTTAACGTCATCACAGTGAATCCACGCCATTTAAGTCAGGTCGATGTTCTTTCTTGTCTCGGACTTCATTGACAAATATTTCTTATTGATTCAAGCGTTTTAGCAATCTGCAACGATAGAAGGCTCCCCAGCAGAATATTTACAGAAGACCTTAAAACACTCACTGAAACTCACGAGGCAGTTGTGTATGAGAAGACCAACATTCCCGGATAAATCAGGGGTGCCTCAGATATATATATATATATATATATATATATATATATATATATATATATATATATATATATATATATATACATACATATAGGTAATAAAGCAGCTTAGGAGTGCAGCATATAAACAAGCGGCGCGACTTCTTTCCCAAGAAGCTGACGAGTCGGATGATATTAGCTCATTAACGTGACACGGAGAAGCCTGCCTTCCGTGATGCGGAGCTATCCGTGGCCCTCGGCCTCCGCCCAGGTGGATTCCCAGTGGGAGTTCCCGCGCGAGAACCTCTTCCTGGAGCAAAGCCTGGGCGAAGGCGAGTTCGGCAAGGTGGTTCGCGCACGGGCCAGAGACATCGCGGGAGTCCGGGGATACAGTACCGTCGCCGTCAAGATGCTCAAGGGTGAGAAACACTTCCCCGGAATTTTTAAACTCAAGATTTAGATATGTTCTCTCCATCACAAAACAACAATTCCACGAGCAAGCTCAGCGCGACTCGCTCGCACACATCACGCGGACTGGAATCGTAATTGACTGCGTTGCAACCACTGCGACCGCGTCCAGCGAAAAAAAAAATAGAGAGCTTAGATTGAAGAAAGGGCCCACCTCGAACCATGGGGAGCGCTTGCAATTTAATGGCGGACGCCGCCGGCGGAGAATGTTCCGAACTGCGCATGCGCTGCGTTTTCGCTTGGCGAGGACGAAAGCAGGCGGAAAGGCGGAGACGTTCGCAGACGACCTACGCGTTCGTTGGACACTCTCAGTAATAATCTCTTTACAAAAAAAAAAGATAAAAAAATGGCGCCATCCATATATGGGTATCCCTGGAACACTTCCGAACAGCGTATATTTTACGTGTTATTCTTTTGCCGTGTGCTTGAAATAAGTTTGGGAATGTTACAGGCGACCACTTCTGGTAGAGAGTGCGTAGATTTAGTATGGAAAATACCGTAAGACCTTCAGTCTAGTATTGTACAGAAAGAATGCGTTACAAGGCCACCCAGTATAGGTGGCACCAGTGTGAAAGTGTTACAAGCTCTTGCAGCGCAGTCGATAGCATTCAAACGTAACCTTGTGAACCGGCCTTTGCGGGAAGAAAGCGGCTGATGATGAAACAAAAGTGGCATCCTCCTTTAGGCTTATTCCCGAGTAAAAATGGTTGTTGGTTATTCAGCCGGCTTAAAGAGGACGTGTAAATTTCCTGTAACGTATAAGACACGTCAAAACAGACTACAGCGTCTTCTCATTGGTACCCGTCCCGCGACTCGCGTAAGTTAAGGTGTGCAACTTCATCAATTTCAGGTAGTTTCGAAGTGAGGTTACAAGTATACTTCCATCTACTTACATCATCAAATTTAAAAGAAAAACGTTTCATGTGGAGATAAGTTTATGCGAAAATACCAGGTTGTCGGGATTTAATTAATTTATTTAAACGCCTTCAAAATTCACCTTAAACGTTCGAGGAAGCCTGAGTGATAAAAGGCAGCTGGTTTTTAAAGTGTTTTTTTTTTCCCCCGCTAGAATGACACTGAACCGTTTTGCTGTACCGTAGCTTAAAGTGGAAGCAGAAATAATTCGGGTCATCGGTAACAAGTTCGACGTTTCTAATAACGTCCTCGTCTGTCTCCTATGAAGGCAACAGCACACCAGCCGAAGAACAAGACCTGTTGTCCGAGTTCTGCATGCTCAAGGAAGTGAACCATCCCAACGTCATCCGGCTACTGGGTGGCTGCACGAGCAAAGGTGGGTCCCCTGTTACACCGCACAGTGCTCGGAGCGCGTAGCATTCCTTTCCACCCGTACGAATAGCATTTGAAAGGCACTCGTACGAAGCGAAGCACGGCAACAATCCTATTTGGTGAGCAACTGAGGCAAAGTAGGAGACGAAAGCGTGCGAAGAGTCCGTCGGAGCGCCGAGCTCAGTTTGAAAGGATAGTGAGTAGACGGGAAAGCTAGTTGACTTTAGCGAGTTTTAGTAGACCGTATTTCCCCCTCCGCTAAGCCCCTCCGCTTCCCGAAAGTCTACAGTCAAGGCCATCGGCACGCAGGCGCAGTAGCGGTTTCTTTCTTCGTAGCGGAGGGTTAGCAAAGGGGGAAACACGGTCTACTAAAACTCCCTTTTGTCTCCGCTCTCTGTTCGGACAAGTTCAAACGCAGATCGCCAGCGTCCGGCGTCCAAACTCAAAAAAAAAGAAAAAAAAAAAAAAAAAAAAAAGCGCGCGATTGAATGATATGTTGTGCCCGTCCGTGTCAACTTAGCGCTGAGCTGAGTATAGCTGATTATCACTTTCGACGCAAATGTGCTCGTGCCGCCGTTGCAGGCTGCCTTCGGGTTCAGTTTAGAGTGGCGTGGCATCTCAGTGAAGCTGGAAAATCATTCGTGGTCCCTATGATGAGGAGCTGCCGGGAAACGTGAACCTTGAAAGAACGGTTCGCTTTTGTGAAGTCTGGATTCTATAGAGCGAAGGAAACGACGAATTTTACCGCTCGACGTTCGCCTGGCGCGCGTGGCTTTGGGACTGTGGCTGCTGCGCCGCGCTCAGAGAAAATCTGTCGCCGGGCGAAGATCGTTGATTGTTCGCCGCACGTTCGTTCCATTTTAGCGCACTGCTTATAAATCATACAAAAGACACGTTGTTCGCCACAGACATGATGACAGAATTACCTGGGGACACGGCTTAATCATGTTTGAAGAATGTTCGTTTCATACATGTATATTCTTCAACACGTGTGCAGTTATTTTCGGTATGACCAAGGTGAATTACAGTCATACAAGAAAAACCTGCCTCAGGCAATGTCTGACTGCCTTTTGTATAATGTTTCGAGCCGCGTCACGCGGCTATTACATCGTACAATATACAGTCTGCAGACATGTTTGAATCATGTACGAAGCAAACTTGCTTGAAACATGCTTGGGGTGGAGATTAATATGTCATCATGTCTTGAGAAAACCGCCTGCGCGATGTACCAGTATGTTTGCGTCTTTAGCAGCGTGACCTACGCGACGGACTATAGTGGCGTTGCTGGGCGAGTTGGCTCCTGACTATGACGATCTGCTCGTTGCAGGGGGTCCACTGTACGTGATCGTGGAGTACGCCGAACTGGGCTCTCTGCTGAGCGTGCTGCGAAGGAGCCGGCAGCTCGCCGCCGACAGGGCAACGGTGGTGTGCAACCCGACCTACATGTCCCAGGGGGCCTCGACCGCCGAGGGGGCCTCGGACGAAGGGGCCTCGGACGGGGCCGGACTCCTCAGCCACGGGGACCTGCTCTGCTACGCCTGGCAGATCGCCAAGGGCATGGCCTACTTGGCCGACGTCAAGGTGCGTCCGGCGACACGGCTCGCTGCGTCCCGCGCATCTGTCGGCAAAGAGGGCTGCTGCCCGTTAGAACGTGGAGCCGCCGGTACACCACTTAGCGGGATCGTTCGCGTCTGTTTTGGAATGCGCCAAGAATCCTGTTGCTTGGGAATTGTGTGTGAGTGGCGAGAGCGATCGCCACGGAAATTATAGATATTTATATATATATATATTACGAACAACTACGTGCTTTGGAGAATAAGTTAACTTAGAACCGTGTTGTGGAAGAGAAAGTGGAATGATGGATGACGAGGCGGAAAGCACGACTCAATGCCGAGGGATTGAGTCGGATATTCGGGGCTTCTGGTGGGTGCTATTCCCAGCGTTCGCCTGTGTGGAACTTGATTTACGTTTATTTCAAACTGACGAACAAGCGCCTGCTGGGTTATACGTTTGTAGATATTAGAATAGTTTATTGGTGCACCTTGGTTCTCCAGTGTTCCAATGAGAGTGCTCCTATCACTCGTTGATGCGAGGTGTACTCAGTGTGTATTGTTATTAGGCACCTTGACTTATTGAAGATCAGTATCACTGATAATATCAGTGATTTTCGTACCACTGCGAAACAAAATGTTTAGACTTATTAGGCTTATCTGAGTAGATTGAGGTGCTTTGTGAAAAACAACCAAGCCTGGTGAAGTGCGATTTTCCATCGAAGGGCCATGCCCTGATATTTCAATTTATTTGGTGCAACGAGTTCAAAACTTCAAGTAGTCAGAGAGTGCTCCTTTTGTCACCTGCCTCGTTGTAGCATTTCGTTTGTGACGCCATGTTAGTTGCAGTTTGTTGTTTTATTAATAATAAAAATAATATTGAAAATATAACGAATGAACGTACTAAAATGACGAAGGAGCCGGTAGTATATCATGAGAAAAAAAAACGTGTAATACATTAGTCGTGTGCTTTCTTAAGCCGGGGTCTCACTTCTTAAGGGCCGCCCACACTAGCGAGAAAACGCGCCCGGCGCGCCGATAAATCGGTTAAGCGAGAAGATAAAGGGCGTGTCTCTGCACGCGCTCCTGGCGCTGACTGTGCTTCGGCGACATTTTGTTACTTGCCGCGATCGGCGTGCCACGCGCGTTTTCTCGCTAGTGTGGGTGGCCCTTTATACATCCTACAAAAGACAGTCTGCGTACAGATTCGAACGCGAGTCACCGCGAGATCAGTGCTTCGAGTGCCGCATGGCAATGAGCTCAAGGAGGAAACTTGCACGCGGCATTCGAAGCACGGATATTACGGTGACTCTTCTTTGCAGACCGTTTTTGATATTATATATGAGCAGTGTGACGTCGGCTTTAGTTCTCCAAATGTTGCATGCTTTACATGATAAATTATAAAATGAATTTTTATTATTGTTCATTGCCGATACGCCCGTTAAGGTTGTTGTTGTTGTAAAAATATTTATTGAAGAAAAAGGAGAGGAGGGGAGGAGGGATGAGGCTACAAAGAATTAGAGGAGTTGAGTGGGTGCTTCTAGTCTGGGGCTCCAGTTGCTTTGAGTGCTGTCATGGCTCTCTTGACAAGCGTCTTCTGCCTGCTCGAGTCCTCGCTTCGCAGCTCGGCTGTCCATTTCTCTTCCCTTGGGTCCTTGATGGGGAGTAACCCGGGAATCTTCTTGCAGGCCCATGCCAGGTGGTATGCGTCTGCTTTTACCTATAGCCGCAAAAGGTGCACTCTGTGGGGGGATGTATCGCTGGGTACTACAAGTTGAGCTTGTCGGGCGTTGTTAACATGTTGGTCTGTAGTCTTCGTATAGCACAAACTCCTCTTCCTTGCTGAGTGCCTTGCAAGGTGGAGGATACCGTCTGCTTGATAGTCTGAGGGAGGACAAATACTTGTTCTACGGCATGTCCACCGTTGGCTCGGGTAGGGAGGGTGACGAGTCTTGGTCAGGAAGAATTCCTCGGGTGCGGTGATATGCCTTCAAAAGGTCCTTCAAGACGCGAGAACGTCACTCAGAAGTTTCCCTGGGTTGTCTAATGGCAATGCGAATCAAATTATGTTTTTTTTACATTTAACAATCGTTCTTCTTTTTTACCATTAAGAAAGCAGGTTTTTGATGTTACTGCTCAAATATTTAATAAAAAAAAATTCGGAACGCAAAAGTTTGTAAAATATTGTCCGTTTTGCTAGCTTCTGAGCTCAGGTGAGATTGAGAGCAGCAGTTATCAGTCAGAAAAAAATCTTACCATTATTTTGCACAAAAAAAAAAACACAAAAAACGCCAAAAATAACGCAGTTACGCTTACGTCCTCAACAAAAACAACGTTATGCAACCCTAAAAACAGCAGAACCTTAGGGTCATAAAATACGGCCTACTATGACTTTGCCTTTTTTTTTCTCCCTTTGGCTAAATAATTATATGACTTACTCTTAAGAGAGGAGAAAGGCTACGTGAGATTGCTTTGGCGCCCACACCAATTTCTAAAATAAGCAATAAAATCCACATCCCACGCGTTCAATAAATTGTATTGGTCACAGTCAGCAGAAAGACGAATGCCACCCAGAAACAACACGTTACAAGAGCTGCTCAAACACCGATGTTCCCGAGGCTTTCTGATTCCATCAGTTTAAGACAAGACCCTGTTTTATATTGGTTTCATAATGTTGCCGGTTCTCGTTAGAGCTCTTTTATCTATATATAAAGTGGGGCTTTCATTCCTTTTCTTCCGCGTTTAAACCAACCCGAAGCTTGGGTTTCAACGGAAAGCATTGTTGTTTGCTTCCTCGCAGATGGTGCACCGTGACTTAGCAGCCCGAAACATCCTGCTTGCTGCCGGCAACGTCATCAAGATCTCCGATTTCGGGCTGAGCCGGGACGTGTACGAGGGAGACACGTATCTCAAAAAGAGCAGGGTCAGTCCTTTTACGAAATAAACGCGCTGAAACTAAGGGTACGACACTAAGTTCTCATCTTACAAACCCGTGTTTTCAAAATAGGGCACGCCTACAGCGTGGGCGTGCACTATTAAGCCGTAGTCAGAGCCGTATATGTAGAGAGTTTGGTCAATGGGAGGCGCGGGCAGAGCCAGGGCGTGCGGCAGACTCGGAAAGTGGGCTTGGCATGCTCTCTTGACCAACCAGAAGCCGAAAAGAATCCCCTAGCGGTGGTAGCGAGAAACAGTTCTGAGCCGATCGATCATCGAAGGTCTATGTTCGTATATGGTTTAAATAAGTGCGTAAGAGTGAAGTGTAGTAACTCTTTGTGGTTGAAAATAGGGTTCACGTGTTGTTTCATCATGATCATGCAGAAAGATGTAAGAAACGAATGCGCCGCTCAACTCTGTTTTGCGCGGACAGAGTGTGACCGCTCGGACGGCAGATTCCCGGCCCTCGGCGTTTGGCGTACAGATTATGTCGATCGTTCCGCTAGTCGCACTCTTCCACCATCATTTCTGATGAGCGTGATTAAAACATCACGTGTACCATATTTTCAGCCATCGAGAGTTACTCCAATGCAGTTATCAGGTTTGTTTCTCGCGACCACCGCCAGGGTATTATTTCCGGCTTCTGGTTGGTCACATTCGAATTTCTGAAGACGCCCTGGAACACGCCCAGCCCGCTTTCGGCCAATGGCGCCGCTTCATTTGTCTCCTATACTTCCCAACGAATGGCCAAACTCTCTACATATACGGCTCTGGCCGTAGTCAGATTGCTCACGAATTGTACAAAAAAAAAACAACAAAAAAAACAGGCTGTTCGTTGCAGACAGAAATATCTGCGCTCAAGCCTCGAGCAAATTTGAATCATGTTTGCTCCATACATATGTATCCTTCGAACATTTTTAAGGAAAGTTTTTGTACGGCCAGTGTCACAAAATCGTCAGACAAGGAAGGAACGCGCCAAAGACGCTGTCTCCAAACTGTCCTTTGTATGATCATCAGCGGTAGAACCGCGGTTCTAGGGAGGCTGGCTTTTACAGGCTGACGCGTCCCAATGCGAAGAGCAAGTCGTCTGCTTCTTGCACAGGCGTTGCGGAGATGTCAGAACGACGCCGAGCTCTGATAAGCTTTTATTGAAAGCATAGTGTGTAGACCTCAATGCTAGGTGCCTTGAGGTCTACCCACTATCCTTCAATCAGAGCGAATCAGAGCTCGACGTTCTAACGTCACCACAAACCGTGCAAAAGATGCAGACGGACTTGCTCTCGGCATTGAATAGCACTAAAAGACACACATTGTTTCATGCATAGCGAACAACGCAGCTAAAACTACCGGCACAACTCCTTTGCTGTGATCTACATCACTAGTTGTTACGGTGCAGAGGAAGGCACGGATGCCTATAGCACGTCAGTATGCTTAGGTTGTATACGAGCATTGGCTTGTGGACGACAGTTTTTAAAGCCTTTGTCGGCACTGCACCTCCTTCGTGAGATGAAGCGCAGTAAACACATTGAAAATGAGTTAAGGAGTGAAATGAATCCCTAACGTTTCGCGAAGTTGTTACTTTCGCAAGCGTCTACTAAGTACTGCTTGGTCCACCCGCTTGGTCCACCCGCTTGAGGCTGTGAGCATTTAATAGGTGCTGAATTGATCAGTGCGCTTCTTAGTTACAAGCTGTTTCGTTCTGGAACCGTTTGAAAGTTTTTATGATGAACAAGATTTTATAATACCATTTACCTGAGGGTTTTAAGTGCGGAGTGCATCACAGTCACCACCAATTGGGGATTACAATCATTCTACATTTTGTATCCTAGAGATGGGAGGCGGACATCGTGGCTACTAGCGCGCTAAATTGTGCTTACGTGGTGTGCTAACTTCAGCAGTAAAACAGTGCGTTACAGGGATGCCCATAAATATATGTATGCGTAAAAACACAAATGTCGAGCCCGCGATTTAACTGCCTGTCAAGTTTGTTGTAAAAAAATACGTTTAATAAATCGCAAGTTGAGAGCAAAATAAATACGCTCGGAGAAACGTACTCGAACCATCGTACGTCGGGCTCGGGGTCATGACGTCTGCCTCAAGTATTCCCAAACGTTGTAGTGTGACGTGCTCTCCTTTTTTTAAATGCAATAATAAATGCGACAGTTATTTTTTAGTGCCAATGACACGCCAAAAAAACAAAGAAGAAAAGAACATGGGTTTGCTAGGGAGAGAGAAGCAAACTGGGCTCGATCTGTTACGACCATGGGCTGAGTGAGGAAACGAGGTTCGTCCCAATATAATCAGCGGAATACATGGCTTTCATAAGTGAAACATCAACCATCTATGGCAGTTCGACGTAGCCTGCGCACACAGACATTTTTTTGCGTATGTTTTTTTAGAGTTCTTTTAAGTTGGGCGCGTCACACGCCGCGCCACCATGTGCCAACATCTGCCGCGCGGACCGGCGTTGATCGTTTGCTTGCGACACTTGATCGAATGGTTTTGCTATCAGCCGAATCAGTAAAGATCAGTAAAAAGCTCAGGATGATAGGCAGCTTATCTGTGAGGAAATCAACGCGCTCTCGCGTACAAGTCAACCTCCTTGCAAAAAAAAAAAAAAAATCCTAAATCAATTTTTTTTTTTTGTGCGGAGTTAAGGGTTGTTTATGTCACATTTTTTTTGAGCAAGTCCACTTTTGATCTTTTGGTGTTGTTTTTTATTGTGTCGACACGTACCAGCCTCCTCCTTGCCAGCTTGGAACACCGTGAAGCTGGCCGGTGCGATGTGCCTAAAAGCGTGGAAGGCCGCTGCGAGCGCTATTAAAAATAGCAAACAACCCAGTAATGGCGGTCAGACTCCTCCTTAGCCTCTGGTCGCCACGCGCATCAAGGTTTTGTGAAATTAGCGCGCCTACCGGGGCCTTCACTGCGCGCTCTGCGTATTTTGGTGCTCGATTACACGCGCTTGGCAGGAGGCACAGGGGAGCGGAGTGTATAAAATCTTTTCGGTGCGTGGAGGATGCATCAGAGCCGCATTCCCACTGCTTATACATCCTCGCAGAGAAGACAAGGTGTTCGCTGCATATGACAGAACTCGAGCATTTGCCGAAGCACGTTTGCATCCTACATATGTGGTTTGAAACCGTCTGCAGGCAGTTTTTGTGTGACCAGTGTAACAGGAGCGCCTTGCTGTAAGGAAGAACCACGTCTCAGACGGTGTCTGCAGAGGGTCTTTTGTATGATGTCATAGGGAGTTTTAGGGAACCGTTTTTTTTTTCCACATCCAATACGCTACGATAGGCCGTCCGGTACGAACTGTGCGTCTGTGTGTGCGTGTGTATCTGCGTGTGTGTGTTTGTGTATGTCTGTGTGTTTGTCTGTGCGTTGGGCACTGTACTAACTACTCGAACACACTGAACGCTGCAGGGCCGAGTTCCAGTGAAGTGGATGGCTCTGGAATCTTTAGAAGACCACATCTATACAAGCAAGAGTGACGTGTAAGATTACCATGCTTTAGCATCTAAATTCGCGTTTGTGCTTCGATTAACGTTCCTCCCTCGCTCCAGGTGGTCCTTTGGCGTCGTCTTGTGGGAGATCGTCACGTTAGGTGAGTTCACCTGAAGCTTGCTCCGCGCAATCTCTAAACATTATCGTTTCTGCGTGCCACTCCAGGGGCCACACCCTACCCCGGAGTAGGTCCCGAGTACCTGTTCCAACTCCTCAAGTCCGGATACAGGATGCACCGCCCGGAGGGGTGCTCTCCACACATGTGAGCGCCGTCCTGGTCTTCGCGTGAATGTTCGACGGAATTCTATGTGCGATGTATTTCACCTGGTTTAGATTTTCTTGTACCTTTTCATCTGAGCTCTTGAACCGCCGCTTACGACAGGGACGCAAGCGGCGGTTCATGTTCATAAACTGCTGCTTGCGTCCCGATCGACTTCCGGTTGCTCCGTCTTTGCAAGCCTCTTGAGCTTGCTTATCTCACCAGTGCTAGAAAGCATAAATGCTACACAAAAAACAAACTTGGAGATTAAGTGAGTGTCTTCGGCCGCACGATTTAACGTCTTGGAAGAGACAAGTTGGTTTACAAGAATATTAAAAAAAATTGAACAGATCTCGCGCTTTTTCGTTTTTTTGGCCTTCACCTGGAGAATCGGTGCTTAAATGTTTCATTGACGTTTCAAGCAGTGGTGTTGAGGGGAGCTTAGTTCATTATTTTTGTGAACCGGAAGTTTGTTGGGACGTCAACGACTGGAGTACCGCCTGGTGGTGTTCGCAAAGGAAAGGGTCTATACTGGGCGTCAACTATTTGATGATGGACTGTCGAGGCTAGCGTAGCCTCCATAGTGCTGCAGCCTCGCACTGCTGAGCACGTGGCTTCGAGTTGTGTTTCATTCGCATGCACTCGCGTACTTTGACAGATGGAGCACTACGGAAGCTACGTTAACCTTGACAAAGTTGCATAAGATGTTGACGCCCAGTATAGCTAGGAAGTGAAGCTAGTAAGCGATGGTTCTCTGTTTTAGTCTGGAAAAGGAAATATTAATAATTAAACAAAAAAAGGAAACCACGGCTTAGAGAGAGCAGGTGATTTCTTTAGTTGGATACCAGGAATTGAATCAGGAAACTGCTCTTCGGTGTTGAAGAGGAGCCGGTGGAAGACGTTGTTTTGAGGCTTAGTCCAAGTGGGCGGGCTCGACACGATCGATGGATCCGATTTATTTGCGATTACCGACAAGCAAGGTGAACCTATTGGTGCCCGGAAGTGAAATGAGGAATGGGCCATCACATGGGGGTTGTCGTGGTGTTTTGTCTTCATAGTGTCTCATAAAAACGTGTGTGCACGTTGTCAGATCGGAGCAAAGCTCTGACCACCTTTGCTCTGGTTCCTGCGAAACGGAGCATAGTATTCACCGCTGAGCTACTTCACTAGCGCCTCCACACGGACACCGGAAGCCCTTTTTGCCCGGCCCCTTCGTATGGCGAGTGCTCCCATTTGACAGGCACACCGAAGCTTATATTTGTAGGAAGCTTTGTTCAAGCTTACCCTCACCATTAAACGAATGATTAGGTTTCCCATGTAAATTTTGAGCTATCGTGTTCTTGCTACACAATAGGGTGTATCCTCTGAGTGTGTAGCTGCTCAACGTGCGCTGAAGGTGAGCATCCACAGAGCTTTTGCAATGTGCATTTTGCACCACCAAGATTGCTGGTCTTTGGAGCCTATAAGTGTGAGCTCGTTCTGAGCATGCTCAGTGAGCAGCGCACTCAAATTTAACGTCTAGTGAATACTTTTGAAAATATGGACAAGCATTCTTTGGTAAACGTAATTTTTTTTTCTTTTTTTACGAGCTATTTTGGCGATTTATTTGTTATTACATGCACCTACTCACAGTGGTTCCAAAGGTGGCAAGGCACCCACACTACCAATAAAAAAAAGCGGGAAAAATAAGGGACACGAAGTCTTGGCACTAGAGTTCCTGTCGTGCCAAAGCCATACGGCGAAACAGCAGTAATTTTCTCGGTTTCGACTTTGCGCCCTTAGCTTTTCGTTTTGCTCAAAACTAAACCAAAACATTTCCTTTGCAAGTAGAGCGCTCTAGTCAATATTTTCTACGTGTGAACACGGGTGATCACGCCCGTTTAGGTTTTATAAGCTTGACCTATCGCAGATTTGTCAACACGAGCCGGAAGATGAAGCGGTCACTTTACAATAAATTCTTTGCATCGACAGCGGAATCATCTGACATCACTTCATGCAGACCAACTTCCTTTGTCTGAACGTGCATTTACTGATTGATCTCCCAAGTTGTGTGTAGTGCCATTAGAAGACAATCGCCAAAATATATCATCAGAACACTCTTGTTTGTAAAAGTAAAAATAAAAAACAACCGCATCTCCACGTGGTGAATGATGTTGATTAGGGCGAAGCTCTGGTGGTGCTTGACTGCGTAGACGCTGAGCCGCAGCATGCCGAGCCTTTCGTTCGTTGTCATCCATGTCACACTGCGGGCAAATGCTCAAATACATATATAACCACGTTCAATACCACACATTCTCTTTCTGACATGGATGAAAAGGAGCGAAAGGCTCGGCATGCTGCGGCTCACCGTCTACGCAGACAAGCGTCACCAGAGCTTCGCCCCAATCAACATCATTCACCACGTGGAGATGCGTTTCTTTTTTTTTTCTTTTTTTTCCCTACACGAGCACGGGAGCACGTTCTGACGTGCTCGTGAGCACGAGCACCCGACACCGGACATCGGACGGACATACGGACATGGCTAGCCCCTAAGGAGCTTCGCCCCTAATAATCTTGCCCGTAGGAAGTTGTATCTAATGTCGCGCGCAAGCGCCACTGTCAAGCCTACATTCCAAAAAACGTTTACTGCACAACGTTTACTTTGCACGGGCTTCATACTTGTTTCCAACGATGGAGGATGTACAGGTATTCACACTTGGGAATATGTTTATTCATGTACCAGATAGCCACTTCCGAAATTCATTCTCCAAAAATATATATAGTTGTATTTCAGCTGTATGATTTTAGGAACCATTACTACTATACTGTAAAATCCATATAAATCTCGTGCATATGTGCTACAATCATGAATGTCTTTATGGAACTAAAAATGATAAATTTCAACTTGTCTTTATTAAAATGTCTCTGCACCCTTTCTTTATCGTGACGATTGCAGTTACCGCATGATGCAGTGCTGTTGGCAGAGCAGACCCCAAGAGCGGCCTTCATTTAAGGAGCTTACGCAAAAACTTGAAAGCATTCTTCAAGACTCAGCGGTAAGGTTCCCGTCCTTTTGAACCTTTATGTCCTCACATTATAGTTAGAGGATTAATATAAGGCATTTGTGTGTGAGCTCGCAAAGTACATGGCAGAATGGTTTTAAATACGCCTGGCTTTGATACATTCGATGATGTAACACCTAAACAAAATATCATTGCGTGCACCACAAAAGAAAGGATTGGGAAGTGCCGCAGCGGTGAGGGTCATTCCAATTAAAAACGAGCATTATGTGATGTTTCTTAGCCATTCTAAATAATTTTCAGTAGGCCTAAGTTTTTTTTTTCTTCTTCCTCTTGTAACGTAATTGAACGTAATGTGAAAAAAAAGCACCTGTAGCGTGAACCTTGTTGAACAAAGTGATGCCGAAATCAGTGGAGTACCGTTTGATTGGGATATCAGTTCTCCGGCTATATTAAAAAAAGGACACCTTTCAATCACTTTTAATTGCAGGCAGACTTTTCAGTGTATGTATTTATGTTATATGCAACATACAGGGGAACTCGGTCGAAATTTTGCTACACCCGAGTGTTTCAGCGAAGATTTTCAAAAATCGTTAAAAATAGAAAAGGTGAGAAAAAATTTGGGGGACGCCTAAGCTTCGCCTTGAAGAGTGGAACGCGATAGCGTTATCCAGCCCCGTTCGCAAAGCCTTCTCATATAAACCCGTGCTCATTCCCAATCCGCGCAAGCTTGGGAACGAGCGAAACTTACTAGCTAAATACGAAACTTACTAGCTAAATTTGGCGGGAAAATGTTCCGCTATATTTGGCGGGAAAATATTTCGCTAATTTTGTCGGGAAATTTTTCCGCTACACTTGGCGTGAAAATGTTCCGCTAAATTTGGCGGGGAAATTTTCACCCTCCAAATTTAGCCGGTAAATTTTACAGTACAACGCGCAGTTACGTGTGAAGTCGCGTGATGTCACGCGTGGCTGCGCGCGTTGCACAATAAGGTTTTTTGGTCCCACCGACGCCGACGCCGGATTTTCTGCGACAGGAGCTGCTAAACGCTATATATAGCCTTAAAGAAACTCTTGCCGGGAACAAGCTAGCAGCCACGGAGCACGTCAGGAATTGCAAAATACATAATAATTAGTCATATAATGTACTTAATTTTACTAATGAACTTTTAATTAGTGAAAGCAAACATATGATACCAAATATAAACTTCGGGAGCATCATTAAAAACTACTAAATCAACTTATCTTAGAAATATATGAGGAAGGTACAAAAATTTACAACGCTAAAAAGAACGCTTTATGTGGACGTGTTTTTCGGCTTCGGTCTCCCATTGGGGCGGCCCTGCCTCCCCGTGGCCGAAGCCGCCCCCGAAGCTACCGCCTCGCCTCCCTAGTAAAAAGGAAGGAAGTATGGCACACGTGCGTTGCGCGCCTTCCGGACATGCCACGACACCGATTTCTTTAACTGGAGTTGCCCTTCAGCTCTGAGGGAGGGCGCCGCAGTGGTGATGACCTCAGATGTCGGTTATGATGCGCTTAAAGGAGATTGTCTGAGCCGGAGAAAAATTGTCAACAAGTAATTTAATGATGGAATGGGAATGTTTTTGCACGGCCTCTGTTTCGCAGCAGCCACACTGACCTTGTAAACTTGGCTCGAAAAAACAAATTGAAAAAAAAAAATAGTATCACCAAACGCCGGCCGAAAAGAAAAGAATAAGCGACCTTATTGGGATCTCAGTCCCCTTTGAGGGTTATTTGCGCAACGTCCAGAGATGTTCATTGTTAGCCGTAAGTTTGAATTAGTGATCGTGAAGTTGTTTTTAGGGGTCCCCGTTACATCAGCCTTTTTCTAAATTATTTGTAAGTGATCGTAAATAAGCCGGGCTGGCTATGTTGGAAATCAGGCACGTAGCTAGGGGGGGGGGGGGCATTGCCCCCCCCCCCCCCCCCCCCGAAATCTTTCATTTTGCTGGGACCTCCTCTCCCCTTCCCCTCATACAACCTTTTGTCATGCCCCCCCTCCCCCCTCCCCCCCCCCCCCTCCCCACCCTCCCGAAACAAAATTCTGGCAACGTGCCTGTTGGAAATACCTCGGCAACGTATTGGGAAAAACAAAATGTTCCGACTGGATAGACGCCATAGAAATTGTTTCCGTTGGTTTCAGTCTTACCTGGACCTGAATGTGGCGCAACAGCGGTCCTACTACAACCTGAACCTTCCAACCGGTTCGCTCAAGCAGCTTCTCGACTCCGACGACGACGTTACCACGCCAGAATGTAAGCACTGTGTCATGGCTTCTAGAATGCAGGCATTCGCTTGCCTGTGAATTTGGTGAATTGTTATCGTGCTCATTTTCTCATTTTGCTGTAGAGGAAAGCCAATTTGAGCAGGCAAACAGGACTATTACCAAGATTGTCCTAAAAATTGGACAGCATGCGTTTTTGCAATGGAAAGGAATATATTTTAGCCGTCCTAGATATTTTCAGCCCAAGCAGTGTTTCAATCTTCTCCCAATTTACGCAATTCCTACTTCTATAAATAGGGTATGAACCATGGATGTGCAGACTCGCTGAGCATTTGTATCTCTCATCTTTCTTTCAGCGGAGTACGGCCGGATCGAATTCAAGTCCCAGCGAAGCTTGGACCGTATAGACAGCAGTCCAGGGGAGAACGTGGGGCTTTTGGTGAAAAGCCACGGGAGCTCTTCGAACACCCCGGTCGCGTGTTGGATCGCCAGGCCTGAAACACTGATACAAAATAACGTTGAACAACCAAAGATTGTCTAGGTACCTCGAACTGTCTTGGTTACAAACAAGAACGCCCCAGGCACCGACATGTGGAAGGCATCAAACCAGGAGCCTGCTCAGCCTCTTTTCGGGCATCGACATGTCCTTCCCAGCACGCGGGGCTTCGGGCAATGATCTGTGATCAGGAGGAGACGAACAAAGACGACAGTTAGTGGCACCATCATCTGGTCACCTCGTGAACAACGTACAAGTGAAGCTGGCGGTGAACCGTATATCCTCGGCGAAACAAACTCATGCCTTTCATTAAACAAGCTGCGTCAGCGAGCGACATCGTGAAATAATTCCACGTCCCCTTTCTATCAAACGAAGGCTCAGCGACGGTACAGTCATCCTTCAGTTGTGCCTTTGGTGGGTCTCAATGGTCGCATGAGTCAGCTTAGAGACGGCATCGGACTTACTCTAAACAGAATTACATGCCACACCTGTGCAGCATGGACAGAAATGCTCGTCCAGATAGCCTCAATTTATCGCCAGCGAGACCTTTCGTTTATGGGCTTTTGTTTGTCTGTATGTGTGTCTTGGGCGAGCGTGGGCATCCGTGTGAGTTTGTGCGTGCGTGTGCGTGCATGCGTTCGTATGTGTGGGTGTGCGTTTGGGTATGAAACTTGCGCGACAAATCTACACTACGGCATCACAGCTTAAAGTGTCGCCGAATGGCTGTATAGACTGTATTCTATACAGGAGCTTCGGCGACCAGTCGCATTCCGTGTGCTTGATCTCATCGAACTTCCCGTCATTTGGGTGTTTGTCGCGGGTCGTCAGTGTCGCAGATGATGAACATGACATGCTTAAACATTATGTCGACAATTTGTTTGTGTCGCGATTCACCAAGGAGCAGGGTCGTGTTTCGTAAGAATGTGTATCACGCACATTGAGTTGTAGGGACACCCATCTTCCCGTTTGCTGCGATCGCGTGTCTCAATGCGGGCCAAAACTGTGGGAGAGGAGGAGGCTAGAGGGTACGTAAGAATGCCGAGCTGTGGTAGGAAGGATTAGTGGGTGGGCCTAAGTGGAGACAAAGGCAGCTAGCTTTAGGTCTACCCACTAAGCATTCCTAGCACAGCTCGGCATTCTTACGTACCCTCTAGTCTGCTCCTCTCCCACACTTTCTGCCCGCATAACTAAGTTGGTGTCCTCGGCATCTGTCTTTGATCTTCAGCGTGCAGGTGTTATGCTGTTCTGTTATTGGAGACAATAAAGGTTATTCATCTTCGACCGCGGCCATTTTTTGTCGAGTGGTGCTGCCGTAGAAACAAGCTTGTCTCTCAGACCGATACAGAAGTGCGAAAATGGCGTTCTCATGCAAGAATACGCGGCTGTACAACATGCACGCGAAGGTACCTTTGGCAAGCCTGTATCCGAGCACGATTTCTTCAAAGGCAGAATTGTGGTAGCTGTACAGACGCCCTGCTTGCGATCGTCAGCACACAATCGCACACAGGGTGGACTCTATAGTTATGATTATAATGCAATTAAAAGCAAAGGGTTGTTCCGCACCCTTTCGCGTACGGTGCTCGTGTGGATCGGCGATTATAAACTTACCAAAGTTTCCTTCGCGTGTATGATGCGCGTGCTCGCACTCATGAAGGCTCCAGCCAAACTTATTTGATACGCTTTTAATATCCAGAGTCGATGAAAAAGAAAAAAAGAAGAGGTTTCTTGTTGTAAACTTCCGATGCAACGCTGCGATTGTTTTAGTTTGGGCAATATCTGGATCATTCAAGATATTTGCGAACCAAGTAAATATAGCTAGGTTGTTAAAACTGTTCGCTTTGTTTACAAAAGTTAATTCTGCACATTCATTCCAGTGATTTGCATGGCGTAAATATTTTGTAAAAAAGTTACCACTGGTGTTCAGTTTCCGCGGGTAATATAGGCTTAAATGTCTGTTTTTGTTTCTTTCGTTGTAGGGTTACAGGAATGGTGGTGGAAGCAAACAACGTGAAGCTTGTTAAGACCTTTTTATTTTCTGGTCATTTGTTAGTAGAAAAAAAGGAGGGGGGGGCTTAATTTGATAAGAAGAATTTTTACCCATACTGAGGACGTTGGTAAACCAATGTTAGAGCGAAAATCCGGCTCAATTTGTCTGCATTCTGGTGTTTCCTGGTACGTTTTATGTATAATATATAAAAGACTTAAGCGCCCAGCATCGGCTACCGGACACGGAGACTGCTTTTTAATTGTTTTGTCCAGATGGTAGCAATTTTTTGTTAGATATTTTGACGCTGATTCAGGCTTTAGATTTTGCGTTTAAAAGCTTTTGTGACTTGTATTTCTTAGCTTCCGGTTGTGAACTATAGGGTATGCCAACAAGACAGCAATTTTTTTTAATGTTGTTTTGTAAGAAAACGCATAATTTATTTAAAACAAGGTTATTTTTTATTTTCATTATAAATTACACACACTGCCATTCAATGTGAAACATTATGCAACAAATGAACTTCACAACTGTGCTGGCATACACTTCGTTTCTTATTTAGGTTTTTTTGTTTTTTTTTCACAAAATTATCGGTGACATTTTCGGAGGATTGCTGCTCAATGTCGCCAAAAAAAGCGTGTCGAATCTCCACCTTGAGTTCAGGAATTGGTTGTGGGGTTCTTTCGCCTAATGACCCTTCCAATATTCGTCCTTTGCGTGCCGCCATCTGTCGTCTACTTGGCTGAGGCACGCGTTTTGATCACGCGCGGTAGCTTTATTTCGCTCAGTTGCAGACGGTGCGCGTGCGTCCACAGTCCAACACTCGGCGCTTTTTAAGTATGGGCGATAAGGGCTGGGAAGGTCCATAGACCCAACTTAAGTTTCTTACGTCACGCCACTGCGGTGGCGCTGCAGTCGGAATTGCGCATGCGCAGATGCTTCGCCTCAGTTGAACCATGGTATCTGCACGCGCGCACTGCACACGCACCCTGTGTGGGCAAACGCAGGCTCGTATGTGAACAGCGTGGTTGTCAATAGACGCGGGATTTGATTTGAAGAACACCTCAAAAAGGAAGTTGCGCGGTGTAAAATCACGTGACCTCCGTCCCTTCTCAAAGGTTTGCGCCAACGGCTGTCCGCCATTGCTTGCTCACATAGTAATCTGAGCACGAAATTGGACACGAGTGTGACGTCAGTGTTTGGCGAGGATTCGGATCCAATCAGGCGCCTCGTGACCAAGCAATGTTGACCGCCAATGTTGCTGGATGGACTTCCGAAAAAGGGTCTTCTGGTCAGACGAAAAAATCGCAATCTGTGTAGTTTATACGGAAATTTAAAAAATACGACGTTTTTCTTTTTTTTTTTAAATAAACAATAAGTTTTATTACAAGATTAAATATTGCTTTATTGGTAGAACATTTTTTATATATATACTGAGAAAGAAAAGTTTAAGGGGAGGAAAAACAAGAGGGAAAGAGTGAAGATCGACAACTGGAGGGAAGCGTTGCAGCGTTTCAGTGTTTAGGAAAGTCTCGCTCTCCGCGAGATGTGACGCGCTCTCTTTTTTCTCGTACTGCCTGCAGTCTTGGGTAAGTCTTCGCTGGGGAAACACTACATAATCTAGCCTGGAGTGTTGGCACAGCATACCTCGATTATCCAGAGGGCGCCGTTATTTCGGGACCTCGTGAAGAGCGGCCACAATCGGCGGAAGTTCCGACTTGAAAATTCGACTTCCTGAGCTTGAGATACGATCTCAGGAAGATAGAGCGTTGTCGTCTTTATCTGTCCGATGCTGTTTTAAGACAACCAGAGGACGGAAAAGCGCTTGTCTGCGATTTTAGGCAAAGCTTCGGGTAACTGGCCACCCTGTTTTTAAGTACGAAGATGACTGAATTGTTCGTTACTCGGAAGCACGGAGGTAGGAACCTTCTGCAGGCGACATGACGCCACGAAAAGGGGAAGACGGGGGAGACTTCCGGTTTGGAGGGAACGCCCTCCAAACACTTTTGGAAGTTTCCAACCTGCCGCGACATCTACTTCCGGCTCTACTATGGATTTTTTCGCTCGGTTAGCTTGAGCTGGTATGTCGTCTCCCCTTCTTTCTACCTTCATGCTCTGCAGCGTAGCTTATTTAGTCGCCCAAGTTCACAAGTTTGAAGCATCACTTGGACGTCACCACAATATTCCTTATGCTTGGGAATGTGCAAACGTCCAGAACCTGATGCATTTTCTGATTAACGTGTTCAGCGTTTACGTGAAGAAGACTCCATTCGCACTGGGTTAATGGATGAATGCATTTGCTGGACTGTTTTTAACCCGGCAATTTCTAGCCAGTAATTGAAATTTTTCAGCTGTATCGCTGCCACTTTATGAATTTTCAGTGAACCACCTTGAGAAGCCTTCACGACCGGCATTTAAAAAAAAATAAAACTGTCGCTTTTTATTTTCTGCTGGCTCTCAAGATAGTCTTGGGAGAATAAATAAATATACAGGGTGTCACAAAAGAAAATTTACATGGTCTTTTTCACCGCAAAAATACACTAGGCATCGCCGAACGCTCATTCTCCGCCCAAAGGTAGAGCTAGAGGTCACAACCAGATGCCAAAGTTTCAGCCCGATCCGATACCTTAATCAAAAGTTATAAGTGATTTTCTGAAAATTTCAATGGCAAAATGGAGCCCATTTTTGCCCGTTTTCGGTTTCTGGTGACATAGAGCCCCATGTGTTTGAAAACTCCGTCGGCCGCCATTTTCCCATTTAAGTTTTCAGAAAATCATTTATAACTTTTGATTAAGTTATCGGATCGGGCTGAAACTTTGGCATTTGGTTGTGACCTTTAGCGTTACCATTGGGCGGAGAATGAGCGTTCGGCGATGCCTAGTTTACTTTTGCGGTAAAAAAGACCGTGTAAATTCCTTTTGTGATACCCTGTATATATATTGTTCGTCAGGATGTTTTAATTAGGAAAGAGAAAAATAATGCGGGGAGCACTACAAGCTGTCACAAACACATGAAGATGCTGCAAAGGCTGCGTTCTTTCATTTTAAATGAGGTGACCTTGGTCCTTTATGATACCGCCTTCATTTTGTATGTGTTAGGTTAATACAGGTAGTGTTTTCATATACCAACCGGCCCTTTAAAATAACTTCCGCTGTTTTTGTTTTGGAAGTTTTCCAACAAATATGTTGCTTTATTGCAACTGTAACTGAAAACACCAGTCTTCGTCTCAACAATATCACAAATGTGATGTTCATAATCGTTGCTGTTTCGGTTCGTACCAATGACGAGCTAGAAGTGACTTTTTCAAGATTTCGGCGAATTAAGCCGTTGAAGCAAGCTCAGGTTTGCACAATGCAGCTTTGAGTTAAAAATTTAAGACATCTAGTTTCAACAAATGGCCAATTTGTTTAACGCGTTCTAAAACTCAAAGCTCAAAAGAAAAAAAATCTGCCGCATAACGAAGCGCCAACACCAAAATTATTGTATAAAAAAAACGGTCATACTCGAAAGATATAATAAATACAAAAACAAGCTCACAACATAATAGTAAACTTAATAATCGTAATCTTCGTAAAATTTGCTTTTCCGCAAGTATTGTTGTTTGCAACAATACAAACAACTCATAGTTCGGAAATAAAAAAAGAGACATCAAGGAATGTTAATATTAAAAATCAACTAAAAAAAACTACTACCTGAACCAATCACTGAGACCACCGACTGCGTTATTTTCACCTATTTTGACGAATCTGAATACCGCCCGAGGTGTCTGTAATATCACAGAGGCTCATTACAAAAAAGGAACCGTATAACTGAGATTTCGAAAGAGCATCAGTGGGCTCAATTATTCCTCAGTTCTCACACAAAAGCGCACCAGACGGTAGCTTGTCGGTAATTTTGCACGCAAACTCGTCAAAATGTAACCCTCTAGTGGTCGTTCCACTCGGCCATACCCAAACCTCCTCTCCTCCCTCTCTTTTTCTTCCACACAATTTTACTTTTCATATTTTGACATAAGCAGGAGTAACCCGCAGCTATGTCCTCCGCTATAATGCAGGCAACATATGCAGGAACGTCAGGTTAACCTTTCAATTATGCGCCTGACGCGCTTCATGGCTGCCAAATTAATCTCGGCCAGTACACGGGTAGATGCCTGCCTAACGACGACCCAACAACCCCCACTGCCCGCCGTCATCCGGCGCCCACGTCAGCATGGCTGACACCCGTGGTCTACGCGGCTCCGCAGGCCGCCAGCAATATTTCGACGCACCGCGCTTGGCCACTCTCGTTTTTGCCTCGTAGGAGTTTATAAATAATTAAAGAAAAAAACAGTCGAGGTTTCGGTTGCCTTTTAATACGCAGGAATGAGCATCAGGAAGTAATTTTTCGTGATTGGAGTAAAAAGATAACTTCCCTAAAATTAAAACCGCACGGTGAACTTCAGCAAAAAAAAAGTTTTGTAACTGCTACCAGTCTACACATCGCGACACAGTTACCACAAACAGCTGACTACCTGATTTCGTTTGGTTTTTATTTTTCATACTATTATTACTCAGAGACAATTCCGAAGGCTACTACTACTGCAGCGACATGATCCCATCACGGACGCCAAATCATGGTAAAGTTCAAAATAAAATTTGGATAAAAATGAAAAAAAAGGTACCGCTGCATAATTTCCAAGCTCACTGTCTCGCGCTTGTGCACTTAATCCTTCATCAGCGGAATCATCAAAGAAAAATGTCAGAGTGCCAACTTCGACGCTGTTGGCTTATACTGTATAAGGACATGATGACTGCAAGCCTCCACCGCACTTTTCGAGCATATTTATCAATGTCTCCGCTGGAAATCGATAAACATGGTCGTGCCGTCAGAGTTACAAAAACGTCTCGTCGCCAACACTTGACAGCAACTATTTGCGGCATTAGAGACGTGAACAGTGAATGTGCGGAGCTTTGATCGGGACTCAATACACGAGTTGTGCGAGCGCACGAGCGTCCATAGCTTTCACTCCATAGACAGAGAAAGCACGCGTTCGCAGCTCTGACAGGCACCACCGCCCGTGCATCCGAAACGCGCCTCATCGCACGAATCCCGAACTCACAACCATCCCAAAGGCGACCTGCCCCATACGAAGGCTGCCCCTCAAGACTCCGGAGTCGAGTCGAGAAGCCAGAAAAGAGGCTGTTTCATAAGTTCCTTCGTTCGGAAGTGAACACTCCCCACTCTATCGTTTTCTGTTTTTGTTTTTGTTTTGTTGTCGGCTGCGGGGAACACGGCGGCCCACGGGCGTGCATTTTGCACGGCTCCGCGTGACCGGCGAGGGAAGAGCGTGGGCTCCGCTCAGGTAGCCCCCTCCCACTGGAAGAGCAGGGCGCCTTACCTCCGGGATCAGCCCCGCTCTTGCCTTCGTCGATCGGCCAATGGGGGAGGTCGATTAGGGAAACGTCACCGGTCACGTGGGCTGGTTTATAAAAAAATGAGGGGGGTGCTCATTTGGTGGGCGACGCCGGGCAGCGCAAAACAGCGAGTCGTCTCGAAACGGCGCAAGAGCACACACGAGGGAGACATGCCGCCCGGCTCCAGGCAACAGGTGAGTGATGCTCCTTGTGCCGTCAAGGAGGGACTTTTCTCTGAAGGGCTTAGTATATGTCTATTCAGGTTTTGAAATTGAATCCTTCTTGGAAACTAACATTAATTCAATTAACTTGTGTTTTTTTCTTTCCTAAGCGAGCATTTGTCTTACAACTTTTTTTACTGAGTTCCGTGTATTGTATTTGTTCCCCTAAAATCATAGCGGCATTCGGTCACTCCTTTCTCCTCCATCTTTATCTCTCTTTTTTTTTTCTCTTCCTCGACCCTCAAATATTTTACTATTCCGAACCCCTGAAAAAGGCATTTATTCAAATATAAGAGCATAAAAAAAGGAAACCACGTCCAACCTTCTCAGAGTTGACGATTACAACGATACAAGTAACCCAAGTTCGTAGATAAAAAAAACGACGTCAAGGAATGATCATATTTGAGAAAAACTCCTACCTGAACCCATTACTCAGGTCCCTGACTGCGTTTTTTTCGCCTACGTTGACAAACTGGAATCCCATCCGAGTTGTCCGTAATATCACAAAGGCTTATTGCAGAGACGCAAGAGCATCAGTGGGCAAAAGTTTTCTTTAGTTTTCACCCAAAAGCGTACCAGATGATAATTGGCCGGTAATTTGGCACGTAAACTCCTTAAATAGTGGTCGTTTCGCCCCACCGTCTCTAACAAAAAAGTAAAAAAGTCATCATTCGAGGATGACTTTTCATACTTACAAATTCGGAAGCCTGTCAAAGTCAGAATGCCACTGCCGGGTTCACAGAAGCGCACCATCTTTGCCGCCCGTTCAGTCCACCCCCCACCTGTCCACGCGGGACGTCGATCGCCCGCTTTTTTTCCTCTTCTAATTCCGTCTCGGCCGTCCCGCGGCCCGTGGCAGCAGCAACGAGCATCCTGAGTGCTAGCCGTGTTTACAGGACGCAGCTGTCCGACTCGGACCAAACACTGCCCGTTCCCAGCCATGATGGCCGAACGGGAGGCATCTTGTCATCCCGCGTGGATCACCTCTGGAGCAGGAAGCGCTGGGCGAGCGTCCAAGCAGTCGTGCGCTCGCTGACCGAGTCGTGCATCGCCGCAGACCGTCGACAAATGCCTTTGCTCGCTTCGGATGTCTAGGGAGTCGGGATGCGACACGTTCGGCTAATCCCTCGTGAAGTTTTTATTTTGCTATTTTCGACGATCGCCGTTATTTTGGTTTCTGCTCGGGTAGAGACCTCCCTCCAGGAAGGAAAAGCTTGGCAATATAGGCACTAAAAGCGGATGACGTCGAGTCAGTGATTACTCAGGTAGACTTGAGGTTGAGTTTTCAGCATCCTACACGCATTATCCCCCCCGCAGCCAATATCAGATGCGTCAGCCGACAAGAACGGTCCAGAACGAATCGCGAGGCAAGACGCGTGAGCATAAATAACTATAAACCTATCCCAGTACGCGTTGCAAGCCTACGTGACGTCGCCATAACCGTGTAGTTCACAGGAGGCAGGCACAAGTTCACGAGACAGCTCGTGCTACCTCGTGCTGCGTTCGCACAGACCCTCAGCACGGTTGTCGCGCGGAGGCACCCTAGTCGCGCGTACAGAAAGGCTATAAAGTTTCAATGATGCATGGCGGCAGTTGTGGCGTAATAAAACTGCCCGTTCAAATGATCAGTGTTTTTTTTTTTTTATCGTAAGGAGTTAGCAAGATTGTTCACTGTCGCATAAGTAAGGTGATGATTTTTTTTTTTTTTTTTAGAGGAAACCAAGTGGGTGCAACAGTGCACACGTATACGTTGTTACGTTGGGGAGAGTTCTTCGTACAGCTATCCAATATGTTACCGATGAGGCGCATGCTACGAAATCATTCCCTTATAATCAGTGACAGCTTAAGAAACGCGAGGCGCGGCGAGACGAGGTCATTTTAATATTGATCCGCGCCAAGTTCAATCGCTGCATCAACAGTAAGCGCGGTCACGAGAAGCCAGGCCTCCAGTTTTCTTTGGCTCTCAGCAAGGACAGAAGATTGGCGAATGGCGGATGGAAGACAATTTTTGCTCGAAGGACGCAGACGGTGCTGAGACCCTTTCGCGCGCGTTAAAAGAACCTGCGCGTTAAAAATATATCGTCATTTATGTTGCTGTTTTGGTTTGTCGTGTCATTGATTCCGGCACGGGGTGTAGACGTCCGGATGTGTCCTATTTAAAGTAATGAGCGATGATCATATCTGTTTAGTAATTTCATAAAGACGCACCCGGAAATATCATTTATCGGATGTGTCAGAATTTTGGTGGCACGAAATACCTGGCTTCTACCAAAATAACTGGTTGAACAAAATAAATCGGAGTTTCGATAAAAGCACCAAACTGATCGCGATTAAGAACAATAATCGCGACATTAAGATATTTTTTTTTTGGGGGGGGGGGGGGGTTCTTTAACAGCTAGAAGCGTGGGTGTTCTACTTGGGGTGCGTATAAGAAGTTGAGATTTACAATGGGCGGCGAAGTGATGCCAAGACCAAAGAGTTGCAGCGGGCATTTTACTTAGCATAGTCGCACAAAGAAACTCTAAAGCTAAACAGGAAAGACTACTGCCAGTATTGTCTTTCCGTATTCTCGAGTTCGCACGTTAAACCCACAAAAGGAAAATTTAATAATACAGGCAAAAACAAACAAACAAAACATATTAGCCAAGAAATACGACAATCTGGTGGGTTGACATTTCCAAAACTCCCCAAATCATCGAAATATTTCCATTGGCTTAATCATCTTGAGCCCCAAACACTCCGAGTAGCAGCTAGCGAAATTGTTTTCCCCTTTGCGCTTTGCTCCCATCGTCCGGCGAGTCATGTTCTCATAGGCCGTCGGGAGCCGACTTGCAAGCGTCCCGGTTCCAAAGGCCACGTGCAGGCGTCGAGTGCGCATCGATCGGTGTCCGGGGAGTGCACAACAGGTGCCCGTGCAGTCGGGACCGCAGCTCCGCCGGGACAATCGATAACGCGACGTGCACGAGGCACCTGGCCCAGACAACCGGCGACGCGTTGCATGGACACGCGACGGCGCTGCTACCGTCAGCTGAGTGCTCGTTGGCAGCCGCCATTTGGATGGATGCGTCGACTGGATTTGTCGCCTCGCTCCGAGTCCGCCGTGATATAAGGCGACATACATTAAGATATATCGGTGAAATAAAATTTATTGTATTTTCTACGCAGAAAACGTTTCGGCACATAGAAACGTGATTAAAAGTAAATTTAGTGACGCCGCTTTCTGCTTATAGACCTACACGAGCCTCTGACGTCACGTTGGTGCGGTGGCGCTGGTGTTGGTACTGCGCATGCGCAGAAGCTTGAAGCTTTTTAACACGTGAATCTGGTTTCTGCGTAAAGGCGGGCATGTTTCGTAAAGAGGGTATTAATAGATACCCTCCGGTGCGACATCGTTGAGGGAATACATCCTCTTTTCCACCGGGAGGAAAACGTTGTGTGAACTAAAACACTCAAAGGTTATGTGTTTCCCATATCGCATAGGTCGGTCGGAAGGTGTATTTCGAGTATTGGGGAATTTTGTCGGTTGTACTTTTGTATAATTAGCTACATAACTGGAGCTTGCTATCCTACCTTGAAGCGTGCTTTGGAGCGGGCACCTGCCAGGTGTTAGGACTTTTGAAAACGGCTCGCTAAAACTTTCTATTGTTTGGAAATTATAATATGTTTTACTCATTCACTATTCGGGGGTTATCCTTGATGTCTGTAATTATTCTACGTATTGGGGGGGGGGGGGGGGGGGGAGGGGGGGGGGTACAAAGCCTCGCTGATTTGTGAATATTCTGTAGCCAAATCTGGCTCAAGGTAATTAGGACCGTACTCAATACGTCAGGGTGAAGCACATATACACCAGCTACTTTGATGTCATATCAGCGGACATAGGGCTAACTTGGCTGCTGAGCGCGCACCTCCTGTAGATTAGGTTTCACAGCGCGAAAGTTTTGTTTCTTGAAAAGAACAAGTAAAATTAACCACCTGCAAATACATGTCACTTCCCACTTCCCTTGCCCCCCTTCTCGCTTGCCTACCCTGAGGCCTCCAGCCAAAATGCAGGTGTATTATAACTAGGCTGTATACTTTCCGGTTTTAACCGAAAAACACCGATAACCTTCCGCAGGTGTCGAAAATCAAAATCGGTTAAAACCGAAAAACACCGTTTTTTTATATTTTTGAGCAAGTGCTGGTTTTTTCAACGAAAAAGTTCGGTTAAAACAAACGGAAAACGCTGATAAACGTCCGCCAGTGACGGAAATAAAACTCGTTGCAATCGAAAGAAAACATATGTTTCTAAATATTTTTTCCCTGCAATGTTATTTTTTCTTTTCACTGAAAAAGTCCTACACGGTATCTTACCCAGAATCATGCACTTTGTCTGTCTTTCTTTTGTGACCTACGTGATCTTGGACTCTTAGATGGCAGTAGCCTTGTTCCACTGCTGTCTAAGGTCAGCAGTCCTCCTAAGCCACCGACCTTGAAGATCCCTATCATAAAGGCCAGTTACAGCTGGCCAGTACTGTCCCAAGCCACGTTGGACTTTTTAGGGCTTCTCGTGTCCAGCGCCAATCCAATGTTGAGCAGGCATTCTCGAAATAGCTTGTCAACAGAAAGGAGTGGCAGACACGAGCCAAGGAATGCATGCGTGCATATACTACAATAATGAAGTGTGAAAGAGATTGTGTAAAAGGTGTAAATACAATTCAAACTGATCGTCGTCCTCAGTGGTCGTTTACATTTGCAATTTTTTCCCCAAATAATCATCGTTTTTAGCGTCTGCACGAGAGAATTCACCGAAAGGCACCGGTATCCTAGAAATAAATAAACACTATTAAACATCTGCCCATTTTTGTCATAAATAAACCCCGGAAAGTATACGCTTTAATTATAACCGTATTAATCGTCTTCCGACAACGATGGTGTGATGACGACAGGTGCAAAACAAAGTATTGCATACCCATGAAATACGCCCAGCAGATATTAGAAGCACGAAATCCGTGTATTCATGCACTAAACACTATTGGACAGTTTTCTTCTTGTTTTTTTTTTTATTTCTGGAAACTTTTACGACGCACCCAAAAAGACGTTCGTACGCATAAGTTCTTGCAGAAACACGAACAATGAGTCCAGAGATATGCTTAGGCCTAAAAATGAAGTCTACGATGTTTAACACTGAGCGTGACGTCCCACGTGCTTATGCTATGTTCAGTGTCATATTATTATTTTTAGGTGTAACCATATTCTCGGCCTTATTTATTTGCCAAGCTTCCTCCGAAGTTAGCGGCGATTGCTTTTTCAAGGGCTCTGCGAGGAAGTATGCTCACGGGATATTTTTATTCAGTGTGCACCAGTTAGTAAGTTAGACATAGCAGAGGTCTCGCTCGACAGAGTGTGTTTGGGTGTATGATTTTCAAGCGAGAAACCAGCCCATGGTGAGAAGTTATATAAAAAAAAATATCGCCCAACTTTTCGGGATTCATATACGACTCTAGTACTGACTGTTTAAATGCAGTGTCTTTTGCAACCACCTATTATAGGGTTAGATTTCCACAAGCTTGAAGGAGCTCCTTCTTAGAGGGATTGAAATATTCATTTCTAGTAGTTCCTTCGATCACTAGCCAGATTATGTATTGAGGGTACATGATGAAAGCTTGGCGAATTGTCTAGCCAGAAATATTTTTCCGGGAAACCAGAAAATTCTGTGGAGGTGTGAACTTAGCGCTATGAGACAGTGCCTATGTTGCTGTTGAAGGCTCCAGAAAGGCACCTTTACGCTGCCATGTGAATTGGGTATTACACCCAATTCACATGGCAGCGTAAAGGTACCTTTGGCACAGGTACCTGTAGTAAATTGAGCTGGAGATCGTAATCACACGGTGCATAAAGGTCCCTTTCGCTAAGGGAGGTCCTGTTTGAAACGGAGCTCGCCAAGCTCTCTTTACAGCTAAAGGAAGTAGCCTCAGACCCACGAACTCAAAATAATATCACAGATATATAAATATATCTTGTTTCATCCATTATAACAAATTGAATATATATAAGTAGCAAATTATGAAATGATTGTGAACACAAATGTAATAGAATAATACATTAACGAGTAACGGATACTCTAGCCAGCAGGTAGCAGCGGCGGCCCGGGGAAAACAATGTCTGCTACGAACCCGAAAGCGATGGACCACTGCGAGCTCTTTTCCGAGGCTGTAGACGAGTCGTCCGACTTTCCCGCCCAAGACGTTTTATCCTCGTCGTCGTCCATCCCTTTCGATGGCGTGACTGGCGGAACCGTGAGACTGACGTGGTTCGTGTTTCTGCCGGGCACTGTTTAGCTACTTCGGTGAGAACTTTGCGGAAAACTGGAGCTGCTAAACAGAAAAAGGTCGCCCACCTCGAAGTGGAAACTCGTAAACGCAGATGATTTAGGGCCAGTGCGGCCAGACGGGTCGGATGTTTCAAAGCAAGTCTCATTTAGGTGCACCCTTAGACTTAGAGAAAAAAAAATAAAGTTCCGAAAAATCAAACACAAGTAATATTTAGGTTTCAAGTGTGATATGTCTCACATAATAATCTAAGACTGCGCGTCAAACCGATCTTGAGGAATAATTGTTTATCACGTGCTCCTCTTTCGTTTTAGAAGAAACAACATCAACTTAAAGTGCTCCGTTTATTTATCGTGTGATCAAGAACGCCGTTTACTACAGGTACATGCAGCTAAGGGACCTAAGCTAAAAGTGCCTTTACGCTGGCGTAGGAATCGGGTATTAGATTTGGTAGGAGCTCTCATAATACCTTGTGTAAACAGTTGAATGATGTGAAAGGTATTTAAGAGCTTACGAAAAGTCGCAGCTCATCGTGCGATGGAAAGAAAAAGTCCAGCGGAAGTAGCTTGCCACCTCGTCCAAACCAGGATCGCACGGAACAAACTAACCACACCTGTAGTCGAATGCAACTTAAGAATGCGCCAGATAAACACCACCATTTACCAGCCACTGCATCGAATCGCTTCGCGTACTAACCAGTAAAGGCAATGGATGCGCCTTGATAGCGAACTACTTACTCATCGCCGAGGTACTGTTGCTAGCGGCAATGAGGGTGTTATAGCCGGAGATTTTGGCGCATTTTCGAATTGTATCTGACTATATAATGACAGCTAAGTTGGTTGAACTCTTCTATTTGCTGCTACATAAATGATTACGTATTTAAAAGGGAATGATCTAAAATTTTCGTTTTCAATAAGCAGCAAGAGGTTGCTGTTTGTTGATTACAAGTTGAATAATAGATAGCCTTGACTCGCATTTTTTGTCAGCCGCACCACTTTCAAATATTTTATTGAATCAGTCAAGATGCTCTTTATGAATAATCATGATTTATAAGTGTCGTTTTTTTTCTAGTAATCAAGAAAGACGTGAGATGTTAATGAAGTAATTATTTCCACCTCATTTTGCAATCAGTCCTTTTTATTTGCATGGGCTGCCATAATTGATAAAAAGAATTTACAGTATCCTCAAATAAAAATAAAAAAATGTGCGGACAAATTAGTTAATAAACAAGTTGCTCACCAGTTTTACTTGAGCGACTCTCGTTCTTACTCCGTTCCCTGACTTGCAGAAATTCGTCCAGCGGCTGGCCACCGCGTTCCTGGCGCTCCTTCTGGTCGACCAGGTTTCGTCCACGGCCAACAGCGTCACGCTCCCGGCTCCCGTTTCCCAGACGCCGAGAAACAAAGCAGCAACGCCCCAGAGCGAGCTGCTCGGCGACGCGACAAGCTACAAGCAACGCCGCTACAGCAAGCCTACCTCGGCAGAGGCTGAAGCGCCACTGTTGCCAGCCACTTTCCAGCTGGAAGGAGTATACGGCCGAGTCAGGAAGGGCAACCCAACTCGGGGAAGCAGCGTCAAGGTCCCCTACAGACACCGAAGTTCAGCCGGAGGCCTCTACGAAGGATCTCAAGATGATACTTACGGCAGAATCCGGTACGGCCACGGAGGGCCCTACCAGGACCCCCAGCCCGAGCCCCAACCCGCGCGGGGGTCGGGTGCGTACGAGGACGGGGTGTATGCGGGTGAAATGTACGCCCCTTACAGCCGGGGGGTAGAGTACGACAGGGATCATTATAGCCATAAGGCTCAAGGAGCCCAGGTCACCCCGGGGAAGAATATGTTTTCTCCTCCGACGTACGTCCGCAGTTCTTATGTCCCGGCCCTGGTGCCGGAAGATGACGAGAGGAGAGATGAAGGAGGTTACGCTTCAGTCACTCGCGGTGCCAAGCCTCACGCTAACGAGTTCACTGGAGGCGGACTCGTGCATTACTCTTACGGCAACACTGCGGGCCGTTACCCTAGCGTCCAGCCGGCATACAACTACAGAACTCCACTTTCTAGTGCCAGGCCAATCCACGGTGCTTACAGCGCGTTCGGCGATTATAGTCATAGTGCCGTCCAGGACAGCAGTAGGGAGCTGGTACCATATTACAATTCCGCGGGATATTATAACCGGTTTGATGTCGGCAGCTACAGACCCATGGGCGGTTACGCTCAAGGGACCCGAGAGCAAGCAGACCCCAGCGGGTACGAGAATAGCCTGATGGACGATGCGGGTGGCGCTTACGCGGGTGTTCACGCGGTGGAAACAAGCTATCCTCGGCGCTACAAGCCCCAACCGAAGACGTCGTGGCAGCCTTTCAGCAACGCCGAGAGAAGTAGCGATACGGCAAGGCCGAGCGTTGGTGGTTACCTGGTGGGTCTGGACTACGTCGTGAGAAGTCCTGGTTCCCACGGCTTTGGGGCGTCCCGGCCAAGCAAGACCAGCACCGGACACTACTGGCGCTGAGCGGAACTTTGCTTACATACCTTTATCGGCGAAGAAGCTGGCTGACGTCTATAAACAGCCGAGTTTCAATAAACCTTTATCGGAAACATGTTTGCGTTGTCTTGTACGTTTTCGACATATGTTGGAGCACTCAAGAGCGAAGCCCAACTGTGCCATATGTTTATTAAAATCTGCGTGTATATCTCGCACCACCGAATTTCTTTTTTCTTGGCAAAAACGAGTAGGAATGACCACAAGATCGGCACAATGGCTTCACGTGTAAGCCATATAGTAAAAGACGCTGAAAGGGTATGGCAGTTGTCGATCTGTTGTTTTTCGTTTATTTCGAGGCTCGCTTGGATCGGATGAAAGTGGTGGTGGGCATGCGTAGCTCACAAAGGGAGATTCTCCTGTGCCCTCCGTTCCTTGATGGGACGTCGCCCTCCATGAGCCAGTGGGTCCTCATTTTGCCCTTTCCCTACAACACAAATCAGTCATATGATGCCAATTACACTTAGTAATAAGGCTCTTGAACAAGATTCAATACAAGCAGATGAAAAGCATGTTACCGGCGAGAAGTATTATGAATATAGATAACAATATAATCAAACTCCGCTTATAGAATCAGCATATCTTATTCCATGCACCACAGATGAGCAGCATTTTCAGTCGAATTAAGTTCGACTTTTTTTATTTCTCTACAAACACTCCATGAACAATGTCTTCATTTATCTTCGACCTTTTGCACGAAAGGAAATGTTGCAGTGGCCTTATGCTTGTCCACATTTGGCGAGTTCCAGAAAACTAATTCTGTACTGTAAATACATAGGGAAGTACTGACACACAGAAAAATTATCATATCGCGAAGTATTACAGCCACGCCACAGCTATCGGTGTCCTGTAAGAATATAATTAGGGTTTGCTCAGATTTCCCGACGATTCAGTGTCGATGCAAAATCCATTGATAAATACAAAGAAAGTTTCGTTACATGCTTCTTATTGCTCTTTATATTATAAAGAGCAGTAACAAGCACCAGTGCTATCACAGTACAAATAGAAAATTGGAAATTAAATTATATTTACAGAAACAATACGACATTGTTAACTACCTTACATTGATGCCAGAGCATGAAATGCAGTCACTGCGAAATCTTACAGTAGTGTCTGAGCGCAGTGTTTGTGAGTGCTTATAAACAATGACCTAGTAGACAAAACCTTGAGCTCTCGTCGCTTACCTTAATTTGAATTCTTCCGCGAGGCTCTGTAACAAATCCTTTCCCACGAATGAGCTTGTGACAGCCGTCGCTGATATGAATTCTTCCTGTCTTCTCGGAAAAAAAGAAAGTCAGCTTGTTCTTGCAAAGTCAATATACTCAGTGTCACTTTCGGATTATTATTTTTCTAAGCGCCTTTATAATCGCGACACCCTGATTATTTTTCTCACAGACACATCAAGAACAGCGTACCGTCAAGAAAAAAATATGCTGTTCGAATGGTGTTTGTCTTGTATTTCTAAGAATAATTGTTTGAATTGCAAGTCCATCTCACAAGTGGAGTGCAGGGCTGTGAAAGATATACTCAAAGTACCATACTTTTTCACAGCGCTATACACGAAACGCGCAGTCATCGACTGATGACACATGAACGCTACCCTGCCTCAACATAACCAACCTGTTGCCATGAAGTTGGATTAGCAGTTTTAATAAATATTATACAGCCAAAACTACAGAAGAACGAAAGTTTAGATAAACAGTTTAGGAGATGAACAGTGGCTAAGTTTGACTGTAGATTTAAGTACATTTAGTCGCGTAGTCAAGATCGGCTACAATATAATACAATTTGCTCAAATACTGGGGGCTCCTCTACTAAAGTACTTTATACGTATAATTGCGTGCTTGACAATGTTGCTTTCACAACGGCACTGGTAGGTTTCGAAGTTTTAAATTTTGGGACAGTGCCCTGCCTCAGTTTATATCTGGGAATCACTTTCAAATGGCGAGTCTTTGCACAGAGCGAATCAAACCTATAGGTGTTCTGTGGTTAGCAAACTGAGAATGATGGTGTTAATATATACATAAGGGCTTGAGATCTCCAAGCATATGATACACAAGTGTACAGTCATGTCTTGTTAAAATGAACCCCGTTAAGCGTCTGCCCTCCTGTATAGAAAAACAATTTTCTGGGATAGACTGGGTAAATATGTAAATTTTCGTCTCGTCATTATGAGCAACCCACATTATAATTTTTTTCTAAAACGAAGGCGTCCAAATGGTTATAATTATTAAATTGATTTACACTACCATTAGATGACTTTTTTTAGCAACATAGTGGCAAAGAATGTTAGGCTGTGGAGCGATGGAGGGACATTGTATCTTGAACCAAGAGCAGCTTTACCTGACCGTGAGTCTGCATTCGAGCAGCTGTGTTAACGGTGTCTCCAAACAGGCAGTAACGCAGTGTCTTCATGCCCACAACACCGGCGGCCACGGGACCCGAGTGAATTCCTGCAGAGAACGCGTGACATTATGCCATATCTGTCGCATATTTTTAAGGTGTGTATGTCTTCGTCTTCGTAAGTCGGTGCCATTCATGTCAATAGTCGACAGAGCATCCATAATCAATAACGTCATATCAGCATAAAAAAAACTAGATTAAGTGTGATATGAGGAATCGCAGAAAGAAGAGCTATTACCGTCAAGTGTTTTTACCAACTACACAAAAGGCAGAAGTACGCAAAATTACTGTGGCACATAGTGGCGAAATGTCAGAACCTTAACGTGGGTCTGTGTTTATGAAGTCTAAACAAAACATGAAGGCGTTCAAGGCTGTTATGAAGAACTTGATAAAGAGAATTTCTGGAAACCTTAGAGCCGCACCCAAAGTTTTGTATCTAAAATCTTCAATGAAACGACGGTGGCAACTTTGTAACTTTTAGAAGATTCTTTTTTTTTTTTTTCTTCACGTGTGCCTATGCAACACAATGCGAATGCTTTGTTGCAAAGTTCACAACATTCGAGATGCAATGTTTAAGAAGAGCATAGTTCAGAAGTCATGCCTGTGACAGTCTAAGTTGTCACCACTGTAAAATGGGCTTGAGTGTATATGTCTTAAAAGTTCAAGGTCGGCTAAACGAAAGGCTGTTGTACTCTCCTCCTAAAATGATTTAGGCTGTGCAGCCTCCTCACCGGCGCGAAGGTGAGTTCCGTGCTCGTGGAAAGGCTGCCCCGTGCCCTGGAGGGCAGATAGCATCTCAAGTGCGGCTGCGCACACCTGGTCAGCATGATCCGGCCGACGCTCAGGGGCGCCGCTTACCAGCATATACACGTGACCCACAGTCTCCACCTGAGCTCCAAACGAAAAAAAAAATTATACAAGCGTGTGCACGCTGACAAAGACTGGCGACCACAGAATGGGTGTTAGGCCTTCCAGGGAAAAAGAGAAAGGCGTTTGAAAATACCGCCTACCGAAGATTCCTTCTCATTTCTGAGACACGCCGTGAGATGGCGTACCATGATATGAAGGGCCGCAAAGCGCGCGACCGCCCCTTAGCGTGAAGCGCCAAGGAGTTCGCTTTTGCGTAACCCGACCTCCAATCCTGGATAGTTCAGACGGAAAAGTTCATGGCTCACAATCTTGAAATGGTGACTTTTATATAGTTCACAATGGACGCAACGCTTTTCAGGGTCGGTGTTTCGTTAGGTTAGGTTAGGTTAGGTTAACAGACAGTTGTCTGTTACAGCCGGCCGTTACAGCCAAACGTTATAGAACTCAATGAAAATTGAGTTCTAGAACATTCTAAGCCTGTCGCGGTTATGTGCTCAGCAAATTCTGTCCGAATAGCACCGTCCGATTGAGCAAAGGCTGGTCTCCACACTAGTGTTTGAATGGGACGGAGTGCGTCGTGCTCCCTTGTAATGGCTTACGTACGACACAAAGAATACACTAGTACGCTGGCGCACCAGCAATCTGTTAGGTACACCCCTAAAACTCCGTGTAACTTGGATGAAGGATTTGCAGTATCCGCGAGATAAAATCTATGTACTTTATACGAGAAATGGTCTCTTATAACATTGTCAAGTGTTTTTTTCTTCATGCCCATGACCAAACAATGAACACACAAAAAAAGGAAATATAAGCAAAACGAAAGTATACCGAAGGTACCCAACAGATGGAGCCAGTCTGTCGAAGCGATTGACCATTCACGGGGAAAAGTGAGCTACGAGGGCTTCACCGATCCTCACTTTCACTGAGATATGTGAGCCGAAACAGAGAGAGGTGAAGACGAGAGCGCGCGGTGATGTCCGAACGCCGAGATCTGGATCCAATAATCATTGAATAGACCTAAAGCTAGCTGCCTTCGTCTCCACTGCTCTTGTCAAACATGTTCGAATGCGAAAGCCAAACGCCGGACGCCGGTGTTCCGCGTTCTGACGCATTAGACGAGTGCAGTAACCCAGTAACATATATCGTCCTATACACTAACAAAGAGTGGCAGAACGTCATTCTTTGTGGCCGCCGAAATGGAAAAGGTAGAGCGGCAGGCAACGGATGGGAGGAGAGCCACGTGACTGGCGCCCCACTGCGGCGAGACGCCGAAAGACGCTTCTTCCGAGCGAACAAGTGTGTTTCGGGTTTTCGCCGCTGCAAAAGCTGTGCGCTGACGTCCAGGTTCCCCGATAAATGGCTTTTTGATGCTCTGTGCTACCCGATCCTCGATCTCTAAATCTGCGACCGGGCACTCTATGGCCCCGTCGTCGAAATGCCAGGCTTTGTGAGTATAGAGGAGGCTATGCCAGCAATCATTCGAACCAGAGCTCGGCGTTCTAAAGTCCCTGCACGCCCTCGTCTCCTCCTCTCCCTCAGTTTCTCGGCGCATTGCCTTCTGCTCGGACGGTGGACCCTGCAGATTTAAAAAAATGTACTTTCAAAGTGAAGCAAAAGTACATTTTAACACAATCTTTCATGATGATCTTTCATTCCCTTGTAGAATGTTTTTTTTTTTTTTTTTAATCCTTCAGGGCTAATCGAGGGCGCATCAGTTATTTTCGGAAATGGTGGCAAATGTTGGCTTAGGTCGAGTGGCCAGAAAGTAGTTGTTTTACTCTCGCTGACAAACTATTTAACAGCATCAACTTTTAAGGCACTTATTTGTATCGGTGTTATAACCGCCATACTTTATTCAGAGAAATGACCAGATAGCGTCTCAAAAGACGATAGCATTTTTTTTTTTTTTTTTTTTTTTACTAAGCAATACACAATTTTTCCTCTTTTTCACAATTGAGGAATGTATTTTGAAGTCGAAAGTAGTCCCTTTCTCCTCGGAAGGTACCGGAAAAAATACTTTAAGTAAAGTACATGCACATACTCGCAGGATGTACCTCAAGTAAAGTATAAGCTTTCTAAACCTTTCTAAAGTCGTACTTTAAGTACAATGCACTTAAAGTGCGTCCCAACACCGCCAGCCGTAGAACAGATTCCGTGTTAAAACTGTCTGCAGCCACGTTCAAAGGATACATATGTATGAAGAAAGCATGCTTCGAACATCTTTGAGGCGTGCCCGCGGATAACTTTGTCATCATCTTCGTAGTGAACACGGTGCCTTTTGTACGATGTATTTGCAGTATGACCGCGGCTTTGGAGTGTAGTGTGTGTTTGTAACAATGCGTACCGGTCCCCCCTTCTAGTAGTGTGCTGTACACCGGAAGTGCCAGAGCGAAAGAAGGGCCCACCTTGAAAACACCGTAGCGGTCCGTGATGACGTCGAAGAGGGAGAAGGTGGCGTTCACCCAGCTCACCACCTGCATGGGGCTGAGGTGGCGGCAGGCCGCCGGGAAGTTCACCAGCTCGCTGAATAACACCGTCACGCTGTCGAATGACTGGTCACAATGACCAGAAGGCTTTATCGGGAGGAGCACCGACTGCCCAATGCCTTCACAGTATCATCAAAAACACAAAAACACCTACTTTAAAAAAAAAAATAAAACATCTGGAGCGTCTCACTTCCTTGCAAAGCACATGTAAGACCCAATGCTGCAGTGGTGATAGCTCAGCTAATGCATGACTGGTAATATGCCTAAGATAAAAAAAACTGCGCCATAGCATTGAGCATGTCTTTTAACCATGCTTAATGACACGGAGCAGACTGTATTTTTTTTTTAGCTCCATACTTTATTTTTCACCTTGCGTACAACACTGTCAAGGCTGATCGCTCGAGCGTGCGGCTTTGCGTTCCAATCACTTTCCGCGTGCTCTCACAAAAATCAGACAATAGGGGAAACTCCACGCTTATGCGAGTAGCTTTGACACCCATTGTACACTGCAAGTATAAAACGGAGTGTAAACATATTATTAATCAAACATATAATCAACCTCGTCATTCGCCGAGCTTCTTCTGAATATTGGAGTGGTTGACTCTCCTAACTGCTTTGCGGAAAAGTAAACACTCCAGGTTTCTTAAAGCGTAGGCGTCTATAGTGACTGACTAGACTAGACGTGGGAGAAAACCGATCATCTTATTATCGCTTTGCAGCCAATCAGATTCCGGCATTAGCCGACAAGAACATTACCGAACCAATCACGAAGCAAGAAGCGTGCTGAAACTCTCGTCTAGCATTTAGAGCTGCGAGAATGGAATAGTAGCACAAGCCAAGCACACTCGATTTCCTAGGAGACTGTAGTCAGTGTTTGTGGTTTTTGTAATCTCCTTTCCTCACAGATTAAGACGACGGCCTGTGACCTCTAGTATTCCGAACACGTGCTGAAAGTATTATACGTTTTATGACAGCGCAGTAGTATTGCCACTTTTTTTTCTTCAGTAATTTGCATTTCTTGTGCTATGCGTCTTTCGTGTGCTTTTAGAATACAAATCCCAGAACAGTGCGGAAGTCGAGTTCTTTCTCAATAAAGGTATTGACAAAGTATATGCCAGGCCCATGATTCAATGGCTCATAACAGTTATATCTTGGAGTATTCTTCAATATATAAGAATTAATTTTTATATCGCTATCACTCGGCTCGTTTCACTCGCCACAATGCTTCCAAATAAAAAACAGTTCTCTTTTTTACTACATTTTTATCCCAAATCTGTGTACCATATTGGAGGAAAGGGGGAAGGGGATCTTTATACCATAAAAAGCTATTCTAGTACGTAGGAACTCATATACTTCAGAACACAATCTTATTAGTCGTATCAGGCTCACGTGCGCCGAAGAAGGCGATAACAGAAGCAAAACGCATAAGTTACTCGCTTTTGCTTGTGATATGAACTCAAACGCGGGGCGGGCTTTACAAGATTTTGGGATCGAACAATCATAAGAAGACACTGTTTTGTGCTTCGGGTTATTTGTACTTCCAGTGAGAACTCGAAGTGCTTGAGGTTATTTGTACATCGAGAGCAACCTCGACTCCTGAGCCTGCTATTTTATATCGTTTCTGTAACGAAAAGAAGGCAAGACAGCTCTGTGTGCTCACCTGGCAGGTGTTGATAGGATCGGCGCCCTGACGAAGCGAGTCAGCGACCGACTTGGGGAGCATGGAGTAGAGCAGATCATCTCCTCGCTTCCGCCACTCGTCAAGTCTTACTAGGTTCTCCTCCAAGTTCTGAGTCTTGCGCTCTTGCTGAAGACACCAACAATCCCACGCAAATCATATTCTTCCCAATCCATAGCAGGTTAAGAAAACATAAACCCCCCCCCCCCCCCCAAAAAAAAAAAAAAAAAAACTTGGGAAAACATTTATTTGTTTTTTATTGAAACAATCATTACTTTATTAGCGAATGTCAGACTTTTTATACTACAGAGTTTCGAGATTCGCTGGTTCTCGAGTGCGTACCCCTATTCACCATTCCGACAGCTCGCTTTTATGCCTTTTTTTGTACGTCAGTAAACTTTAGGCAGCGTCTGAAACTGATCTCTCATAACGTTCACGCCTCAACATGTACCTACAAGGCAGTGTTCAAGCTGATGGAAACACAGGAGATGTATTCAATTGCGCGATTATTAAAGTGCATTTAAATAAAGTTTTCACACGTCTTTATGCTAAACGTTTCTGCCTTATCTATTATAGGTTCAATTAAATGGCGTAATTCACCACTTGCATATGTCCGTGTAGACACCAAGCGAAAGGGCCTACCTCTCTGTAGGAGACTTCCAGGTTGGCGCCGTGTTGCCAGCCCGCGAGCACAATGTCTCGTGTCATGTCATGCATGCAGAGATCTTCGAGGTACAAGCCTGCATCTTGCAACTCTTGAAGCCCGCTTAATCTGCGGAGAGAGGAAACATGCAGGTCAAACCCCAGTGTCAGAACCTTAGGGAGCCAGAAGAAACTAAATATGTTGATGAATAATAACGTTAGGTAGATATGATCATCATCATGCACTTGGAGGCAAAAGCACAAACATGTCATTCGTGACATCAGTTGTTGTTAAGTTGTTCACCACTGTATCGACCTGGACGTGAAATGTGTGAGAAAGAATACTAGGAGGAGGTTATACGCGTGTATTGATACAGCGAGGGAACTTTAGATTAACTTGAGTTCTCTCAGACAGCTTCAAACGCTGTCGAGTGAAGGAGGCACTAAGCTATGCAGACCCCTATACCTTGTAACTTTTTTTTTTTTTTGCAACGTCTGGCATTAAAAAAGTGGAAGCCGTTTACAAATCCCTGTAACGCCGAATTGGAGCGCAGCTCTTGAGGAGGAGGAGTGAAGGGTACTGAGGGGAGGGTAGACCCCTCCTCCTCCCCTCATTCTTTAATATGCTCCGGGGGGGCGGTCACGTGACCTCGGGGGGGGGGGGGGTGTCACGTGACTTCGGGGAGGGGGGGTCACGTGACCTCGGGGGGTCACGTGACCTCAGAGGGGTCACGTGACCTCAGAGGGGTCACGTGACCTGGGGGTCATGTGGGGGTCACCTTGGGGTCACGTGACCTTGAGATGACCTTGGGGGTCACGTGACCTTGTGGAGGAGACCACGCGACCTCGGGGGTCACGTGACCTCAGAGGGGTCACGTGACTTGGGGGTCACGTGACCTTCAAAGTGTCACGTGGGGTCTTGGGGTCACGTGACCTTGAGATGACCTTGGGAGGGGTCACGTGACCTTGGGGGTCACGTGACCTTGGGATGACCTTGGTTACGCCGACGGCGACGCCGACGGCGACGGCGACGGCGACGGCGACGCCGCTCAAGCCGGGAACGGGCCCCTAAGAGCTGCGCTCTAAAACGATATGTAAAAAAAAGTGAAAGCCGTTCACAACTCCCTGTAACACCGAATTAGAGCGCAGCTCTTGAGGAGGAGGAGGAGGAAAGAGTACTGGGGGGGTGAAGTGACCTGGGGGGGGGGTCACGTGACCTTGGGGGGTCACGTGACGATGCCGATGATGTCATCAGTGACGTCACTGATGACGTCATCAGTGACGATGACGATGTGGACTCCGATGACGTCATCAGCGATGATGACGATGACGATGCCGATGTCGGTGACGTCATCAGTGACGTCACTGATGACGTCATCTGTGATGATGACGATGACGATGCGGATGCCCCCCGAAGTCACGTGACACCCCCAGGGTCACGTGACCAACCCCAGGGTCACGTGACCCCCGCCGAGGTCACGTGACCTCCCCAATGACGTCATCGTCACTGATGACGTCACCGGCATCCGCATCGTCATCGTCATCATCACTGATGAGGTCATCAGTGACGTCACTGATGACCTCACCAGCATCCGCATCGTCATCGTCATCATCACTGCTGACGTCACCAGTGACGTCACTGATGACGTCACCGGCATCTGCATCGTCATCGTCATCATCACTGATGACGTCATCAGTGACGTCACTCATGACCTCACCGGCATACGCATCGGCATCGTCATCATCACTGATGACGTCACCAGTGACGTCACTGATGACGTCACCGGCATCCGCATCGTCATCGTCATCATCACTGATGACGTCATCAGTGACGTCACTGATGACCTCACCGCCATCCGCATCGTCATCGTCATCATCACTGATGACGATGACGATGCGGATGCCGGTGACGTCATCAGTGACGATGACGTCATCGGCGAGGTCACGTGACCTCGGCGGGGGTCACGTGACCCTGGGGGTGGTCACGTGACCTGGGGGTGGTCACGTGACCTGGGGGTGGTCACGTGACCTGGGGGTGTCACGTGACCTCGGGGGGGGGGTCACTTGACCTTGGGGGTGGGGTCACGTGACCAGGGGGGTCACGTAACCTTGGGGTGACCTTGGGATGACCTTGGGGGCCACGTGACCTTGGGATGACCTTGGTTACGCCGACGGCGACGGCGACGCCAACGGCGACGCCGACGCCGCTCAAGCGGGGAACGGGCCCCTAAGAGCTGCGCTCTAAAAAATCAAGTGCGTGAGAAACTAAATAACCATGCGTCTGGGAATCACTATGAACCCGTTAAGCGTTCAGTTTAAGTTTAGCTGGACTGAGCTTAGCTCGACTGAGTTTAGCTCGACCTGATTGTGAGCCGAAATCATCTCGAACTAACCCAGAGGCGATTTTTCTCTAATAAAGCTGAGTTGTTCGATCTGTCTCTCCTGCAAAACTCAAGTAGAACTTATGAAGGGGTGCTCTATCAACGCGAGCAACAGTCGTGTGTACCGCGGTAATGGGTAAATGAACGATGACGTGAACTAAGAGATAATGTATAAGCAGGCTCAATCAATCAGCCAATAATGATTTGAATAGTTTGAGATGTTCTTGTATGTCTACGTGTCTTGATTTGGGATGGCCAAAGAAAGTCTTCAAAATAAAGTTACCCCTGTTTGCTCCTGTCTTAAGATTGCACAGAAAGAAAGGTAGACTAATCGGTCACACAATGATGCTAGGCAATAAAGCACACATATTTAACGCAAGTGTCTCGAGATGCCTCAAGTCATGCCGACACATGTTTAAGTAAATGCCGTAAGCAACTCACAGTGGAACGCCCAGAAAGAGGATGACGTCTGATTCCTTCAGGTAGCGCATCTGTCCTTTGAGGAGCAGTTGGCGTCCCTCCCGCTCCACGTCGGACTCCGACGGGCCGAGGCACTCCAGCTCCACCACCACTTCCTGGATAGAGATCACCTGTCGAGAAATCATTGTTTTACGTATCGTTTTAAGATACAACGCTAAACTTGTAGGTTATTGTTATAAAACTTCAGATTGACGTCAACTAAAACAATGCAGTGTCATGCATCTGTTGTCAGATCAGACGACTGTAGAGTACTCTCTCTTCGGAGTGACCATTTCAGGCTTGATGTTTCCGAATATTTTCATGCATCCTATTTTTTTGCGCACTGTTACTCCTACACTTATCATCCCATACTATTTTTGTTCCCTACAGCAGAGTACTTAAAATCGCTTTCCCACGAAAGCCATTCTCATTGTGCGATAATTGTTTTTCAGTACAACCACTTACAACTGTGTCTCTCGGCTAGTGAATTACTATGAATGATTTAGTGGGCGTCTTGAATCTACGTCAATCAGTCATCTGAGGTTAACAAACGAGGTAAAAAACGAAGTAAAAAATATGTAGAAGTTTGTTCGCGACTTTCACTTTCTTCAGGTTATGTGTGATGCCGCGCAGGTGCGGTACAACAGTGACATTTTGGCTCACTTGTCAAACCTTCAAGGTGGAGTTGCAACGCCTTTTCTTTAGTAAGATCTCAGCCGCTGCAGTTAGTAGCTACGATGGATATCCAGCAGTCCGGAGTTCAGATGATTGTTTATTGAAGCTTGCACAGTATCTCACATAACCTGATGAAAGTGGGAAGTCGCGTGAGAGTTGAGGTGGTGTTCTCAGCACCAAATCAGCTGGCCGGGCTCTGCAGAAAAGTTAATTAAGACGTTAAAGAAATGAAAGCCGTTTACAACTCCCTGTAACGCCCGAGTCCTCCCTCGGGTTCCTTCGGGAGGACCTCGGGTTCCTTCGGGAGAATTCGCCCATAATGCACCGCGCGGTTACGCCGACGGCGACGCCGACGCCGCTCAAGCCGGAAACGGGCGCCTAAGAGCTGCGCTCTATAATAGCAACTGGTTCCCAGTGTTGATTCTTAAATAATAAACTCACACTTACTTTCTTTAAAAGACGTTATTGTTAAGACACAAACCTTTACAGATACTATTTTGAGCGCCTGATTTTAACCATGATTTTAAAAACTTACGTTCTCTAAAAACTTTTATCGAAACAAACATGCTCGTAAACACCCAACACAGGCGTCGATGTTGTGAACTAGTTGTGACTGAATAAAAGTAAACCATACAGACCGCTTCAAACATGTATCACCCTGGTAGTGTCTTATCTCGATTATCTGCTAGATGGGCATTGGGCGTTAAACGTCAGATTGCCAAGTGTAAGTATATCCAATGTTGTCGATCAGTGGGAGGCGAACTGACGATGAGGTGACAAAAAGGCCGAGCCCAACCAGCGTCCTTCTGAAGGTCTCGCGTTATGCCTACAAGGAGCCCATGAAGCTTCATTCGTCAGATCGAGCTTGACACCGCCTCATCCTTCCGGTGGTGCTGGAGATCATATAGTTTGCGAGATTGTTACAATACTTAATGTTAAATGGAGGGTATTGAACCAACCCGAGAATAAAAACCGAAAAAAAGATTCCTATCTCTTTTTACTGTGATCCGAAAACAAACCTTTGCGTTCATATTTTTCACGTTCCAAAACAAAAGCAAAGGCAAGAAAAAAAAAAAGGCAGTGTGGTTTTTAGTTTAGGAAAAATATAGGCCATGCGGAACATACAAGTCGTAGAAAGCAGTGTAGCGAATATATGTATTTTTAATTTTCATGTTTCCAGGTAATTTTCCTAAGCATTGAGAACTCGGTAGAATAACCGAAAAATTAAAGTATTTCTGACACATTTTACACGCGCATTGGCCCATAAAATCATTCCTCCATTCGTAAGAAAAATACGCGCCCAGACTAGGGCCTGCTGCCCCATTGTAATTCCTACGTTCTGAAGTGCGCAATCCGGATAACCCCAAACAGGCCCGGTTTTTTTTTTTTTTTTGGTTTTTTTTTTACACAATTTATGAACACTTCTCAGATTCGTTCTTCTAATATCTAACGTTTCGATAACAACAAACATAATTTTCTAACAATTGTAATCTTTGCAGAAGGGGGAACAAGGGGGACAAAGGTCGAACACAAATTTCCAAACATCATAAATTCATAAGCAGTAATTGCATTATCATCATGATTTTTTTTTTTACTATCTTCAGTTTTTAAAAGGTGAATATATGAACCGGTTCGGGGGGGGGGGGGGGGGGGGGGGGGGGGGTAGAGACGCATTTCCCCAACCTAAAAAAAAAAAAATTGCAACAAAAGCTTTTTTTTTTTTTTTCTGTGTGTTTGATACCTTGGTTAAATGCCAATTGGACGACGAGGAGCAGGGAAGCGTCCGGAGCCTCTCTGCTTTCGCGGCAGAAAGCACGGCAGGGGCGCTTCGATTCTCACTCTGAGTTGCAGGAACTCTCCACCAGATGGCGACACCCTAACCTCTCGGCGCCAACGGGTTTCACGGACCAGGCGGAATTTTTTCGGTCGCTTACCAGTCACCTAGCTGTATTTGGAGATCTGTGTTTGTCCTTTGTCTCTCTTGTTCCCCTTCTCCAGGGATTATTTTCGTAATTCTTGTCCAACTCGCTTGCACCTTTGCATTTATTTGCATTATATTCAACTTATAACTTTTTTTTTCTTCTATTTTCCATTTCAAAATTGCATCGTTGAAAATGCACTGCAAGTTGTCCCGAACATGCAGTTCTTAATTAAAAGGGGTGCAGCTGCTCCATTTTAACGTTAAGTCTCCTCGAGGATGTAAACAATGTTGTACATGTTCCTCAAAAAAAAAAAAAAAAAAAGGAAAGAAAGTTTGTTTTTCGTTTCTTGAGATTTTTGGAACGGGTTCCTATTACAAATCCCATATGTGAAAAAGGAACTCGTTCCCATTACAGTTTAAAAAAATGGAACGTACCGTTACATATACGTTACATTTGCATTTTGGTGATTACCATATTCAATTATATCAAACAAATTTTTTTGTTTGTTTTCATTTGGTCAAATGACACACTACGAAATGTAATGTCGTGATGGAAGGACACCAGGGTCCTAATCTGAGCAAGCACTTGGCGAAAAAGTAGGCTAGAAATCGGGCGACTGTGATTGGCCGGTGCCAAGGTCAAGGGCGTCGGCCAATCACGGCCACTGGACTTCTCGCTGACTGTTTCGCCAAGTGTCTACATTAGGACCCCAGAAGAAGAAAACAAAAGGAAACAAGGTTTCATTTGTTGATATATTCACCTTTAAAAATCTCAGCTTTTTACTATATTCATATTTGTGGTGGGCGATTCAGACGAACTAAATGTACTGTTACCCCACATGGCACGAGCGTTTTACAACAAGCCCAAACGTTTCAATCGAACAGTCCCTTGTTCGATAACCACAGTTGCTTGTCGATGTTGCTGTCCGCAAGACGAGCAAGTGAAGAAGAGGGTAAGGCTCTTGCAAGGTCAGCCTTGAAAACTACTAGTCCTTCGTGAAGGTTGGATCAGTGGCGGATCCAAGCGGGGGAGCGGAAGGGGCGACGGGGGCGGCAGCCTCCCGCCCCCCCCCCCCCCCCCCCCCCCCACAAACCAAGTCGACCCCCCCCCCCCCCAAAAAAAAAAAAAATAAAGAAGACGGAGTTTTGGATTCGCCCCTGAGTTGAATCCGGAGTTCAGTTTGAAGATAAGGGTACAGGAGAGAGAGAATGAAGGTTAATATTTGTGTATATTTTGAGTGGCCAATGCCCGGGTTACATGGGTGCGTTCGATGTCTGGTAACCTGTTATTTTGTTGTAACTGTAGGTCTCCTTGTTGATGTTTAGTGATGGCTGTATTCGGCCTTACATTACTGGGTGTATGAGAATTCGCGGAAGCAAAGAAAGTAGCTCAGTTTGAGACGCCACTCTTTTTGCGTCCTTTCCTTCGACTAAAAGTTTTACTTTTCGTACCGAAGTCTTAGGCACTGAAAAAATAATCAATGTCCACTAGCTCTCCTGCGCCCAACCGTTACCAAGCGACGACCCGACAACATAAACGCAATACAACTGTTACGCCAGCAGCCTGAACAGCGGTTAAGTCGCCCCTTAACTGCTGTTACGCGGGACGACAATTACCGCACTATACTCTCGGACAGCTACTTCAGAAGTAAAGAGTGCGCGTGTACTGCTTTGATGGTTGCTCAAGAAGCTCAAGCGCACCTTCGCCCATATAGATTTGAATGCATAGCCGCAGAATGTTGTCCGCAAGTATTGCGCGCTAAGTGTGGCTTAGCGCGTAACTGCATTTAGGTGTGCCCGTGTAACAAGGGTATGAGATCAGTTACAAAAAAGTTGCCGAGACCCTGCTCTTCGTAATGCTATTGCTTTTATACTTTTTTTTTTAAATTTCCCAGTTAAGAATAAAATAGATATTACTCCACGGTACAAAAAAAAAAAAAAAGGAACGCCGTTCCCTTTACGATTGCAGTAAAAATCTAACGAGCTCCCGTTCCAGTTCCACGGAAGCAAAAATGAACGACGGCCTTCCCTCGTTCGTTCTGAAAGAAAAGCGTTTCAGGAACACCGTTCCTTGTAACGCCGTTCGGTACAACAGTGGCTGTAATGCACTTAAAGAGGTTTCCAACGGTTCTTTGGAACCCGTAAAAAATATCTTGGGGTTTCTCTGGTGTAACAAGAAAAAGTAAGAACAAAACAGCAACTTATCTTCTGGTTGTTCTCCTTTTTTTCCACTGTGCACCAAATTTCAGTGGCATGTGGAAGGAACTATTCGTCTCGAACAAACGGGGAGGCGCATTAACCGCTCATTCCCACTGGAAGCGGATCCGCGTTCACAAAACGGTTGCGAACGCGGTTGTATAAAGATGCAGTACAATTGCACGCGCACTTGATGTCATCGAGTGCGCGTGCAATCGTACTGGATCTTTATACAACCGCGTTCGAAACCGCTTTGCGAACGCGGATCCGCTTCCAGTGGGAATGAGCGGTAAGCCCCAGTCACACTGCTAATACATTATACAAAAGACAGTCTGGAGACACTAGAGCGCCTTAGGGAACAGTTTTTGAACATCCGATACGGGACGGTGAGGCCTCCGGTACGAATTGCGCATGCGTGAGTCTTCTGCGACAGCGCATGCGCAGTTCGTACCGGATGGCCCATTGTACCGTATCGGACGTGCGAAAACGGTTCCCTAAAACTGTCTGAGAAGCGTTCCTTTTCTGTATGATAGGCTTGTCACTTTGGTCATACAGAAATTGTTTGCAGACATGATCGGAGCGTACGCATGAGCTATTAAGCAAATTGGACATTCGAGGATGCCTCAGACGTGTCCGTATATAATTATGTTATCATGTGCGCAGCAAATACTGTTTTGTTTTTCTTCCTGCAATGTACGAGCGGTGTGTGACTGTGGCTTGAATATCACATAGTCACGAGGTACCCCGTAAGGCCGCCAGAGGCTGGGGTGAAAAAAAAAACAACCTAAAATACTCTCGTGTTGCAGAAAAAATATGCGGAAAGGAGAACGTATTGGTTCTTGTCGTCTGTCTCGTCTTGGCCTTGTTCTTTTTGTCGCGATGTTTTAAGCCAAGATACTCGTCAACCGACTTACCCAAACATACATTTTAGGAAAGAAGAATTTCTCCCTTGAAACGTTTCCCTACCTTTTCTTTTTTACTTTGGCTTCAAAAGAAGCAACAACATCACAGATATATTTACCACAGTGCTGAGTAGTTTAACGACATAACTAAATTCCGCCAGCTCACCTCATCTCTAATTATTTTTTCCTGTAGAGCACCCTCCCCCCCTCCCCTTCCGCCCCCGCTTCTTTATTAAAATCTGAATCTTTGAATCTTCAGAAAAACATTTCGGTGCGCTGCTACAATATGTCAGTGTACCCCCCTCCCCCTTCCCCCGCGTCCAATTTTAACGCCAGTCGCCTCGTCTCTCCCTTTAATGGCGGATATACCTTATGGACGCTATAACCCTTATAAAATTCTTTCCCTTTCACTCACGCTGTCCCAGGTGAAGGGCACGGCCGGCCGATGCAGGCGGAACAGCTCTCCGACGGGAGTGCCGAGCTGCGCGCGCGAGGTGCCGCACACCAGCCTGAGTCTGGGACCGATCCAGGCGAGCTCGAGCCGCCGGTCCATCGCGAGGCCGAAGGGAACGACCCGCTGGAGCGACGCCCAGCCCACGTCGGCGAGCGCGACGCGGCCCTGGACGCTCAGACGCCGCAGCTCGCTGGCCTCGAAGGCCGCGTTGTCGAAGTTGAGCTGCAGCACGGCCAGGGAGCCTTCCGACGTGCTCTGCACGCTCAGCACCTTCACCTGCGTGGACACATGGTCACGTGGGCGATGAACTTAACAAAAAGAGTGGCGATACGTGTGTGCCCAAGATGTTTTGTTGTTTGCGCGCCACATGCCGAGTGGTGGAGGACGTAAAAACAAGGGGAAATGATACATACCTGACAGTTCGATAATCCGGCCTTCGGAAAAAAACATTGACCCGTTCTTACTTCAATGTAACAAAAAAAAAATTACTACATATTTGTACGAGGGAATTGCTGTCCAACGGTTGAAGTGAATGTTTTCACACTGATAAGAATATTGAAGCCGCAGTAACATATCGCTCGTACATCATATCAAAGACAATCTGTTCGCTGGTGATGCGTCCAAGCATCATCGAGGAGTGTTTGCTTCACACATGTGCACGCTTCGAATGCGTCTGCAGAAAATTTGGGTATGACCAATATGGCCGCGTTACATGGAAGAAACATGCCTCAGACGGTGTCTGCATACAAACTGTTTTTGTATCATGTGGTAGCCGTGTGACTGCAACTTGAGAGGCGTATGCCTAAGACGGTTTTCGTTTTCGAAGTGATAGTCACGCGCGTTACCCCGAGCGGTGAAAAATGTGGAACGGGATGCGAAAACATTTTATGGGGATGCTGTAATACGAAAACAGTCTGATATTACCCGAAAACTTGATAACCTGACAATTAGAGGGACAACTTGACCCCTTCTTGCTTCTTTGAGCCGAAATGGCCTAAAATAGTTGAACTGTCCTTTCCAGACCCAGAAGTCGCTAGAGAGAAGACTAAAGGGCGCTAAACTGCCGCTAATACAGTGCCTGTGTCTAAAAGGCACTAATTTTAAAGTGTCTTAAAAATCCCCGTAAAAAGATTATCCAATAGGCATTTTCGTTTATTTACTTTTTTAAATACCAACAATAAGAATGTTCAGTGCGACGAGAATGATTTCTTGGTGTGAAGAAAAAATCCCTTGTTGAGCTAAAATTGGCTTTTCCATTTGAATAAAAATAACAATCTGCGAGAAACGCATAAAATTTCAACCATATGTATTTATTAGACCCCGCTTTTAAGGCGCGATGTCTTCACCCACGGTCACGTAAGAGTATAGAGGTGTGAGTCATCTTTTACAGTATTAGGCGAACTTATATTTTTTTTCTCATAGAAAGCTAGAACAGGACTCAAACTGAACCAAACATTCACATTGAGAATCTGCTCAACCAAGAGCAGAAGCGTCCATGCCATCCACACTAAAAGCCACTGTTAGCACACAGTGTTTGGAACGCGTCTCTGACTGGTGCGTTTACCGCATCCTAAAAAACGCGGTCTTTCGATTTCCGCCTGATGACGTCATAGGAGTGTCACGTTGTCGCCTGTTGCTGTCCTGGCTGTGTGACAAAAGCGATGTAGCAGAGGCCTGTTAAGCTGCATGTCGCTCTCCGGCTGGATAGGCCACGGAAACTTTGACAGCCTAGACTAGAGTTGGGACGCCGGGACGACAGAAACACTCGCGCTCTGTCGTGTGTTTTTTTTTTTTTTTAATGCGAAAGTATTAACTGTTCCATGGAGCGATGCCGGAGGCGTCTGTAGCCGTTGTCTGTAGCAGCGAAAAACGGCACAAAAATTCCCATTTTCCCATTGGCTAAGCGAAACGGCACCTAAAGTCTCATTGGTTGGGACGCGTCACATCAGACGCTTCGTTACAGAAGACGGCGGGGCCACTCGAGGCCAAAGCGGACGCGCCTCAGAAATAAAACACAAAGAAGAGCACAGCAACGCAAATGCATCGTCGTGGAAGCCGTCGTGAAACCGGTGGGGTTCGCCGCGCCTGCGCAGTGGGGTAGCGGGATGTCACCGCCCGAGCGCCATGTGAAAAAGGAAGACGTGGCGCGCTACTTGTAGGAATGCTTTCGCATTCCTACACGTAAGCAGTGTAAGGTGTCCCTGCCGAATTTCACTCTCGTCCGCTAGACGAGTCCGGATCTTTTTTTTTCAGAACTTCCACGAGCAATCGCCAGGACCACGACATCCGACACTACAATCTCTGAGCATGTACTTGTACTTTACTAACTTATTTTTGCTGGTATTTTCCGAGGAAAGTAAAACTCCCGACTTCAATGCACATCCCCCGAATTTGAAAACAAAAAAACAAAAAAAACATGTTCAGCCTTTCCGCTCTGGTGAAGAAGGAAGAGCAGCAGAGCTGTAGCTTCTGTTCTCGGCGGTGGCTTTCCAGGCGAGCGATCTGCTCTTCTTTTGAGGGGGAATCTCAAGCGCTCGACGCAGTGGAACTTTAGGCGATAGCGGCCCTGCGGCGGTTGCGAAACCATTCGCGCTGCTGCGCACATCGCCACTCGTTCCGTTCCCGCTTTTCTTCATCCGAAGAGATGTTACCGCGATCTATGAGCGACGGCGACAAGCAAACAACCGGCGAACACAACACCCTGGACAGCTACCGCCATCTATGAGCGACGGCGGCAACCAGAGTGTTGTGTCGACAAAGGGTGTCGGCATTTGTTTGGTGCCGGACACGATACTGGGGAAACTAGCCCTTAACAGCTCGGCTCTAAAGGGGGCATATCGTCGTGTGAAAACCCACTCTTCCGAGACGTCATCTGGTCATTTCTCTGAGTGAAGTAATGCCGGCTATAAGACCGACACAAATTAAGTGCCTCATTCATTGATTGTGTCAAATAGCTCCTCAGCGAGAGTAAAACAACTGCTCTGTGGCGACTTGACGTCATACAATATTTGATGCCATTTCCGTTAAAAACTGATGCCTTTTTTATTACCCCTGGAGCAATGCATACTAGTTAAAAAAGCACTGTATGGGGAATGAAAGGGCATCATGAAAGATTGTGTTACAAGTACTTGTACTTTACCTTGAAATATATTGTATTTATAGTATGTTACTTCAAGTACAAGGCATCCGGTATACTTACTACTTTACTTGAAGTACATAACCTCTCATTTACTTTGTACTTTACTTCAAGTACTTTTTAAATGTACTTTACACAACACTGTAAACAAGCAAACACTGTATAAAAATCAAGATCAGCCAGTGCTAAACCTCAAAGAAAAATAATATATTCGCAGTACATCATTGACAAAAGAAAAGTACAAAACAATTAGGCACGCAGAAGCAGAATCAGCTATTAAAACATTTCTGTGAAAAAAAAAACAAAAAAAAAACAACAAGCCGAATCATATCTGGCTAGCACAATTTCGCTAACGACTCAAAATCTATGCACTTTCTTGCCATTATAAAAAAAAAAAAGAGAAAATATTAAAGAAACTTTAAAAGTTATTTGCTACTTTTTTACAGTAATTAGTCATGTTCTCAATTACCTTCAATTTGAGGAATTTCTGCTCTACTCAATATACTTTTGAGGTCAATATTCAGTGACTTAATAACTTATTTGAGTAACTTGTACATGTCTGCTCGAGCGACTGGTTACGGCACCCACCACGAGATGCATGCCGTAGAAGCTCTTGGCCACCTGGACGAGTTGCCCGACCACGTAGAAGTGGAGCCCCGTTCGATCGGACTGGTAGTGGAGCAGGGCCCCCAGGCGGTGCTCCTCTCGGAGCTGCATGGACGGACTGCGCATGCGCGGATAGCTGAACCGGATCTGGTGGTGCAGGTTGTCCATTCCCCGGAGGAAGTCACGGAGGTGCCTCCCCGAAGCCCGGATGAGCTGGTCGTAGCCGTAGTGGCTGAAGAAGCGCACGAAGCACCGGCCGAAGAAGAACAGGAACGAGTCCGCGCTCCAGCCTGCAAGTGCAAACCACTCGCTCGGGAAGAATACTAATACTAATATTAATACTGACACAAGCACAAACATTTATACTAAGACAAAAAGCATCAGTTGTTCATGTGCACAGAGCATGAACAAATGAATGAATGAATGAACGTATGAATGAATGAATACGTGTACTAGTACTCACACCAGAATAACTGTCACTGTGGCACAGCTAACGATTCAATATAAAAAAGCCTAGTTTACACTTCGCGACTTTTTTGTCTGAGAAATGATCTGATAAGTGGTGTAAGAATTAATTTTATGACGAGACTCGCTTGCACTTCTCTTAAGTGGAATCATTCTTTCTATCCAGTATGACGTCCACAAATTGTAAAGCGGCCCGATAACAGAAGAGGATAGTTCAATTATCATGCAGTAAACCGAAATTGCAAAAGCACATTTAGACCATGTTGATTTTAAGATGCATACGCTCGCGTCCGTTTCTACGCGAACGAGCAACGCATACCAATGTGCAGTCGTGCGATCACTAAAGAGCGATGAGTGATGTGGTACGTTAAAAGCTCCAGGTCAACCATTATAAACAGAAACGGCGAAATCTCCGGTGTGCATCGAAAATACCAGATATCATTTTTAGAAAGACATAGTATTCCCTCTATCTAAGTTCGTACTACAAATCTGATTTTAACCTTACATACGATCAGCGTCAAAGTTGAGACATTTGAGTTAACTTGTCCTCAATTCTGTTGTCTTTTTTTGTGAATATATTTAGCTTAATAATAATAATAACAATAATAATAATAAGAGTCTTTATTTTTGGGTGCCCAAAAACAACCACATTGGTCTTCTCATTGGTGCACCATCACAAACAAAATCAACGAGCAAATTAATAAGCTCTAGACACGTTTACTGAAAAGATAAAACATCTAACGCAAACAGAATGCTAAGGAGCTAGAATAATATCATTAAAATCGGGGCTAATGTTTTCTCTTTTTTTTTTTGTAGTCCGAAAAACCGGAGGGTTTGGACCATCTTAGTGAACCATCGTATAGGCCAGGGGTCTTCAACCTTTTTGGCTAAGGGGCCGGGTAGGGAACCCACCGCAGACTCGAGGGCCGCAAAATATTTAAACTAATATAAACCAGAAAATACTTAATAAATAAACCTAAATAAGTATTTAAACACAGAAACTTAAACTAAAGCAAACATTCAAAAATAAATGTAAGTCTGATGAATACATATACTTTCTATCTACGGTTCATATGTTGCTAAATATGACATTATAAAATAATTCTGACCTATAAAACTCACCAGGCATAAAGCAAAGAGCATAGGAACATTGGCTTATTCACACAGGGCAGTAGATTAATTAGATTGGTAGATCTGGCTGACAAAAATATGCAAGGGTTATGACACAAAACACTAGACCCGATTTTGATAAGTAAAGCGCTTAGGAATTTTATTATAGTTACAGACACGAAGCCGGGAACTACGAATATTAATGCTGGAGATGACAATGTACAATAAATATTACAACAAAAAATTCCGCGTTTTTTTTTCAGTTTTCTTTTATTCTTTTTAATACCCTTGTTTACGTTTTTAATGCGCGTCGCCATGCCATTTTTCTTTTAACGGTTTTTGTTTATTGTCGCCGTTTGTAAACTTTCAGCAACAGAAATTGAAGGTTTATTTCCAGATACATTATGCAATAATTTTGAAAATGAGAAGAATCTAGTGGGCGTTGTTGCTGTCAACATAGATTCACGGTTCTCTGGTATACCGCAGGACCGCCATGTCCTGCGGTATACCAGAGAACCGTGAATCTATGCTGGCAGCAACAACGCGACTAGATTCAGGTGAACCGATAGAACAAACTTTTCGACAATTTTAAGCCACACTCGACAGCGGAAATGAACCTTAAACCAAGTGTTGTATATGATAAAATCGAGTCAGTGACACCACTTCAAAATATCAATATTAAGATAAATTAAATTGCAAAACGTTACAAGCCGTTCACAAAATGTTATGAGCACAGTCGAGAGGATGGCGTTGGGGAAACGTCTTTTTGGTTTACGGACGCAATCCACTGCCGCCGGAAATTGGGATCATGTGGAAAGCGATGGAGCTTAAAGACATTGCAGCCGCACTTGCCGGATTCCGTGGAAGCCAAATAGGTCCTCGGACAGTATTCGACGCTTTCTGTCGTTACCCCTGCACCCTATAACCGAGCAATGGTGTCCCGATGACCGGGGGCTGTCGCCATCCAAGCCCGTACTCTAATTAAGTTTGGGAGTTTAAAACAAAGTAAAAATCGCGAACGAAGTTCGGGCAATGCGTACACGCAACACAGGCGAAGCCTCTCATTCGAGACTCACTCTTTCTAACGCACCAGCAAGGGGGAAATCGCTTGTAGACCTTTGCCCTCCTCTCTGTCACCCTCTTTCAGTAAAACGGTCTATTAGCGACGTGTGCGATTGAAAGCATCGCTGTGATCGGCCTTCCGCGATTGGTCGAGTGCTGACTATGACGTCAGCGAAGGATTTCTCTTCGACGGAAATAAGAGGAATGAAAGAACTTCAATTTTGACGGTGTTGGCAGTGTTGGTTTCAGAGCGCATTAATTTTAAGCTTCCACCATGGTCATTACAAACAAATCGAACTTGTTGTTCGCGAGGTAATGACGTCACGAGAGGGAACCATACGAGGGCGCCACCAAAACATCTCTCCGCTAATTAGCGGCGAGATGTTTCGGTGGCGTCCTCATACGGTTCCTTCTCGTGACGTCATTACCTAGCGAACAACAAGTTTGATGGTGTTCGCAATGAGCATGGTGGAAGCATGAAATCATTCCGATCTGAAACCAACATTGCCAACACCATCAAAATTAAAAATATCGCCTCACTCTTATTTCCATCGATGAGAAATCCTTTGCTGACGTCATAGTGAGCTTTTGGCCAATCGTGGAAAGCCGACCACAGCGACGCTTTCGATCGCGCACGTCGCCAATAGGGAGTATTCACTGGCGGTCGTAGCTGTGCGCGCGACTGCTGAGTGCGTGCTGATGCCGAGCTTCCACAGTTCTTTTTGCAACGTGCGTGACGTCACTCGCAAGCCACGTACGCTACCAAGATGTAACAGGGTACCATTGAGATCGGTGAGGCGCCGCTGGACTCACCGGTCACGCGAGTGGCGCAGGCTTGCGCCAGCCTCGTCATCGAGTCGTCGGGGTAGGTGCGGTGCGTGGAGAAGACGCAGTTTCGCATGCCCAGGTCGGACAGCGCTGCCTGCCAGAGGGACTCGCCGAATTCCGCCCGCACAAAGTGCTGCACGCTCTCCAGCAGCATGCCGTACATGCTGGCTCGGTGTGCGCTGTCGCCTCAGGCCGTCCCGCCTCAGGCTCGCACGCTGCAGCTGAAGTAGCGGGTGATGGAAGAACCATTTATAGTTCCAGCCTGATATGATTATAACGCACACTCTTCACCGGACAATATGAGCTGAAACACACGAACCGCCCTTTTCCTGCGCCTGCGATTCCCAGATGCTCTATTATACCGACTTACACTTATAAACTCCGACACAAGGGATCAAAAAAAGAAAAAGAGATAGAAAAGAGGGGTCAGCACAGTAACAGTCTCAAAACTGAGACGTCGTTCTGTTGCTCCCCCTTTTTTTTTTTCTTGTTTGTTTTTTATCTTGGGGTTTATAAGTATAAGTATGATCGTTCAGAAAGTCTATGAAGTGAGGAACGTAAATCAAGTCGAAGGCAATTTCCCTGAAGTTCGCTGGCTGCGTTCGATGGGTGTATTGCATCCAAGAACATGACCATTCGAAGGTACGGGTGGCGGTGCTCGGATTTCCATGTATGAAGGATCCTGTTACACGCTAATATTTCGGTTTTCGTGCATGTGGGTGTTTTCTGTGAAATGTATTCAATTGGTAGTGTGCCAGAGTAGCGGTTAAACTCCCATTAGTTCCTATCGAAAGAGGCCCGGCCCACCCACCGTTTTGTAAAAAATAATATGTCAGGATGCATTGTATGAAGCGAAAGCATGCGGACGAGTTGATTACGAAACATCATAATCTAAAGCACGAAACACATGTACAACGAAACCGTCCGATCCGACGTCCGACCAGGCAATACGACGGTCGGAGGCGAGGGTTTTCAACGCTCTCCGGTGCTACGAAAACCCTCGTCCCCCCAAGGTCATTCCGGCAGTCCGCACGTCGGATCGGACGGTTTCGTCGTACATGTGTTCCGCGCTTAAACCCTGAGACACGGAGAAATAAATAACAAAATAAAAAAACGGACAAGATGTATTTATTTTTATCTATTTTAGCTCGATGGGGACTCGATGTTAACGGGAACGAGTTACGACATTTTACTTCGCAAACAACTGTGGGTCACACGTCTAATCCCAAAAGAAGTTTGTAAGAGATCGTGATATTTGCAATAATTGGAGAGTCACGCGTGCTTTCTTTTCGGCCTTTTTCGTCATCCGTTCGTTAGCCTCTTGTATGTAACCCAGAGTTGAAGAGCTTGAAACTGGAGTGAAGAAAATGTCTACAAAAAGTGACCTGCAGCAGACCAAAATAAACAACATAAAAAAAAGTATCATTTCTTTTTTACAGCACTCTCTAATTTTCCTGTGGACAACTGTTTGAAAGGAAGAATCTCAACTGTTCGAACATTTAGCAGAAATAGGTTTTCGAGATCCAGCGGTCTACTTTCTTGAACGACAGGAAAACCGAAACGCCCAGAAGGCTATGTAACTCGTTCGCCGCTAATGGACAACTCTATAATTCTTCTCCCGCAATATTTAGGGAGGACCACTCTTTCTTAATCTTTTCCGTAACGCCTTGCCGCAACCTACAACTCTTAATTTACAACCTCAGCGTGGTAATTTCTTTCTGGGTTTACATTCTTATAAGAAGTGCTTTAAGAGAGACGTGGGGCGAGTGAAGGCTTTCACGACATTAACTGCTGGCACCTTATGACATAAGATGGCGTTTTATCACAAAGGAAGAGGCTTGTGAAGACGTTCGCAATTGTCTTAGATACTTTTTGTAAACACTCAGCGACATTCTATTGTTCCAGCGTCACCAACTGGCCGAGAAACGTGAGGACAGACAGTTGTAATGTTTAAGTTATCCGTTACAGATTACTCGAATTCAAGTCAGTTCGTGACCGGTGTTTGTTGTTCGTTGGCGTAGTGAGACGAGAGCCACGAAACATGATCGATGCGAAATTTCCTATGCGCAGGAGCATCCAACGAGACGGAAAACCCGATTTGTTCGGAGTATCGAGAAACACCAAATGTTCAGTATGATTACGCTGGCCCTCTCTGGGCGTTGAAAGTTTGAGGCTCATTCACACAGTTGCGTTCGAATGCGTTTGAGTACGTCGGAGTGAGTTTAAGTGCATTTTTCTGCGTTTGACAGCGTTGCGTCTAGAAACAACGCTACACTTTGTCTCACCCTACGATGGACTAAAGGCCAAAGCCAAGGGCCTCCAGGTCCAATCACGTTCCACACTAAATTATGACATGATTAGCGTTGACTAGGGGTGGACGAATAATGCTCCTAACCCAAAAGCACTGCATCATTTCAATAGCTTAGATCCTGCAAGAGCCTCCACGTCGTGGCATTCTTTGCAGTGTAAAATTGTTGAGACACTCAGTTCTATTCGATTTGAACTACTGTCCGCCAATCCCTGTCAGTAATCCGAGACGCGGGCACCGATACGTGTATCGAAGCGAAATACAGCACAATTTCTAAGTGGCTCGTGATTGGATCTGGCGGTCCGTAGCTTCGGCCTTTAGTCCATCGTAGGACGAGTCAAAGTATAGTCACAGGGGCAGTTCTGCGCTGTATGAAGCTTGGCGAATATACTTTGTTTCACCTCAAGTCCAGAAGCAGCCGACGCTACTAGCTGATGGGACAAATCAGAAAGCGTCAAAAGGGCATCGTCATGATATTCGTCATGCTTCTGTAGATGTTCTATCATCGCTGAATCAATCATAAACAAACAAGTTCCAGTGACTTGCACCTTTGAGGCTGCCTGATCGGTTCCATTAGCTCGTGGCATTGTCCGCGTCTGGACTTAAGCTGACACGAAGTATAGGGGGGTGCGAACTGGAGTGCGAATCGAATATCGCAGTGTCATCCCTAGCGTCGAAACTGCTAAGGAAACTGGCTGTCGTAGCTATCTTTTGCACGGTGAAGGACCACTCGGTTCGAATTACTATCCGCACATCACCAGTGGCAATCAATTCACACGATATACGAAGGACAGATGACTCGGTGACCCGCGGCCGTCTCTCCACGCAACGCCGTCAAACGCACTCACGAGCAACTGTCTGAATGCGCCTCTAGACACTGTCCGTCCCACGACATAGCCTATTCCGGCCCACGGAAACGAAAGACGTCATTACCCGTCCCACGTCGACGCTCCGAGAAGCAACCGCTTGAGACGACCGGCCGAAGATCCCAATAGACGAAGTGGCTCCAACGGGGACTCGATCTCGACTGCCCGCGGCGGCCAGTGGTCACATCGCCGTGACGGCAACACTGTTTTCCGAGGGATCTGAGCGATGCGCCAGCGCACCCCTCCTCCTCGGGACCGCTTCCGTTTTTTTTCCCGACTCCGGGTCTTCCCTTGGCTACGACGAACCTCTATAACGAGTTCCGATTTTTCCCCGTCCGTTCTATACTTAGGGAAGGCAACTCTGTTATTGTTCCCCTCTCGCAATTTATAGACTTCCCTCGAGTTCCGACGGATCGCTAGAGGTTGTCCCCGTGCGCGCAAAGTGTCTCATTTCCGGAAAACCCGCGTTCGTTTCACGCTTATAAACAGCCCCGGTGGCCGATATACGAAGGCAGCGGCCTTGGCCCGAACGACGGGAGGATCTCCTTCTTTTTTCCTTCTCAACTCTCCCTCAACGCCCCTCGGGAGCCGCTGACGCTCATTGGGATTTATCGAGGAGCCGGTCTGGCCGCTTCGATTGAGATCGCTTTTCGGTCTGATTGCCTTCTTGACAAGCACGTGAGCGCGTGAGAGAGTCGGAATATTCTCAGGAAGTTATGCTGACGATCATAGAACAAGGTAAACAAAAACCAAGACGCATGGGGGAGCGCATTAACCAAACAACTACGATACATTTTTTTTTTACAACCAGAGTAAATGTAAATGTAGGTTTTTTGGGTGTCGTCATTGAGACGCCTGAATTTTATCGTGTTCTAAAAGTAAAGATATTACATATTGATTAACTAATATAAGCCGCAGAACATATAAAGTTAAATAAAATCAATACACTTCTACCTGCGCTCTGTTGGTGACGACAGTCCGTGCTCCGTGTTTTACTTAGGTCTGTTGCCACATACACGTTGTGATGAAATCGACAGCTTTCAGAATACGGGCGGCAAGAAATCGAAGGTCTCTCACTGTAGTGGCGCTGTGTCTCCGTGGCTGGTCTACCAGATTCAGCCCCTGCGGAATCTGCAACTTTTAGACATAAGGACGCAACGGCTTACAAAAGACTTTGAGCACTGTTTCTTATCTGATCTTGGACTTCGAATAAACGATTGACGGACCTTCTCTACCTCCTCGTCGGAGACATGTTACCGGTCTCCCCTGAGCCCTTCAAAACATTCTCAGTCGCCGGAAACTTGAGTTGTCCATTGATATCCTTTTGAAGTCTGGTGCTGCTTTCTGATCAAAAACGACGAAGCAAACTTTGCGTGCTCACAATGAATTTAAACTTAAAAAGAGAGAGAGAGAGGTGTTTACGTCAAGCAACAACAGCACCCCGACTCTGGCCCGCGAAGTAGCATAAACATTTGAGAGAGAATTAGAACCCCTAAGAACGCAGGAGGCTCTTCAGAACTGAAAGAAGTGTGTGCTTATTTTTAATAACTTCCGAAGTCCGGGCGTTTTCTCTTAGACGTACTGTATATCTGACTCGGTCAAGTATATAGAGACCGCGCTACCATGACCATGTGGTTACGTGTTGTATGCAGATTGGTTACCCTGTTATACGCTTTACGAAAAGACATTATGGAAACACGCGAGACACGCCTCGTGAACTGGGTATTGCAGAACTATACGTGGCATTCTAATATCTAGTTAGGAGTGTATTAGCGCTGTTTCAAAGCATGTTGCACGATATTTATTCAAAGAGGCGCAGCGCCGGAGAAACAAAAATGGGTCCGTGCACGCGGGCAGAAAGTGAATTTATCAGGTTTTCTCTGGCGTTGCAAAATGTATTGCACGGCTTCGCAATGTATACGAAATATTTATCCTTACAATCGAATATCTTCCCCTCTATGTCATCCCCCCGACCCCTTCCGTGGATCC